AGTTATTTGACGAAATTTGTCATCTATCTCTTGGCACAAACCTTGAGCTACAGAAACCAACCAGGGCTCAATAAATTCAGCTCATTGAGGACATTATGGGGTCTAATAAGGATTTTTATTCATTTATATTTCCCCCTTTTTCAATCATTCATTGAAAATGCATTATTTAACTCTTCCAACTAATTTACACTCCTTCAAACTGATTTAAACCGTTTTGATTCTTCAAACCTCTTTTTCTTCCAGATTTGTAACCTTTTAATTTTCCAGTTTTAAATCATTTTTTACTCTTAATGCATTATTCAGTTCTTTCAAACAAATTCCAACTCATTTGAACTGATTCAACCCTTATTGACTCTTCAAGCCTTTCCCATGCTTCAGGGTTTTTAATCATTTTAACTTTCACACATTGAATTTTCAAAATTTATTAATGATTTAGTCAATTCATTCAATTGAGTTTATTCCAATTGATTCAAATCTTCCTGATACTTCATACTTTTTGACCTTTCACATATTTTAAAATTCAGCCATTCGCAATAGCAGCGTAGCGCTAGCAATTTCAACTGAAGCAATCCCACTCGCAATTTCTTCAGAAATTGCATTTTCTAGTTAAGCTTGTATTTACATAAACACGGGCGACAGTGTTCAAACCTGCTGCGGCTGATAAAACCACTAAACACCCACTCAAGTAATCAAGCAGCCATTACAGGCAGAGAGAGAGAGAGACAGGCAGAGAGAGAGAGAGAGAGAGAGACAGAGAGAGAGAGAGAGAGACAGAGAGAGAGAGAGAGAGAGAGAGCCTGTAATCAGAGCAGCTCTATCAGGGTCTCTGCAGACTCCACACTAAACTGAAGGTTAAAGACATTATAATTAGACGGAGGGTTCAGACACTGGAGGACGGCATTAAACAGCTGCAGGACACGGACAGTGTGACACCATCACATTATTTTTATATGGTGAGGTCCTCTTTAACGGTCAGACAGGCTCTGAGCGAGCGTCCTGATCATGTGACGTTAAAGCAGAGGGTTTTTTCTTTGGTAAGGTTTATAAGAAGATAAATATCTGTTTCATTTGACCCAGACGCTGGACGTTTCAACATGGAGCTCAACCTGCAGATGAGGAGATCAGGAGACGGACTGACGGAGGGTTTTTGGCCCTTTTTCAGTTTCTGCCTCCTCTTCTGCTCACCACTCGGACCCTGACCCGTTTCAGGGTTATTTCCTCCTGAAATTACATTCCCAGAGTAAATCACTAACAGCTCATCAACTGTAGGGCCCAGATCCACAGTCTTGGTGTCATGAAAAGGTGAAATCTTGTAGAATCTAAATCAAGTCAAAGACTGGCTGTGACCTTTAAAACGCTGGAATGGAATCAGATAAATTACAGAAAAAAATCTAAAAATTTCAATTCATTTTATTGTCAAAAGTATAAGTAAGTAAAATGTTAGTCAGCATTTTATTCATCTGATCTGCTCTACAACATCTAACCTGCAGTCCCTCCATGTTTGGTCTCATAGAAACGATGTTTAAATATTTTACAGACATTTTAGTCAGAAGAGTCTCAGGCCGACATCGTTTGGAGAGCTTTGGGCTGTGATTGGCCAGACTGAAATGTCTGTCAGCTTGTTTGGCGTTTATGGAAAAAAAAGACCGCAGACAAAGTTTACCTGCGGAAAAATGACGAGAATGGATTACTGTTTTCTTTTTTCTGTTCCTGTGGAAACTTGACCTGCTCACTGTTGTGAAACTGGAGGAGTTAATGTACATCATAGTGAGGTAAGACTGTTCTCATGTTAAAGAGGAGGATGTTCTGATGTGTTTTATGATAGTGGGGTGAAGTTACCTGACGGTGAAGTTACCTGACGGTGAAGTTACCTGACGGCTTCTTCAGCTTCCTCTTTTCTACCGGAGTCTCTCATGTCTGCAGCGCGTTTAAAACGTGTTTAAAAAGTGTTTAAAATCTTTAAAAATTATTAAAATATGTCAGTGAAATATTAAAACACAACATTTTAGACATGCTCTAACCCCTCTGTAGTAAAATCAGAGAAAAGTCTGTTGTTTCGTCTCGTCTTTGTGAAGTTAGAGGATGGAGATGAGAGGGAGAGGATCATGTCTTGGTAAAAGGCTTGGTAAAGAAAAAAAGAAGAGAATAAAAACAACAAAAGGAAAAGTTTGAGTCCTCTGCTTTTATTTTTTTCTACTTTTTTTCGGTGCCCCGTGTGAGGAGCATAAATATCTTACAGAGCGAGAACATCCGTTTGGTTATTTACAAGATATAATAAATGACTTACAACTCACAATGTCAGCTTGTGTTCGGAGCGCTGAAGGAGGAGGAGGAGGAGGAGGAGGAGGAGGAGAGACAACTACAGTCATGTTACCGTTCTCCTGACAGGACACAGCCCGTCCAAACTTACATCAGAAACAGGAAAGAAAATCTTTTCCTCTGTGGCGGCATGACGGCAGACTGACCTGAGGCGGCGGCGGCGGCTGCTGCTGCAGAAGGTTCGATTTTTCAGCGCATAAATACACAGAAACACAAAGATCCAGTGTCTCCAGCAGGCCACTTTTGTGTAACGACGTCGAACATTCAAGAAGAAGAGAAACTTAAAACTCGCTGAACGAGGACTTCTGCAGCAGCAGCAGGTTCACCCTGTTAGTTAAGAACTAAAGCACGCTTCACTTCAGCGGGGAAGGGTCAGGAGATCTTTCTTCAGTCGTGGAGGATGAACATGTGATCAGGGAGGAGAGAGCTCGTTTTTTATCCTCCGTTTGACAAAAACACGACACGATGTGCAGAAAATCAAACAGACCGGCGTTCAGTCATCCAAACTTGACTCTCCCTGGAGGCTCGTCTCCCAACGCTGAATAATTGATGTGACGTCGTTCTCCGACAGAAGAAGGAGACGAGGAGAAAGTGACCGTATTTGAGGTTTACTACAGCGGAAGAAGAAGAAGAGCAGAAAGAACGAGGAGTTCAGTACCGACACAGACCTCTGCGGTCCGATCAATGCAGCAGAGTTCACAGGCGTCACGGATATTTCAGAGTTCAAACCGAAGTGTCGACAGAGCGGGACGAGAGACTTCACAGCTGAGGGTTTGATTATCAATCATGAGGAGAGAGATCGGACCTCCAACTGAAGACGAGCCTTCAGAGGTTTAAACCGAACCTCAGTCTGAGAAGACGACGATTTAAGAGTTTATTATGATTTTAATAAACGCTAAACCAGACGGACAGGAACTGGAGGTCAGAGAAACGAGAGAATCTGAGTCTGCAGGAGTGAAAACACCGACCTGAGCCTGGAGTAAATCTGAGTTTAGACCTTCAAACACTCACAACCACAGCAGCAGGAGGACCAGAGGTGGAGAGACACAGTGATTGGACAAAAGACGCAAAAGTAGGCGGAGTTTTTCAGTAACTGAGGCGCCGATTTAAAGGTCAGGAAGTGACCTTAAAACGCTCTGAGTCTGCGTGTTCACAGCTGATCATTACGGCGTGAAGTCGACACAGAGAGGCTGACACTCGGAGCTCACACGGTTACAGGTGTTGCAGACAGATTTCATCCACCTCGTTTCCAACAACCACAGCAGAAGAGAGCGGCGGCGACGGCGAATGTCAAACCTGTCCTCCGCTCTGACTGCTGTCAGCCTCTCACCGCCACAGGGCAGGACAGGAGAGGAGCCGAAGACGAAGACGAAGACGAAGACCAAACTTTACAGATTCTTGGTGAATTCAGACGCTGATGCAAAGGTCGTCAGCGGCTGTTAAAACACAGAGGGAGGGAGCGTTCAGACCGCCGTCAGGATCCTCTGAGCAGAGACACTCCAATCTACGTGAACAGACTTCAACAGATTCTCTGTCTTAAACCTCGGCTGGTCCTGATCCCCCTGTTCTGTCCTCTGAACCAGCTGAACCTGAAGACGCTCTGCTGTGTTTGTTCATCAACATTTGTCTGAAAGTTTGAGTTTTGAAACCAGCTCAGAAGAACCGAAGACGCAGGAAAACAACATGTTTACCACGTTCCCTGATCTGATCCCTGATCCGATCCCTGATCCGTCTGAGGTTTTCCCTGCAGCTTCAGGAGGTTCAACTCAGACAGAATCCTTCAGCTAACATGGGTTTACAAAACGCTCACAGCCTTCAGAGACTCTCCTCCGCCTCGTCGGCGTCGCGGTATAAAGGATTTAAGGAGAGAAAAGGGAGGCGTGATGTACGAGGAGCGCGGAGGAGAATCTGATAAACACTCCTGTTTTTAGGAGGACGGATGAAGAAATGAGGGGAAGGCGCCTGCGGGGGAAAACACTTTCTCTGAACCAATTTCTGTGTCTGAACTCAGTAATTATTGAATCACTGCTGCAGAGTTTTTCATCGTGATATTAGCCGCAGAGAGAGAGAGAGAGAAATCTCGGAGAAATACGACTTTGGTCTGACAGCCTGTTGTTCGGAGTTTTCAGCTGATTCATTCGTCTGATGAAATACTTCAACGTTCTGCATCCAGGGAACGAATCTGCTCTTTATTCTGTTTAAGAGACAAAAACTCTGTGTGTGTGTGTGTGTGTGTGTGTGTTGGTGACACGAGGACGCCGTTTAGACTTTTTATACATGTAACAGCTCCAAACTGCAGCCCCGCCTCTCCGTTAACCAGCACCAGAAACACCGCCGTGCTTCAGCCTAACAGAGTGGAGGAGAATCTCCCAGAGAGAGAGGAGGAGGAGGAGGAGGAGGAGGAGTTAGAGGTGGAGGTTTGTGCGTATCAACTCAAGAGCATCATGAGCTTTGAGGTTCGAGGAGAGTCGGAAAAAAAGGGGAACCTGATTTTGGCGCCTGTGCCGTCGTACCGCCATGCCTCAGAGGAAGTAAAATAAACCAATCGTCTCCCAGGTGGTCTCCTCTCCGTCTCAGGGGGGAGAGGAGGGTCTCGCAGTCTGTAGGGGGGGAGGAGTGGTGTGCCGCTGTGACGAAGGGGAGGAGGGGTGAGGAGGTCCAAACTGGAGGTGTGGTTTTCTTTAGATGGGCAGCTGGAAGGTGATGTCCACCTGAGCTTCTTTAGCCAGAGAGACGATTTCAGAAAGCTTCACAACCTGAGGACACGAGAAAACAGAGGTCAGACAGAGGTCAGACAGAGGTCAGTCAGAGGTCAGCCAGAGGTCACTCAGAGGTCAGTCAGAGGTCACATAACGCCTGTTTGGAGGTTTAGATCAAGTCTAACCCCCAATTTCCAACACATCCAGAACAGCGATTTTCTCTGTTCGCCAATTCCTACCGGATCTGTTTGTGAGGCGAATATTGTGGCGGATTACGGACATCAGGAATCACAGATTCACGTTCGATCGCTCGATAACGAGTTGTCTCTCTAAAGACAGACACATAGACATATAAGCAGTAAATTGTGTCCTTCCAGAGGAGGAAATCTACTTCTAGACTTCTAGAATCAGCATCTCCTCATCCATGGTGTCATCGGGGTGAAATGACGTCGACACGTTAACTTGAATGGTTACGATCAGCTACGATCGGAGGATACGACCTTTGAGGAGACGTTCACGATAAAGGTGGAGATTGGGGGTAACTGCTCTCCTGTTTTTCATCAGTGTTAGTGTGTGTGTGTGTTGGCGTGCTGTGTACCATTTTGGCGGCTTCGTCCAGGTCGTCACAGGCCAGGATTTTCAGAGGACTGGCAGCGATCAGAGCTTTGGCGTCGTCCACTCTCGTTCCTGAAAAACAAAACAAGTCCAGAGCGTGAACGTCCCGTCTCCTCGTCTCAGAAACACCTGTCCATGTTTACGTTTTTAGACTCTTACACAGTGAACAGCTCAGTCTCTGAGGTGTTTTAAAAAGTTCTGAGTGATCGAATGTTCACTGATCAGTTCCACACTTGATTTTAAAAACCTGGTATCAGCTGATAATTACTGATAAACGGAGCGTGTCTCTACGATCCTGCAGGAACGGCGAACACAGCTCCAGTCTCGCTGCAGTTTTCCCTCCATCCAGGGTTAAATTGGCCGAGGAGTTACAGAAAAGTCCTCCTCAGGTGAGCTCCCTGAACTTTTCAGACCACAAACCCTTAAAACAAACTCAGAGTTTGATCGGAGGACAAATCCCAGAGCGGGGAGGATCAGACGAACACAGACCGAGGATTTTAGGATGAGACAGAGAAGTCAGAACTGCTCCGCCTCATTTCTTCTCCCCGTTTGTTTAATCCAACAAGCTTCTTTAAGGAGGTTTTACACTCCGTCCAATTTTCACACAAACTGAAAACTGAGAGGAAGCATCAAGTGTGAGTGAGAGCATCTGTTACTGTCTCCGCAGGAAACGGAGACATCAGGCCCGCTGACCTGGAGGTCACATGATCTCCAAACGTGTGAAGAAGAGACAGAAACATGTCTGCAGATTCAGATACGAAACAAACCAAACGCTCAGCTGAGTCAGAGAGAAGTGACGGTTTTTAACGACTTAAACGGTAGACCGTCTTCTGCTGAATCTAACCGGGACCAGGACTAACAGGTCATGATAGAAAGGACATCCTAATGAGGGTCAGCACGCCAGGGGTCTCTCCTGGGACCACTCTGGATCAGAACAGGACCTTAAACCCACATAAGAGTTTGTGAAGACTGACTGTGTAAATCTGAACTCTGATTGGACGGCTGAGGCTTCAGTCGTGGTAAATCCTGAATAACAGATGAGTGACTGTGAAGTTTAACATCAACACACTTTTAGTTTGATTTAAAGTCAAACAATCAGATTTTAATCTGGATCACCTCAGAGAAAAACAAACTTCAGAACCAGATCCAGAAGACCGACCCTCTCATATGAACCCAGGCGGACCCTGAGGTTCTCCGGAACACGTGTTCATTTTAATCAAAGTTCTTCATGTTTATGTTATTTTATTAATTATCTCTGTTCTTAGTCCTTTTCTGAACTTCCACCTTAGAGGGTTTTACTTTTTTATTTGGTAAAGATCTTTAACTTTTCTGTTCATTTATTATCTTCTTGTTTTAGTCCATCAGGTTTTACTTTTTTTATCATTTTATTTTTTATCTTTTATCTCCAGTGTTTCCTAAAGGTCGCTCTTTCCTCACGTAATGTCTCAGTGTCAGGTCATGTCTCTTTAACAATAGATCTTAAATTCTCACTCTGTGTGTTTGTCTGTATGTGTGTGTGTGTGTGTGTGTGGGTGGGAGGGTCGGGTTTTATTGTTATTAATTGTTGTTTTAAGCCTCTGTGAGGAACTTAAAACTCCTTCTTTTTGTCTGAAAAGTTCCATAAAAATAAAGTTGAATTTTAATCTGAACTGAATTATAAAAAGTAAAAACTTAAATAAAAGTAAAAAAGTCTGAATGTTTCTGCTGACCGACTGTTTCTGCTGTTCTCAGGCTGTTCAGTGATTTTAAGGAGAACTCTGAACACAGTTTTCACAGTGTGTGTGTGTGTGTGTGTGTGTGTGTGTGTGTGTGTGTGTGTGTGTGTGTGTGTGTGCGCACATGTGTGTGTGTGTGTGTGTGTGTGTGTGTGTGCTCCGTACCTTGTAACCGTACTACGATGGGGATCTTTAGGTCCAGGTCTCTCACCGCCATGATGATGCCCTGGGCGATGACATCACACCTCATGATGCCGCCGAAGATGTTGACGAGGATGGCCTGAACCTGAACGACAAACACACACAAACACACACAGGTGAACACGCACACTTCCACACACAGACGTTTACATCAGACCCTCTTTCGTTCACGTCTGAAACCCAAACCAGGGAACCTCTCAGAGCTCGGCTTGTTGGACTCGACACGTTTGGATCATTTTTTTTTACGTTTCCTGAAATTTGCCGTTTCTCCGCTGACAAACATAAAAACTCTTTTTATCTAAACTCTTTGAAACAGAAACAAAATCACACGGTTTTCTTCTTCTTCTGGTTAAAAACAAGAACTCTGACGTCTGCTCCACCCGTCAGAAAACACAGATCTACAGTTCATCAGATTTCTCTGTTTCCTCTCTGAGTTGTGTATCTCTGAGTTGTGTATCTCTGAGTTGTGTGTCTCTCGATCGTGTATTTTTGAGGATATTGCTTTCTTATCTTTCCGGGGTGAATAAAAGATGAGTTGGTGAATAAACGTTTTAAAAATCACCGACAGATTTTATTGGTTCTTCAGAATCAAATAAACTCGCTCCGACTGTTTTCACCCTGAAAACTGCTGACGCCTCAAAAAGACCAAGTTTTCTTACCTTCCTGTCAGAGGTGATGAGTTTGAAGGCCTCTGTCACCTGATGGGCTGTAGCTCCGCCTCCTACATCCAGGAAGTTGGCGGGCGTGCCGCCGTGCAGCTTGATGATGTCCATGGTGGCCATGGCCAGACCGGCTCCGTTAACTAGCAGAATCAAAGACCGGGTCAGTCCGAACAGAACACAGACCGGACCTCTCTCTCTAACAAACAAACATGGGTAACACTTTACAATAACCATCATTTATTAATGCCAAATAGACGGTTTACTAATGCTCTGTTTCCCAAACTTCTCTCTCTGACTCTGATCGGATCTCTCTCTGAGACCTCAGACCAGTACTGACCCAGACAGCCGATGGTCCCGTCCAGCCCGATGTAGTTGAGGTCGGCCTTGGCAGCCTGCCGGTCTCGGGGGTCCTCCTGGGTCCAGTCCTGCATCTCAAAGACCTTCTTCTGTCGGTACTCTGCGTTGGAGTCAAAGTTGATCTTGGCGTCCATGCACATGACTGAAGAGAAACACACGCACAGAGGAGAGTTTGAGGACTCTGACGGACTCTCAGGTCCTCACAGCAGAACCACAGAGTACAGAGGTTCATGGACAGATTCAGACAGATCTTCTACTTCTCGTGTTTTTGGTCTCTTTGATGGAATTATTTGGATCGTACCGATGCCTGACGAGTCCTCCACCATGGGGTTGATCTCCACCATGGAGGCGTCGTATTTGATGAACAGGTTGTAAAGTTTGATCATGTTCTCTGCGGCCTCGTTGATCAGAGCCGGAGGGAAACCCATCTTTGTCGCCACCTGCAGGTCAGAGAGAAGAAGACGTGAATCAAACAGAGTCAGAGTCTGAAACTATAAAACCATAAACCACAGAGGGATGACAGGCAGCTACATCTCTCTGTAAACTCTGTGAAACATGAAGAAATGAGGAGAAACATGCAGACAGACGGCCCGAGTTTAGTAAATCAGAGTCAAAACTGAAGATCTGAGCAGAACGGTTTAAACTGTCGACACGATCGATGTTTCATCAAATCAACATGAGAGAGAGAGAGAGAGAGAGAGAGAGAGAGAGAGAGAGAGAGAGAGAGAGAGGAAAGAAAGGAAGAGAAAAAAACAGACAGAGAGAGAGAGAGAGAGAGAGAGAGAGAGAGAGGAAAGAGAGGAAGAGCAAATAACTCTGACGGAGAGAGAGACAAATTATTTCAGGACTCAGAAAGTTTAAGTGGTTTTAGAGAAAATCAGTCTAACATTCAGGCTTATTATCTTCATTTAACATTTATCATCATTAATTATCATTTCTCAATTATCATTTATTATCACTGATCATTATTTCTCATTTATTAACATTTGAAACATTTATCAATAATTATTTATGGTCATTTATCATCATTTCTCATTTATCAACATATCTCATTTATTATCATTTATTAACATTTTTCATAATCTATCATCATTTCTCATTAATTATCATTCATCATTAAATATCATTTATTAATTATCAATTATCATTTCTTATCATTAATTATCATTTCACATTTCTTATTATTTATCAATTATCATTTATTATTTATTATCATTTATTAATAATCATTCTTATTTATTATCATTGATCATCTATTTTTTTTCATCATTTATTATTTATTATCATTAATCATTTATTATCAATTATAATTTGATTTATTTATCATTCATAATTCATATCATGCACAATATCAATTATTATCATTTATCATCATTTATCATTCATTGTCATTTATAACCGTTAATTTTTATTTGTTATCATTTATCAATTATCATTTATTATCATTTATCATTTTTTTAATCATTATCATTTATTATCATTTATCTTTTTTTTAATCATTATCATTTATCATCATTCATCATCAGTGCAACAACAATAAATGAGACAGGGTTTGTAGAAAAAGATCAGACCTGTGTGAGGTTAACAAACTCCTTTTTTCCTCTGAGAAATAACACACTCACACACACACACACACACACACACACACACACACACACACACACACACACACACACACACACACACACACACACACACTCACACACACACTCACACTCACACACACACTCTCTCTGTTTGATGCTCTCTCCGTCTCTTATTGATTTTACCTTGACAGCCTGCTCCATCTTTATCCCCTCCACGATGTCGATGGGCTCCTTCACGATGGCGTCCGGGTTTTCCGCCGCCACATCCTCGATGTTCACGCCCCCCTGAGAGCTGCCAATCAGCACAGGACCCTGGGAAGGGAGAAAGGAGAGAGATTAGAGGCGAACAGTGAGAGTTTGACCAAGAAAGAGTCTGGAGTTTCAGATTTAGATTCACTCTGAAGAAGAACTTCCACGCTCAAACAGAGGAAGGAGGCAGATAAGAAGAAATAAATCGGAGGTTAAATCGATGTCCAGAGACGGGGTGAGCTCATAAAAATGATCGGAAACACACGATAAAACTCTGCGAAGCCTGGAGGAGCTGCAGATCCAGAAGATAACTCTCCGAGGATTCATCATTTGAAATATAGACCATGAAATGTTACGGCCGCCTGTGACCGCTGCTGCTCCCTGAAGTTTATACGACATGTTTAACTTCTCCACAAAGAGAGCGAGAGAGAGTGTGTGTGTGTGTGTGTGTGTGTGTGTGTGTGTGTGTGTGTGTGTGTGTGTGTTTGGGGCATACAATGAGGAGGACTTGAAAATAACTCTGGAGGTTATCAGTGAAATGAGAAAACTGAAGAACCTGAAATGCTCTCAGCTGTTTGCTCGTCTCATTCATGCATGTCTGGTTTTTGACGTGAGCTGCAGAATGAGATTTTGCTTCTACTGCCACCTGCTGGCTTGATTTTGACATGTGTCCTATAACGATTCTGTATCCTAACATCAAAAACATAAAACAACATTGATTTTTTAAACACAGCTCTGATCACATTAAAACTAAACTTTCCTCTTGTGTCGACCATCCTGAACTCAAACTTCAGTAGGATGTTTAAAGCGCCACGCTGCCATCTAGTGGTCAAACACAACAACCCCTGAACACCCGTACCTGATCCCCTGTGACCTGTGAAGGTGAGAGAACATGCTCTTCCTCTGAACCTGTGTGAGGGGTCCTCACCTGGAAAGACCTCTCCATGGTGATGGCGAAGTAGTACTCTCTGCGTGGATACCTGCGCTCGCAGATGAACACCTGGTTGCAGATACGACCCGCCTCCCCGGTCTGCTTGGTGTAGAGCTTTCGACCAATCATCTGAGAGGAAATATCTCGAGCCTCTTCTGGTCTGGAGAGGTAAAGGAGTGAGAGGAGGAGGGTCAGAGATGGATCTGTTACAGAGAGGAGTTCTACAGCAGAGTTCTCCAGGTCCTCTCCAGGTTTAAAAGGAGTCATGATCAGCTCCTGATCCTGATCCTGATCCTGGTCTTTAAGAGCCTCCTGAAGGTAAACTGTCGTGTCCTCCTGCCTCTCTGCTGCTTGTTTCTGTCACACTGGTGACATTTGGAGAGGAGGTGGTAAAAAAAACTGTTTCAAACAGCAGGAGGAGCAAATTAAACTACAGCAGCCCTCACAGGAGCAGGTAACACCTCAGCACCTTCAAAGTAAAGAAGGACTGTGATCAAACATCATCCTGGAGAGAAGATATCTACAAAACCTGACAGACAGCAGACCGAGAAACAAGGAGAGGGAGGTCCTCTTTGTACAGCAAGAGAGAGAATAAGTTTAGAGTTTAACAAACACAGAGTTAGAAACACCTCAATTATCATCATCATCATTATTGTTATTATTATTAGTATTTTATATTATTTGTATTATTATTATTATTATCGTTATTCTAATCATTATCATCATCATTATAATTATTATCATTATTGTTATTATTATTGTAATTGTTAATGTTGTTGTTGTTATTAGTATTATAGTTATAATCAATATAGTTATTATAAACATTATTATTATTATTATTATTATTATTATAATCATCATCATTGTTATCATTATCTCTATGAATCCGGTTTATGGTGACTCTGTTTAGTTATTGTCTGCTTGTGTCTCATCTCAAAGTGTCTCCTCACATCTGTAAAGAGTGAGTGACTTCTCCTGGTCTCAGTTTCTAACTCTACATGTTCGTCCTCCTGACTGGACCTGCTCTGAGTCACAGTGAGGTCACTGATGTCATATTTAAGGTCCAGGACTGAGGCGGGGTCACTCACGAGTAGACGATCCTCACTCCTCCCTTCAGTCCGCCCTCAAACGTCCCTTTCCCTCTGCCGCCGGCCAGAACCTGAGCTTTCACCACCAGGTCCTTCGAACCTGCCGACCAAACACACGCACGCACGCACGCACGCACGCACGCGCGCACACACACACACACACACACACACACACACACATAGACACATAGACATAATCATTTTTGAATCAAAGCAAGTTATGTTAGGAATAATATGACATATCTCTCAGCTCCACGAACATCTCAGTAAACAGCATGGAGGACATTTTTAATCGTACTTTTGAGACCCCTCCTCTTCACACTGGGATCACACTCACTCATTAATCACAATAGAAAACATTAAAACCAGAAACTACAGGGTTTTTCTGCCCTCCCTGCGGCTCTGGTCAAGGTTTTTAAAGTTCAGACCAGTTCCTGTCATCTCCACGTTATTTCAACCACAGTTTCAACAGCTTGGAATTCAAAGATGATTCATAGTGAAAGTAAGAAGTTAAAAAAAAAAGGAACAATGAAACAGACCAGGCTGTTTAACTGACTGTTAGTGTCTCAGCTGGAGTTATATAAGACAGGTGTAAACAGAGAGTAGTGGAGCAGCAGGAGGCTAAGTTTAGACGGAGTGAGTGTGAGTCTCTGAACAACATAGATATTTAACACCTCCTCACACACACACACACACAAAGGTCAGGAGGAGTCAGGAGGAGTCAGAACACACTCTGAGAGGGTGTCACCTTCTCCCTTCACTCCTCAAGCAGACTCTCTTTTTCCACGTGAAGCCGATAAAGACCGCACACGTCTGACATCCTCAGCGTCAGTAAATATGTTAAAATATGTCGGATAATATCATGATATGTCGGAGCTCACCGATCTGCTTGGCCACGCTGTAGGCCTCCTCAGAGGAGCTGGCCACCATGCCTGCAGGGACAGAGATGCCGGCCTCCTTCAGGAGCCCGATGCTCATGTATTCATGCAGAGAGAGGTTCCTCTGCTGCTGCTGCAGGTGAGGGGGCTGCACCTGGGACACATGGCCTCCAAGAAGACCAGAAGAACCACCCAGGACCTGCAAGAGTGCACAGGAGTTCAGTCTGAAAACCTCAGTAAAGAAAGAGTGGGGTCTGTGAAGATTACTGACGACTAAACCTGAACACTGAGTTTTATTTCTACTTTAGGAGGAGAAAATAACATGAGAGACCAGAGGAGGGAGAGGAGAGCATCACAATCAGCTGGACTTCATACACACACACACACACACACCACCATCTTCACCATGTGGGAAAACTGCAGCCGTCAGTCAGACATGCTGGTCTGTGGAGTGACGGACATATGTGTACGTCTGAGTGTGATCATACATCAGTGTTTACACCCCAAACTGTGTTCTACATACAAAAGTAAACAGCAGAGAAAGGTCAGACTCTCCAACACATCACTGTTCTATATGAAAACATATATATCTATTATTATTATTATTATTATAACCTTTATTTAACCGGGTTAGTCCCATTGAGATCCAAGATCTCTTCTGTAAGAGAGACCTGACCAAGAATGTCAGCACAGCTTCATAATCACATTAATCATATAGAATACAAAGAAAACAAATGATAATTGAATTTTCACAATTAGTTAGAAGAATTTAGTCAAACATTTACGCTCCTGAAGCCTGGATTTAATGGAATTGATCATGGATTTGAAAACACTCAGAGATACCAGAGTTTGGAGTTTCAGGTCTGATTTCACTCGGAGCAGAAAATCTAAGTTTTCTTCTCTTATTTCTGTTCTGACTTTAGGAACAGAAAAAAGGATAAAAGTCCTGGGAGTACAGACCATAGGTCCTATTATTAAAGATTAAGAGGGATGATAAATAAATATATAAATATATCTTTGACTGCTGACAAAAAAACCAAATCTTTCTACAGTCTGTTTACCTGACGGAGGTGTTTTTATCTGCTCAGTATCAGGTCAGCTGAGGCTCTTTTGAACTCATCAGCTTCACATTCACTAAACTATCTGATCTGACTCTGATCTGACTCCAACGATAGAAGAAGAAAAGTTAAGAATGATTTAAAAAACTTTCTGACAGAGGACAGTTTATCAGGGTCACAAAGACAGGAACAGACACTGGAGTCCACTTTAAAAACCAGGACTTCATCAAAAGTATGTTTTTATTTCTACTTTCAGCAAACTTCATGGATTCTTTACTCCAAATCTACTTTTTTATCCTGAACCAGGATCTGAGGCTGAGTTTTCTTCCCTCTCATGAACTCAGATGTTCTGCGTTGAGGATAAACCTTTCTGAGTCGTGATGGTGTTTATAAAAAGGAAAACGTCTATCCTATGGTGTATACAAAACACTTGAATACTTGTTGTAGACTAACACATATTATAGTTTTTAACATAGCTGTAATAAAACAAAGAAACACATATATAAAGTTCTCCGTCTGTAACAAACACTAGAGAAGACATCTGGAGAGTAAAAATAGACTTTTCCTCTGAGTTCAGCTCCGACTCTCAGCTGTCAGCAGACGTTTGTCTCAGACTGATCTGGACCCACACTCTCTTTAAATGAGCACAAACTCATTAATAGAGATTCACAGTTTTAACTTTAATCCTAATATACATAGAAATCTCCTTTATGAGGAAATAACTGCTTTAAAAGCCTCTTTATCTGCTTTATGATCCAAACTCTGAGGACTGAATTCAGCCTGACAAAAACCTGCTTTTTTACGTAAAAATAAAACTTAATTAACTATCATTAGAAAAGCAGGAAACTCAAACTCTCTAATGTGAATCATAAATACAAACATAAATCAGACATTTTTCCTGCTGTTTTCTTTCTTCATGTTAAATAGTTTTGATTTTTCCCAAATTCAAACACACAAACTTTGAACTTCATCATTACATTTTAGTTGCATAACAATTAGTTATCATATTAATGATCTGTTAACGTGGCAGATATTAACTAATGCTTTTATAATGCTCACCTCTGATACCAGCACACCCCTGATAAAGGCTTCTGTTACATTATGTTTTCTCTTTTATGAATCTGCAGCAGGTCATGCTGTGATGTGAAATACTTTTTAGAATTAGAAAAATTGTATATTTTTTCATTATACGACTAAACCTGTAAATTAAATTATATAAGGGTTCATCCTGTGGGAATTATCTTGCACTCATGAAGCAAACACGACCTACGAAGGTCAGAATATCAGTCAAGTCAGGATGACTGCAGACAAGGAGGAGGATAGATGATAGTAAAGACACTGACACACACAGAGATCATGTCTGTTCAAGGACTGAACCATGAATCAAATCAGATGATTAAATAAAAAATATGAAGTTTATCTAACAATCCCAGATCTGTTCTGATAGAAGAGGACTCTGTGCTGCTGCAGGCTCCTCTGCAGCAGCATCTGACGCTATGACTCTCCACAAGTCGTCCTTCAGGTCGTTATCTTTGTAATGTTTGTGTCTTTTATCAAAAATCACTCTGTTCTCTGACACGTAAACAATCAGCCGGTCGGCCATGTTGGATATACCGGTGAATCTGATATTGCAAACAACATGAAATCTGATTGGTCAGAAGTGGACACACAGTATGTGAAACTTTAGAAAAATCGACCGTGATCCTAAAAAAATAAATGCCGCAATATCGCAGGACAGGAAAACGCCACTGATGTGAACGCTTGTATTGACAGGATACAGGTTCGAAAAAAATATTGACGTCCAAAATAATCGCACAAAAAAAAACGCTCCCGGTGTGAAAGGAGCTTTAAGCAGCGCTGCTGCTGAATGGATGTCGGGGAAACACGGCTGATACATATGAGTCTGAGGTAGAACTATGTGAGATAACTTCACTGAAAATGACACTGGGACTGACACTGAAAATCAGCTTCAACGAGTGAAAAACACTCATTTAAGACATAAAACAGATCAAAACAACATTAAGCCCTATATCTAAACAGAGGAAATATACAAATTACCACTCAGAGCTTTAATTCAGTAACTACAGACTAATCATGAAGTATATTTATCTGACATATCAGCAGCAGCAGGTTTATGATTTTCCTTCCACTCACTTTAACAGGCTTTAACTTGCTGAATACCTCAGACAGCCTGCAGTGAAATATGTCAGCACCTCTCCACCCTGTACTCTGTCTCTGTAGTCTGTGTTCTCTGAGGCTGAGCGGGTTTATCCTGATAACTCCCAGCGGGACAGATGCGTTAATAAAGCGGGACAGATGCGTTAACACAGAGGGTCAGTTGCGCTAATTAAGCGGGATATATGCGGTAGCACAGCGGGACACATGCGTTACTACAGCGGGACAGATGCGGTAATAGAAACGGACTGATGCGTTGATAAAGCGGGACAGATGCGTTGACATAGCGGGACAGATGCGGTCATCGGCTCTGCCCCGCGGAGGCTAACAGCTGCTCTGCGGTGTGGAGGTCACTGAGCTGCAGTTAGCTGAGCTCTCACAGAGCTGTCACCTCCAGAAAAACTAAATGAAACAGAACACTGACGAGCCACGGTGAATCTAGGCCTAGTAGATCTGTAATGTGTGTGATCTAGCTGATGTTTTTCTGCTGGGTCACCTCAGATACACCAACAAACACGCTAACACCGCCAGCTCCCTGCTAGTTAGCACGCTAGCAAAAACAACGGGAACTCAATGGAGAGGAGCTAATGTCAAATTTGACCCTGTCCGTTTGGGATGAAATGCAGCATTAAAGGAGGGCGTAGCGCTAAAATAAACACTTTCTCTAAAAGCTGAGAACCTTGACTTTAAAGTGGACCAACACTCACCTTGGAAGCGGAGCTGAGGGTGTTTCTGGCCCCTGAATTTCTCAGACTAGCCGACAAACGGCCGCAAATCAGGGACGTCGCCATGATGTCTCCCTCTACAAGCGGAGTGATAACGCGCATGCGCAGACAGCAAACAAGCCCGAATCCTCGATGCTGCCTTCGGGTACCATCGAAAGGGTACATAACTTAAAAATAAACACGAAAAAAGCAGAATTATTAACATAGCAGTAGGCGGAGCATAGCTGTAACTGAAATGTGATGTTTAACACGAGGAGGATACAAACTTACTGCTTTATATGGCTACGAAATAAAAACATAATTATATATTTTCAAACGAGGCAGAGTTGTTGTTGTTGTCATTCATCTGGTGAATTTCAGGGAAACTTAAATTACCTGTGTCAAGAGATATGATAACGAAGACATATTAACACAGTTATAAAATGATTTATTCGTCTTAACAACGATTAAAAAACAAAGTAGCCCGAACTAAACTTTACACTTTGAGTTTACAGAGTGACCCTGAATGCAGCCATGTCAAGGCCTCAGCACAGTGTAAATATAGCCTTAAACTGGCCTTTAACCTAAATTCTTTCAGCGTTATCTACGTGAAATAGGTGTTTAACAAAAGTCAAGTTAAACTGACAGAAAACAAAAAAGAGCAATACAAGTCAATACAGAGATCCTTCAAACCCTTTATTTGCTAAAATGCAGTTGTTTTCAGTAGATTTCAGTATGTTAAAGATTATGTATAAAGCTCATAGGAACATTTTACTAGTCAACATCCAGAGCAGGTTAAAAAAAAAAGATTAGAAAAAAGTTTATTGTAATTTAAAAGGATTAGAAATATTTTAAAAGTAAAATGTGAATTAACCTAGTCTTTTCTGTTTTTTTTTTTTAGAATAAAAAAATAATGAAGTGTAAAAAAACATGTTGGCCTGCAGCTCTTGTTTATTTTCATTATTACATGTTAAGTTGATTAATATCTTGTGAGTTTTCCTTTTTCTGCCCCTTTCATCCACATGTTTGAGATTTTTACTTGTTTGTATTGAATATTTTAAATATTTAATGAATGAAATAAAGTATGAAAATAAAACAGAATTTGTTTAATTTAAACAGAGCTTCTTTTATCGTGTTTTTTAAAATATATGCCGTTTTCTCATCAGATGAGGTTTGTTAAAAGTCCTCTTTTGTACTCCAAGTCTAAATATAGTGACATAAACATTTAATAAACGTATCTTAAGCCCGTGGTTGAGTTGAGCTCACTTTAAGGCGGTATGGTGATCTGATTGAATTTCTCATTAATAAAAAAATTGTTCTGTTGAGTAAAACAAAAAACTTTGAGTCAGATTAAAGGTGTTGAAGAAGATTAAATGCTTCCTAATCCAGCAGAAACAGACACATGCACAAAGTTTTATTCCAAAAGTATTTATTTACAAGGAGGAGTATGTACAGGCTTATGTACACGGAGAACATGCTACAACCAACAAACAGAGACGGGAGTTTACACACACTTCACACCGGAGTCACCAAGGAGCAGGAAACAGTTTTTTTTCTTTAATTTGTTTGCAGATTCTGCTGATTAAACCCAGAAACTATGAGCCAGATTATGTCTGTGGAGGAGAGCAGATTTCTGAACAAGCTGATCATTAGATTTTTAGGATGAAACAGATGATTTCAGACGTTTGAGTGCAGCGCCGCCCTCACACTCTTCCTCCTTCAGATGAGATTCATAACAGATAACTGATGCTGATGTTCGAGGTCCACGCTCAGGCAGTCTTTTGTTCTTTTAGGATCAATAAAGAAAATTAAATGAAACTCCCACTTTCCCTCAGAATGAAAGACGGCAGTTTTTAATAAAACAAAGTGGGAAACTGTGGCCTTCAGCTGACCTAATGATGTTAAACGATGGTCTGAAGCTTCTGTTTTAATCTAGAAATGAATTTCTTTCCATTTTAGGAACGAGCTCTTCTGTTTCTGTCAAATAAAAACCTTTAACACGGACTGAAGTTCTACAGAGGAGGAAGTTTGACCTGAAAAAACTACGACACAAAAATGACAGAAGGGTCCTTTAAAGTCAGTTTTGTCCTTCCATGTTAAAGTCATTACATGAAATATGACTGAAGATAAAGAGTGATGCTCAGTGGTGACCTCACACACACATACACACACACACACACACACGCACACACACACACGCACACACACGCACGCACGCACGCACACACGCACGCACACACACACACACACACACACACTCAAAAACACACACACACACACACACACACACTCAAAAACACACACACACACACACACACACACACACACACACTCAAAATCACACACTCTCAGTCTCCATGTTTCAGTCCGAGTCGCTGCTGCTGCTGGACGAGTCCGTCGACATGGCCTCCACGTCGTCCTCGTTCTCCTTGTTGTGACCCGGAGGCTCTAGGCCAAAGTCGTTTCCATGGTGAGGAGGCAGCATCCCCACAGAGACGTCCGAGGACTGCCAGGGGTAGTGAGGCGTTAGGACATCTGAGGAAACGAGAGGAGAGAAGGAGAAAAAGAGGGACTTAGGTTGTTGTTTAGAAATCATTCATGTCCTCTCAGCGTCTTTCTGAGGATCCGCAGAGACTTTGGCTTCAAACTGACCACCAACTTCCACCTTCATCCTGATCGTCTCCTAAAAGGTCGTATCCTCCGATCGTAGCTGATCGTAACCATTCAAGTTAACGTGTCAATTTACACCGACTTCTTTCCGTTCCTCTGCGGATCTCAAGAGTTCTGCATTCCACATTTCAACTGATGGACACAGATGTTGCTCCTAAACCTGCAGATATCGTCTAAAACTGAGGATGCAGCATCTATGATTTCCAATTCTTTGTTGAAAGACAACCGGACACTGCATCCTAAACGTCTACCAAAAGGTCGTATCCTCCGACCGTAGCTGATCGTAGCTGACACCATGGATGAGGAGATGCTGATTCTAGAAGTCTAGTAGTAGATTTCACAAACGGATCCGGTAGGAATTGGCAGACGGCGAAAATTGCTGCCATTCCAGATGCAGTGGAAATTCGTGGTAAACCAGAGCAGGCAAACAGAGAGTTTTCAGAAAATCTAAAGTACTTCTAAAATAATGTTTCTGTGTGAATCTCCAGTTGGAGTAAAAGAAGAAAAAGATCTGATATCAAATCTGATATCTGTGAATTAATCGATCATTAAAGTGAGGGACTGTAACCCCTGCGTCACCACGCAGACGTGCTCCAATCAGAAATAACCGACACTCACCTGGAAGCCTCCCAGCAGCCAGAGCATCACCTGGAAGGTGTCCGTTCACGCCATTGGTCGGCAGATTGGCCATGTGACCCAGCATCCCGCTGCGCATCTCCAGGTCTGTGGGGTAGGGTCTGCGTGGATCACCTGAAAACAGCAGGTGTGTTAGAGACGCAGAGGAACAGATGAGGAGTAGGAGGAGCAGCAGAGGGTTCGTACCTGGGACCCAGTTGAGAGGAGCACAGACGGCGTTACTCGCACTGATCCTGTGAGCGTATTTGATGATTTCCTCAGAGGAGATACTTCCTGAAGAGAACAGACGAGACAGACATGAGACCCTCACCCCTCGGTGATCATCACAGCTCAGAAGACAGGTGTGTGGACTCACCTTTTCGAGCTTTCTCGATGGATTTGAGTTTCTCTTTGGCCTGGTACACCGCAGTGGCCTGGAAACAAGAGGAAGAGGAGGAGCTGATTCAGATCAACACGAGAAAACCTGCTCAAGTTCCTGACATGACAATTTCAGAGTGAAAATACGGAGAAGCATGGAGGCAGAGAGCGGCACAGAGGACTAAAATGAACACTGGGCCCTCAGAATCGGTTCATCCACCAGAATCACCAACACCGGCGCCCCCCAGGGGTGTGTTCTCAGTCCATTTCTATACAGCCTCTACACCAATGACTGCACCAGCCCCTCACCTGTCACCACATACTGAAAATATTCAGATGACACTGCCATTCTTGCTCCACCTACTTTAGTGACCTTAAAGCCACATGTCTAAGCTCTCAAATACTTGTTGAATGTTGTTTCTATCTGCTACAGAGGCTGAGATATCAGCTGTTTGTAAACCTCAACACTTCAGAGAACCTCAGGATCTGGGGGCCCTTCTCAGGATCTCAGAGTCTCAGACAGGGTTCAGGTCTTAGTGGGTTAATGAATCAGATCCTGTTCTGAGGTGATCTTCGACCCCAGTCTGGACTAAAACCTCCTCCACCCACCAGGATGTGCTCGGCCTCCTTCAGCTGTTTCTGCAGTTGTTGGATGTCACTGTCTCTCTTCTCCACCTCCTTCTCCAGCAGCTGCATCTCCTGGTGGACCTTCCCCTGATGTTGGGCCACCTCCATCAGCTCCTGGAACTCTCTGTCCCTCTGGACCAGCAGCTCCAGGATCTCAAAGTAAAAACAAACACAAACAGGGATCATGTTTACCTCCTCAGGTCTTCTTCTCCTCAGTCTGTCTTCAGTCTCAGTTTCTCTCTTACCTGCGTATCTTCTCCTGTCTGAGGGAGTTTCTGAGTCCTGGACAGAGCTAACATCTCAATCAGCTCTCTGAGAACACACACACACACACACAATGAAAGCTAACGTTAGCTTAGCAAATATCCACAACATCATCATAATTACATTTTTACATGTGAACAAAAACATGGAAGGAAAAAACTACAAAAACAACATCATAATGAAGTAGAGCTGTAAAGTTTACCGGGATAAAACCTCTAAATCGTCTAAAACAGACAGTAAACGCTCTTTTGTAGATTTCTCTGCCGCCGTCCCCATAGCTGCTCTGACCGGAAGACTTTCTTCTTCTTCGTGTTTAAGGCGCATGCTCACAGCGGCTCTGCTGACACCTGCTGGTCGGAATCAGAATGTCCTGTATTGTCATTGTAGAGAAGATTAGAGAGGTTCTCCATTTTAGTGAAACAGATACAAAAATAAAAAAACAGAGACCGACTTAAAATTCCAAAAATATTTGTAAGAAAAAAAACATGATAATAATAATAATAATAATAATAATAATAATAATAATAATAATAATAATAATAATAATAATAATAATAATAATAACTAAATACAAGATAAAACCCTACATATATATCAACCACTAAAGTTCATATTTTGCTTGTTCATCAGGTGTTTTACCCTCCAGGTACTTTTCACAGCCAAGTCTTGAAACTGTTTTATCGGGTTGGTCTTGTCCTTTTGGTGCTCATGTAGATAAATCTGCTGTCTACTTTCATTTATCATAATTATCTTTCCTTTAATGAGTCACTGAATACCTGAGGCTGGTTTCTACTTTCAACTTGAGCTGTTTTTGACGCGATCGGGGGAATTTCAGCCCACACATGGCAACCCTGTTCTGTCGGTCTGTATAGTTTTGTTGATGTTCCGCAGGAGCAGCTGTGATCACCGACGGATCAAGTTACCGACACTTTACCGGAACCTCGGTGTGTTCGACTTCAAAATAAAGCAAAAACAAAACCAACTTTATTCAGAATCAGAAATACTTTAAAAATACCCAGGGGGAAATTACTTTAACTCCAGTGCAAATAAAGTAGAAAGAGGAGAGAAATAATAGATAAAATAAGTAAAAATGTGTAAAAAAAAAAGAGATAATACACAGGTATGTACACTATATACAACACAAAATAGTAAAATAGTATGCAAAATAATAAGCATTCTTGTATTTGTGAGCATGAAAAGGAGGCAGCATTTAAATACGATGGAAAACATCTAATTATTTTTAGTGTCACAGTTATAAAATAAAGAATAGTTTCTTTTTTGCAAAGATTTGTGTATTCAGGTTAATTTATCGCATATAAAGAAATTAAACCACAGTGATCCATCTGCCATCTGATATTAAGATATAAAACTTTCAGTCTTGTTGCGGATGTTTTTTTATTCGTGTGGTTATCAGAAAGAGGAATAAATATGAATGTCAGTGATAACTCACTTGACTTCACTTCAACTTTATCATGTCCCAAAATGGGCAGATCGGGTTGCAGCAGGAACAGACATTTAAAACACCGCCATACATCATAAAATGAATAAATTAAAATAAAATACATCTACATAAAAAAAAAGTTCAGGAGGTAAAAAGTATTAAAGGTGATTTAGAAGGTAAAAAGAAAAGCATATGTCAGTCATATCAGTATTTTTGCATGAACAGAGTGCATCAGATAAAGTGCAGAAACAAAGTGCAATGTGCGGTTTGTGTACCAATAAAAGACCCCTAGATGAAGCTTGATCTATAATAATAATAATAATAAAAATAACAACAATAATAATAGAAATATACACCACATACTATCAGAAACAGTTATCAGGAATCATTTCGGGCTCTGATAGATCCTGGGATGAAGGGATTTTTATACCCGTTTCTTGTGGTTGTTGAAACTCGCAGCCGATGGCCAGAAGGTAACAGATTGTGTTCTGAGCAGAGAGGATGGTCACTAACACAAGTTTACAAAGTGCTCTGACACAAACAGTCATAAATAAAGAACATCTGCACATGGAAACAAAAACAATAAAAATAAAAGTTTAGTTAAAAACAAGGCCTCTAATCGAAGGCCAGTTTTATTTTTCATGAGAGACCAGACAGTACAAGAACCCTACAACATAAAATGAGACATTAAAGTGCCTTGACGTCAGTTAAATATTGGCCTAAATGCTGTACTTATTATTACTGTGACTTATCTTTACTGTCTGAGGAGAAGTTGCCATTTCTGATAGTTGTTCGTCTTTTATTTTGAAGTGAAACCGGAAGTCCCCCTGCCGTCTCCCCGGTTAACTTGACGGTGTCTGTTATCGCAACAGATCAGTTTGGCTGAGAAGAAGAAGAAGAGGAGCGTCTATTTAACTTCGGAGCGAACACCGTCTCTTCTCTTCCGTCTGAAAACCTTTTGTTTTAACTTCTTTTGGTTGGAAAGTTGTTGTTGGTCTTTGCCAGGATGGTGAAAGTTTCTTTTAACTCGGCGTTGGGACAGAAAGATGTGAAAAAAGACGCAGAAACTCTGATTCCCGAGGAGGACAAAGTGAGTAAAAATGGCTAACAGCGCTCAGAGCTTCAGACACACGCAGTTTGATTAAAGAGGGAAACACTCGAGAGAAACGCTCTTTATCTTTACTTTTACACTCTTTAACTAACTCTTTACTCATTTAAGAGTCTAAAGACAACTATTTTCACCGTTTATAACGACTTACCGTTTATCACTATTACCTTGTTATGCACGGTGTGTTACCGAACTTTATCCACATTTATTCATCAAACATCATTTTAACACAGAAAATTAACTCTTTATTTTATTTAAACGTTTTTAGATCACTCTATAGTGTTTGTGAGCCTCAGTTTCTCTCTTTATAAAACCTGTTAAAGCGGATTTAAGTGAGTTAAAGAGCTTTTACTGAGACAGTGTTATTATAGGTCTAAAAACAGGCTCTAAGTGATTATTAAAACTGATTTAAATATATTTAAAATAACTGTATTTATCATAAATTGACTCTTTATTATGAAAATCAACAAAAGAATCTGTTTGTAAAGTCATAATTTCATTGTTAGAATCCCATATCTTCTAATTTATAACTTAAAATTTTCTTCATTTTAACAAGAAATGATCCGACAAATCCTTACACAACAGTCAGATTATCACACAAACTAAAATCATAGGAAATAAAATCAGTTAATTAACTTTTCCACCATTTAAAAACACACTGATGACACATTAACAAACTTAATTTAGTGTTTTATACTTAAGTTTAGACTTAAGCTTCTTCCTCAGTATAAAGTGTTTTTATATCAAACCTCCTCATCAGTCAGAGACATTTACAAAGGTGTGTGTACTTTGTGTACTTTGGTTCTGCTTTTATAGTACTGAACATGGTGGTTTTACTTTCTCTCCTGGTTTACTTTATATTTTTATTTTTCCTGTTTCAGAGTTTAAAGTTTAGTTTATTGACTTCATTAGAGGAAATGCTGCATGTTTTTAATGATGTATTTTATTTCACAGCTGCTCTTGTTGTTTGTGGACAGATTAAATATTTAAGACCAGAATACCTGTTAAAGTACCTAAATATCAGCTTGTTCAGTGTGAATATTTGCTTTTTTGACACTTTATCAGTAAGAAGCTGCTGCTGTGAACTTACTAGACTATAAAACTTCGTAGTAGAAAGGTGCTGTCGTCTTTAATCCTGTTTTAATAATCTTCATGTTAATAGAATAATCCACTGTGAGCGTCTGAACGTCATCTGTGTGGTTTTATTTCTATGAGAGCGCGGTCCTGTCGCTGCATGCAGATGATGCGTCACCATCATAACAGATCCATGTTAGAGACCTGAGAGGTTATCGTCTCTGCAAACATCCTGATCATCGACTGGAAACGAAGAGTTTGGCCTTTAAACGCTCAGATATTTGCCACACGGCGCCGTGTCGGGAGTTTCTGAACTTCAGACTGAAGGTCTGATGAAGTTTGTAAGTGTGTGTTTGTGTTTGTGTGTGAGTCTGTCTGCAGGATGTGGACGTGCAGCAGCAGAATTAATGACAGTAATGAAGTGGATGGTTTTGGCCGTTGAACGCTGCCTGCTGAGGCGTGTTGTTGTCGGTCTCTGAGTGACGCCGTCTCCACCCCGCCGTGCAGGAGCTGCTCTCAGTCTGAGGAAGTTTGACCTGTTTTTTTGTTCAGGGTTAAAGTCCTCAGAGATCTGAAGCAGGAGGAGCGCTCGCACATTTACAGTTTGTTTTATAGAGAAGTGCGTCTCCTCGGTCTGATCTGCGGTCCTGGGTGGTGTGGTGGGTGTACTTCCTGTCTTCATGTGCCTGCAGACTCAGTTTCAGGCCCCTCCCTCCCTCTCAGGGTTTCAGCCGGACTCTTATCTGGACGATCAGACCTCCAAACACGGCGGCACATTCTGGACTCTTGATTTCCTGCACGTATCAGAGCAGCTCTGGCTGTTTTTAGGAGGATCCAGAAACAAGAGAAACTGTCACAGTTTGGATCATTCTGGGTTAAATCTTTAACGACCTGATGGTAAATGCATGTGAAAACCAGTTTAAAGTGGGTAAAACATGAGTGGACCAGTTTGTACACCATCATGTCAAAGTGAAAGTTAAAGACGATGTTTTTATCTGTCCGACTTTGTTTCACTTTCCTGAGACAGTTCGATGATCAGTCACGATCAATCAGCTGATCCCTGTAAATAAACCCGATCTGCTGCAGATCAAACGTGTGTGTGTTTTACACCGTGCACACACACACACACACACACACACACACACACTAACGTGTCAGTCGTGTGGATGTGGTGTGAGGTTGAAGAAGAGGAAACTCAAAGATAGTGAAAATTAACGCTTGAATTTACTGACAGAGGAGGAGTTTATTTATCAGAAACTCAGGAGGGACCAAAACCGGGACCAGGACGTGGATTTAAAGGAACCACAGATGTGAACAGACCGGAGGAGTCGAGCTCAGATGGTCTGTGTTTGCAGGGTTAGAGAGTTAAAGGTCATGTCTTGTGGTTTGTGGATGAATAATCTGGTTAATATTAAAGAATGATGGTGACCAGGCCGCTGAAGCCTCTCTCTCTCTCTCTCTCTCTCTCTCTCTCTCTCTCTCTCTCTCTCTCTCTCTCTCTCTCTCTCTCTCTCTCTCTCTCTCTCTCTCTCTCTAATAAACCTCCACTCATATAATCATAATAAAATTAATAATAATTAAGTGACTGAAGGTTTGATCTGATATGTAAGGACTCATTTTCTGGTTTGTTTACCGTGGATGCATAAAAACTGGAGTAATCGAGTCCTCGCTGTGACCGCCATGATTAAAGACTCCGTCCGCACAGACTCAGAGGCCGGTCTCTGCACAGACGTCTACGTTACCATCAGCTGTCCTTTCATTCACACGTTCACACACCATGAAGGACCCTCTCATCTGCGAGTTCTCCATCACACGTCCATAAAGTCAGGGTTTCTGTGAATCTGGGTCCTGAAGTTCAGCGTCTTCTCCTCGTCTGTCAGCCAGAGTTTGTAAAACCATAATCCTAAACGGGTTAAACTGGGATGACACCAGTCAGCTTCACCCTCAGCTCGTCTCTGTCAGACATTCACAGCAACAAAAAATAGACCGAGACAATATTTGTGGACGGGCTGACGTTAGCCTCACTCACATGTGTGTGTGTGTGTGTGTTTGCTCTGGAGTCAGGCAGGGACACACACACTTACAATAATCCTGAACCAGGTTTAAAGGTCCAGACCTGAAGCTCCCAGTCTCCCCTGAAGGTCACCGTCCACCTGTACCTGTACTGGTACCTCGGTGTTCTGGTGGACTGGTTTCAGACTTCATGACTTCATGGTCCAGATCTAAATTCTGCACCGTCAGCGTCTTCCACCTGTGCTTGTTTACATCAGGTAGTTGTCCGTAATCCACCATGAAATTCCCCTCACTAACTGCTCCGGTAGGACTTGGCGGACGGAGAAATTGCCGCTGTTCTGGATCAGAAACTTGGTGGTGAGAGCGTCATGGCAGCAGGTTTGAACCCGAGCTGAAGCTCCAGTTAGAGGAGGGTGTTTGTACTGGAGACTGTGATTTCAGGTTCACAGTGAAATACTCATCAGACCTCAGAGTTCATCATCATCTCTGCAGAAGTTTTGAGGAAGGATCTGAAATGACCTGCAGACAGTTGAGGACAGGATCAGCGTGAGGACCGAGGAGGAGCAGCTTCTCTTTGGGCTCATGAACCCCTGAGGATAGACTCTCTGCAGGGTCTGGCTGAAGTCTGCACTCATGAGGTCTGACTGGGACTGCAGCTGTTTTTGGGTGTGTGTGTGTAGAGAGAGAGAGAGAGAGAGAGAGAGAGAGAGAGAGAGAGAGAGAGAGGAGGTGTCGAGTTCTCGCTGTTTTTCTCTGATAAGACGTTTCCTGTTGAAAGAAAAAAAAAACCTCAACAGTCTTTAACCAATCAGGAGAGAGCGGGGGGGCTCAGATCAGATAAGAAGAGGAAGATTAAAACCCTGACATCTACAGAAAAAACCACAGGATGAAAAAAAGTGTTGATGAATGGAGAAGTATTGATCTTATAATGATCACTGATCATTGATCCAAACACTCAGTTAAAAGCTTTTAAATCCTCGCTCAGCCTCTTTTAGTGATTTTATCTGAACTCTGGATCATCACGGTCCTTTTTCAGACATGTAGTTCACAACAAAGTCATCTTCTTTTCTCAGTTTCACTGTAAAAACATCCTCTTTATTTACAGTGAAACTGAGACTGACCTTTGAGGGACATAATCATGAACCCTGAGATCATGGCGGTGAATTCCTCTGTTGGTCTGACCTCACGGCGGTCTCTCAGAGGTCAGGAAGTCTGGACTGGGAGGCCGGCTCATTGCTAAGTACGCTGTCATTGTTCCCAGAGGATATACCATTGATTTCAGACCAGTTACTAAACTGGGTCTGAAGAGTTCAGGTGGATCTGAGAACCTGCTCAGAGTAAAACCTCGTCCACTCTGAGGACCTGAGTCTGTGGAAACTCCTGGACTATAAATGAACCTTCAGACCCACTGAGACGCAGACAGGAAGTAGCTTTATTAAGCTGCGGTGACTGATACTGTGCTGATAAACTTAGACGTTATTTTTATGAGACCAGGGTGTAAAAAGTTTTTCTATTTTGACCTGATGAATGAATGAATGAATGAATGAGGCAGCAGCAGCAGGTCTGTTTTCATGAAGGCTCGAAGTGAAAGTTAAAGTCAGTTATTACAGAGGAAACATGATCTGAACCTGCTGTGGTGGACCTGTGATGGTGTCTCCCCTCTCAGCGTTTTTCAGTCTAATAGACGTCTACATGTGGTCGAGATGACGGTCTAAAATCAGACTACCACAGGTCTTTTCAGTCAGACGTCTAACTTTAGACCGAGTTTAGACCAGCCGGCTAACAGAGGTCTAACTGTATATCGCTCAACGATTATCATAATTATGTTGGTTTAGTACCTGGAGATCAGTTATAAACTCACAGATGCTTTTTGAAGTAAATAGTTATCGAATAATCGTCAACGTCTAAAATTCTGTCTGCAGATCTACAGAATCTAGACGTTGAAATTAGGTCTAAAAACAAACTAGATGTCTAATAGCCGTCTGTTGCTCAGTGGGTCCTGTGGATTCATGATCCGTCCGCCCCTTCAGAAGGTCTTTGGTGGATCACTGTGATCCAGAACCAAATTCAGACGTTCATCAGATTTTATTTCCGTCTCTCTGCTCCGGATCCTTCTGTGGTCACAGACGCTCCACGCTTTAACAGGATTGAGAGCTGAGCCAATTAGATTATTGATCAATTAATTAATTGATCCCATTTCAGCCAATCAAGTGTGTGGATTACTTACATTCCTTTAAATGAAATTACTGCTGCTTTGGCCGAGAACAGCTGTCAGCAGACTCACGTTCGTCTTGGTGGAGAACAGAGATGTTTGATCACTCTTATTTAACGTTTATGATCATTCACTTTGATTAACTTCATTATTATTGATTGAAAACAGCAGAATAAAGTCTAAGAACAGTTTCAGAATCATCTCAAACGTCTCAGACCTTCACCTCCTCGGTTTCTACTCCATCTGTTTTTATTCGTTCTGATAAAGTCGTGATCGTTTTCTCCTCCACCTCCTTCATGAGCAGATTTCAGCTCAGACCCCTCCTCCTGTGCGTCCTCTCCTCTCCTCTCCTCGCCGTGGTCGTTGTTGGCGTGCGGCTGCTTGGAAAGGATTAGTCTGTAATCAGTCAGATAGGGACTCAGCCGGGAGCTTACGCAGACTCCTGGAGGGCGCCGGCAGCTAAAACCCAACGAGGAGGAAGATTAAGCAGGCAGGAGGTTCGACGTGGTCCCTCTTCTTCATCTACGACCAAAACCTGATGATGACCAGAGAACCTGGTTTCTCTGAAGGACAGGAACTCACCTGATAAACCAACAAGTCTGAAGACCACAAACCAGCTTCATGTGACAAATAAAAACAGACGACGACAACATGACATGGAGCGGACAGACAGACATGGATCTTTAGGGCAGAAATAATCTGACTTATTGAGAAGAAGAAAATAAGGACTAATCATGTTTAAAATCAATAAATCCATGAATCCTGTTGATGTGATCGGACACGTTTTTAACCGTTTTTACATCAGGACTCTGAGACGGTTCACACTGAGGCAGACGGACTAAAGAAAAGCCTGTAAGAAGATTTAGAGACCAGTTCAACACGTCAAAATAAACTCTGAGTCCATATGGAGAATTCCAGCTGACAGAGGAGACGTCTGTCAGGAGGTTATATAAGAGCGAGAGAGTGAGTGACAGCAGGTATGAAGGAGGAGGAGGAGGAGGAGAGCCCAGCTGTGAGGAGGTCGACCAGCTTCATCTGTCCTCTTTAAATAGAGTTATTAAGGCCTCAAATCAATATCACCATATATTGATCAGTTCACCTTTACAGAATATACCGATACAGGCAAAATAATGTCAGTTATTGTCAGTAAATTTTCGTTTTATCGCTCAGCCCTACTTCACCACTGATGATGATGATGATGATGAGGAAGTCCTCAGTTTGTTATTGAAGCAGAGATCTGATCTGACACTTCTGTTCCCGGTCTTCAGTTCCACTTTATTCATGTGGTTTTGACTCTTACGACATCTGGGGACACGTTTTGTTTTTGAGTTTGAGGTCTGAATGTTTAAATCAGCTGTTTTTAAACTTCCTCTTTCTCAAACTCCTGCTGACTTCAGCTGATGAAGAATCTCACCCCCGATCTCCAGCTTCATCCTGATCGTCTCCTAAAAGGTCGTATCCTCCGATCGTAGCTGATCATAACCATTCAAGTTAACGTGTCAATTTACACCGACTTCTTTCCGTTCCTCTGAGGATCGCCGGACTCCTCAGCTGATCACAAGAGTTCTACAGTCGACATTTCAACTGTTGTCAGAATGTAGTTTGGGATCATATGAAGGACGTAGATGTTGCTCCTAAACCTGGAGATATTGTCTAAAACTGAGGATGCAGCATCTATGATTTCCAACTCTTCGTTGAAAGGACAGTTGGACTTACTTGGGAAGTTTCGCCTTAAGTAAGTCCAACTGTCCTTTCTAAAAGAGAGTTACCCCAAACTTCCAGGACCTCCAGAACATCTACTAAAAGGTCGTATCCTCTGGAAGGACACAATCTACTGCTTATATGTCTATGTGTCTGTCTTTAGAGAGACAACTCATTATCGCGCGATTGATCGTGAATCTGCAGGTTCTTGTGAGTTCTTACGATTACCGCTGTCTGGTAGGAATTGGCGGACAGTGAAAATCGCCGCCATTCCGGATGCGGTGGATATTTGGGGTTAGAGATGAAGAGTCTGAGTGATGAAGAGTCTGGATATCTCCCCTCACTTCTCCTGACGGACCTGCAGGTATCAGGATGAAACGGAGAGTTTCAGGTTCCGCTCAGAAGTGGACCCACAGAGGCCGGAGATGGAGTTTCAGGTCTCCTCTGACCGAGTGAAACTAAAGCTGGTCCTGACACTGATACTCACCTGAGCGCACACACACACACACACACACACACACACACACACACACACACTCACACACACACACACACACAGGTGTTCAGGACTCTGATCCAGTAAAGACGTTAAAGTGAGGACTGAAGCAGGATCCTCTGATGGGGTCTCTGTAGTCCCTCAGGATCAGTTTTTAGAACTGTCTCAAATATTCGAACCCTGGTACAAATCAGGTCAGTGACCTTTGACCTGCTGCAGATCCTCATCATTTCAAACACTGACAAACAGATAAAGAGACGTGAACGAAGTCTGAACCTCCTGAGTGTGAGTGTGTCAGCGCTCTGAGGGTCAGAACTGAAGGACTTTTCTGGGTCTGGACCTCAGACTGATGGTGTCCCTGGTGTTTCAGTGATCCGGTCTCTGGTTTATCAGGCGTGTTTCTGACTGAACATGTCATACCAGAGTCTTCATCATCATCGTCATCTTCACGGCGTGTGTTTGTCGGAGTTATGAAACCCGGTCTGAGGACTTGTCTGGTCTTGTTGTGGACCTTCAGGAGGTTGTTGTGAAACCAGCTGGATTTAGAGGCAGCAGTTTTACAGAGACAAACTCAGACTTCTGAAGGTCCCGGGACTCAGGTGGGAACAGGACGTGGGTCAGGTCTGCGGTCGGGGTCTTGGTTTCTGAAAAGACCACAAAGGAAGAGCAGAAAGGGGTCAAAGTAAAACCAGAGACTTCCTGTTAGAGACGGAGCTGACAGAGAGTCTGTGTTCGTCGATGAGCTCTTCACAGTCGGTCCAACAGGAACCAGAACCAGAACAGTCCAGTTCCCCCACAGACTCACAGTCTGGTCGGGCTGGTCCCAGTGTCTGCAGAGTCTGTTAGTGTTTGTGTCGTTCATGGACGATTCGTTCAAAAGAACTGCTGAGTCAACGACGTGAACCGGATCACTCAGACCTGATTCGTTCCTTTCTCAGTTCCTGGCGTGTCAGTCAGGAGTAGAACTGACGCCTTTGACTCTTTGGCGAACGACAGACAGCCAGCCAGCGAGCGAGTGCAAATGAACGACATGAATCAGTCAGTCTGTGAACGAAACGAACGACTTCTGAACGACTTGAGTCAGTCGGAGGAGGGAGGGGTGTAGCGTCGTTCCTGAACTGCCGAGCAGCGGTGATATAAAAGAACGACGACTCGCGCTCGTTTAGCGGCGTGCTGCTCGCTGCTGGGTTGATTCCGCTGACAGACGGCGACACACAGAGAGGTGAGTTTTTCAGGGCGGGGGAGTGATTCTTCCTTCGGGACTTGGCGAATGAACAACATGAGTCACCCAGTGAACGACGCTGTGACTTCAGCAGCAGGGGAGGGGCTAATGAACGAACTCGATGGGGCTCCGAAGCACTGACTGATTCAGTGAATGAATCTTCTGAACGAATCATTTTAATGAAGCGATTCTAAAGATTCAGTCAAAAGAACTGATCTTCCATCACCTGGTGACCTTCACTGTAAGTTCTGCTCCTCCGACCCAAACTGGACTCTGTGATGCTCCTCTGAAGGTCTGGTTCTGGTCCTGGTGTTGTTGTGGTCCAAGTTCAGTTCGGAGCTCCTCCTCCTCCTCCTCCTTCTTCCTCTTTTTTTGTTCCTCTTTTCTTCTCTGAGAGTCGAAAAACAAGTGAGCGACAGGAAAAAAACGTCAGCCGATGGAGAAAAGCCCGAGGAAATGTTCCCTTTTAGAGAGAGAGAGTGTGTGTGTGTGTGTGTGTGTGTGTGTGTGTGTGTGTGTGTGTGTGTGTGTGTGTGTGTGTGTGTGTGTGTCCATCCTCCAGAGCCAGCATCAGCCTTTGTGGTTCCCCTTTTCTGAACGCTCTTCCACGCCGCCACCTCCTCACCGCCACAAAAACAAAAACAAACATGGTGGAACATCTCTGTGTTGGTGGTTTTTCTGACCCACATTGATCAGGTCTGAACCTCAGACTTGAGTCTGTGCTGGTCTAAGAGGACCAGTGAACCTCCATGAACGGTACAGAGGGTCAGAAACGCCGACATTTTTACAGACATAGACAGCATAGATCTGCGTCTGTAGATGTTTAGATGTAGATGTTTACATGAATTTGACATGCAGCTGAAAATCCTGTCGTATGAAGTTAATTTAAAGTTCTGAAGTTTCTGTCTGTAAACTGTAAATATATTTATACACAGAGGTAAACGTTCATACGTTCATGTGGAGAGAAACTAAGAGGAGAGAAGAGCGTCTCTCTGCGTGTTCGGATGTGTTCAAATAAAAGTTTGTTCAGTTCGTTTCGGTTTGAATGAAAAAAACAGAAGTGACTTTAACAGAAACCATTAAACGTCTGTTTCTGTTTGTTTCTGTGAATCTAACCGCAGCTTCTGTTTTTTTGAGGTTAGTGATGGAGGAGCAGAAACTAAAAACAGGATTCTTGATGGTAACTCCAACGTTGGTCCTCCTGTCCGAGATGAAACATGTCCGGACTCGTTCAGAAACAAACCGGGTCTTTGTCCTCCGGGTCAGAGTCCACAGGCTGATGTTTGCCTGATGATAAGAAAGACCCAGCTTGTGCTTTTGAATATTTACCCACAATCCCTTTCACCGTTGAGCGCTAACGTTAAAGTCTGAGGAGATCAATGATCTCTGTGAGGGTCGATGTCCTGATGGACCGAAGGCCCGCCACTGTTAAAGGTTCTTCAGTTACCTTTAACTCTAGAGGTTTTAACGTTTTAATTTAAAGGGTTTTAACATTTTAAGTTTTAATATTTCAATTTTAAAAGGTTTTAACATTTGATTTTCGAGGTTTTAACTTTTAAATTTTAGAGGTTTTAATATTTGAATTTGATGTTTTGATTTTAGTACAAACAGTTTTATTGTAGAGATTTTAATATTTTGATATTTAAGGTTTTAACATTGTAATTTAAAAGGTTTTAACACTTTAATTTTAGAGGTTTTACGGTTTAGTTTTAACGGTTTTATTTTGATTTTAGAGGTTTTAATATTTTAATTTAATTGGTTTTAACATTTGGAATTTAGAGGTATGAACAGTGTAATTTTAAAGGTTTTAATATTTTAATTTAAGAGGTTTTAAGGCTTAACTTTTAGAGGTTTTAACCATTTCATTTTAGATGTTTTAATATTTTAATATCAGAGGTTTTAACATTTTAATTTAAGAGGTTTTAACAGTTTAATTTTAGAGTTTTTAACATTTAAATTTTGAAGGTTTTAACATTTTTATTTCAGAGGTTTTAATGTTTTAATTTTAGAGGTTTTATCGTTAAATTATGTGGAGGTTTTACCGCACAGGTATAAATCCTCCTGACTTTGTAACTCTCTTTTTAATATTTTAAAATCTGATCTTTGAGGTCGAACAAGAATAAAAAAGGTGATTCTTTGTGATCATCTTTATTGATCGGTCTGATCTCCTTCTCCTTCTTCTTCTTCTCTCTCCTCCAGGATGCAGAGGCGGCCCTGGTGGTGCGTCATCAGTCCCGCGCCTGGTGCTGGTGCATGTGTCTGGGTGTGGCCCTCATGCTGTCAGGAGTGGTGGTGGGAGGAGCTTACCTGTACCGCTATTACATCATGGAGGTGAGCAGGCAGCACGGACAGTGGTGGGACAGTCTCTCCTCCAGCGGAGAGGTAACCTGAACCTGAATCCTTCACCTGAACACCCGGGACTAAAAAAGAGTTTCAGGGGTCAGAGGGCAGATCTGAGTGTAGTCCAGGAAACTAAACAAACCGTTAAAATATGAAGAGACTGAAATCAGGAGAGACGGTTACATTCCTCAGAGACTGAAGTCACACCTGAGAGGAGGAGGAGGAGGAGGAGGAGGAGGAGCAGCTAACACCAGATCAGAGTTTTCAGGACAGGTCGGAGCAGGTAAAGAGCTGAGTCTGGATTTTACTGTCAGTGTCGGAGGGGCAGAGAGAGAGACGGAGAGAGAGAGAGAGTGAGAAAGAGAGAGAGAGAGAGAGAGAGTCTCAGAGTGGAAGAGTTCACTCTAACCTGATATTTGTGATTCTAACTTCAAACTGTCCTGTACAGAACTTCAAAATAAAAGCATAAAACAAGGACAGTCTCTGCAGAGTAAAAAGATCAGGCTTTTATTTTGAAAATCCTTCTAGAAATGGTTCTATGTTGTATTTTCTACACCTGAGACCTGAACAAAGCTGATAGAGAGTCAGTCCTGCCTGAACCAGACCAAACTCAGATCTAAGAAAACCTTTGTTTGACTTTTTCAGGACCAGGTGAGAGAAAGACCGTGTGAGGATCAGGATCAGGACTTAGTAAATCCACCAAAGAAACGCTGCTGATCTGGACCTCACTGAGTTTAAATGTGGTTCCTCTAAAATGTGGAGCTTTCAGGTTTCAGCCGCACACACTGATATCTACAGATCAAACTTCTGATATTTGCCTCTCTGTAGCTGCAGAGTTCGTCCTCAGGCGTCCGTCAGCTGTTCTCGTTTTAATCGAGTTTGTTAAAGTGAAACTGTCGGACTCTCTTCTCAAACCATCAGGAAGTGATCTGAAGTTCTCGTTCTCGTTGACTCTTGTTCTCAGTCTTATGAGAAGGATCAGTTCTGACCCCTGTTGTTGTTGTTGTTGTTGTTGTTGTTGTTGTTGTTGTTGTTGTTGTTTGTTGATGTTGTTGTTGTTGTTGATGTTGTTGTCGTTGTTGTTGTTGTTGTTGTTGATGTCGTTGTTGTTGTTGTTGTTGTTGTTGTTGTTGTTGTTGTTGTTGTTGTTGTTGTTGTTGTTGTTGTTGTTGTTGTTGTTGTTGTTGTTGTTGTTGTTGTTGATGGTTTTATTTTCTATATTTTCTGTGTCGAGGTCTAAAGCTCGACCACGGTCAGATCTGTGTGTTGGATGTTGTTTCTCGTCTCTGGAGGACTAACAGGATCTCTGTGTCTCTTCAGCAGGAGGGGGAGGTCTACTTCTGCGGGGTCAACTACCGTGAGGAAGACTACATGATGCGGGAGGAAGAGGAGGTACGGTTCAGAAACTCTTATCAGACAGCAGAGGAACCCCACGCTTCAGTTCAACTAACAGCAGAGTTTCAGGAGGTTCTTATCAATCAGAGCAGACTGAGTCACCGATCGATTGATCACTCTAGTTATTGATTGACTGACAACAGCGGACTGACAGCTCAGCCCTGAAATATGTTTGTAGACAGAGATTTAAAAGTCAGACGGTTCAGACTCAGGTTTTTATCCAGAGACTGAACAACGACAGGAAGTGCTGAGATCCTAAACTGGTTGAACTGGTTTCCAGGTGGAGGTGGAGCTGCCTAACCAGTACCACCTGCGGCAGATCGAGGAGAGGATCAGGGTGCTGGAGAGAGAGCAGGTGGAGCTCATCAACGTCCCCGTGCCCGAGTTCGAGGATGGAGACCCCGCCGACATCGTCCACGACTTCCAGAGGGTGAGAGAGAGTGAAGCCCCGCCTACAGTGTGACATCACACACCGTCAGCTGTTTTCTAACATTAACCTCTTAAATCAGTCCACCGTGTGTCTGTGTTTTCACTTTAAAACACTAAGACGTGATTTTACTGAATGACGAGGAGTCGTGTTGTTTTAGTCGGCCTGTTTGAGTTTGAGTTTTAGTCTTTTAGTCGTTTTAGTTTTTATTAATTTTAGTCAACGATTGTACTCTCTTTTTAATAATATAATTCTGTTTAACCCGGTTAATAGAACTAGTTTAGTATAGAATAGATAAAACTACATTTCTCTTTTAGTCACAAATCAAACATGGTTACCTTATTGTTATATTATTGTTACTTTAGAGACTGAAGAAAACATCCATTCAGACGTGGAAGATGATCTGAGCAGACTGATCACACACACACACACACACATGCGCGCTCGGCTGGACACTGTAGAAAAGAAAGTGTCGTTACGTCAGCGTCTTAACCTTCCTCGAGTTCATCATGAAAGACCTTCAGATGTCTTTTTAGATCCGTGTTGTTTTTCTCAGTCATTTTACGGTCACATTTCTCCCTTTTTCTTTTTCCACGACACACACGTCTGTTTTGTTTTCCACTTGTTTGTAATTGAAGTCTGTTCAGATATCACTTTTCCCGGCCATGACTCCAACTCACCCAAAAACGTCTTAAAATACCTCGAGTTAGGGGATTGAGGATGTGACGTCGCCAAGGAAACAGAAAACAAAAACAACGATGAAACAGTTTCGTCTCGTTTTAGTCAACGAAAATGAAAAGATGTTTTATCAGAGTTTTTATCTAGTGAACCACATTTAGTCTCATTTTTATTCCTCAACAATATTAGATTATATATTTAGTTATAGTTATTCGTCAGCAGACCACCGTTTACGTTTCGTCTCGTTTTCATCACCTGATAAAGGTTCTTTGATGACGATAGTTCGTCATAATTTTCGTTGATGAAAACAACACTAATAAGAAGAAGTCTCTTGAATGATTTCTCCGTGTGTCTCTCAGAGGTTGACCGCCTACCTGGACCTCAGTCTCAACAAGTGCTACGTCATCCCCCTCAACACCTCCATCGTCATGCCCCCCAGAGACTTTCTGGAGCTGCTCGTCAACGTCAAGGTAGGAACGGAGATCTGATTCAGAGATCCTCACAGACATCAGGACCACTGAGAGGGTGGAGAGCTTCATGCTCCTCTGTGTTCCTCTCTCCTCAGGCCGGCACATACCTGCCCCAGTCCTACCTGATCCACGAGGAGATGGTGGTGACCGAGCGCCTGGAGCACGTGGACCAGCTGGGATACTTCATCTACAACCTCTGCCGCAACAAAGACACCTACAAGCTGCAGCGCAGGGACCGGATCCTGGGTGAGCGGACTCTGTGTTTACTGGTTCTGAGAGGACGGAGGAGACAGACCAGACCAGATCGGAGTTTTAACCCTCTCCTCTCCTCTCCTTGTCTCACAGGTATGCAGAAGCGTGAAGCTCTGAACTGCCACAAGATCCGTCACTTCGAGAGCCAGTTTGTGGTGGAAACTCAGATCTGCGAGCCTTAAAGAGACCTCGGACGCCTCACACCTGCTCTTAAAGTCTGCAGTGAGATTTGTGTTGTTAACCCTCACCTGTCCTCTTTTTTTCCACCTTTACTTCAGGTAGTTTGAGTGAGTGAGAGGAGTCAAATGTGAAGCTGTTTGAATTTCTGTCGATTGTTCAAAAAGGAGAAGAAGAAGAAGAAGAAGAGATGTGTATTTTTTCACTTTCCTGACGGGGATCTCTGGCATTATGAGGATTTCAGATGATGAGCAGCTTCCAATCAGCGTTCAGACCAGTAAATTATTTTAATCACCAACCAGGAGGCTGATTTTTATAGTCAAATGTTCAGATTGGTTTGTGTTTCTTTGAGTCCAAATTTCAAAGATTTCAGATAAAAAGGGCGACTTTTATATAAACCCATCAGTCCAGGGAGACTTCTGTGTGTTTCTGTTTATTTTGTATTTTGTCTGCTGTAGCGATTAAAACACTGCACCTGTTTCTTTCTTAACTGGAAAATGATCTTTATATAATAGAAGAGTGGACGTAGGTTTGCTTCTCTTTAGCTTTAAGAATAGAGTAGAGGATGTGATCACCTTGAATCAGAGAGACGGGCTCACACTTCAGCGGAAAAATCTTTTTCACAAGGGATGTCTATCGTTTTTTTTTTTTGAATGTGTAATTTTTTGGATAACTCTTCTTGTACTAATTTGTGTATATAATCTCTTTAAAGATATGAACAGACCAACACAATAAAAAACACAAAAACAGACTCAAGTTTACGTCTTTATTACTCAGAGATCTCATGATGGAAACTAGAAGCTGCTGTTTTCCTGACCAGACGGTTACTCAGGAGTGTCGTCCAGGATCTAAGGTAGGTCCAGTTTTCCCCTCAGCTCCTCCTCTCCACAAGCCCCGCCCACAAACAGACGCTCCTGCTCGCTCGTATCGTTCCAATTAAATTCAGATATAATGCAGATAAATACTTCAGATCATTACAAATGGGGCCCAGTCAAGGTGAAAGTCAAAAGCATTGGTGCTACTGTAGATGCCAACAGACTACCAGCAAACACAATGTTTGCAGGACTTCTACAACGAGGATTAAGTGACATAGTCCAGGACCCGAGGGAGGACAGTTTAGCGATGGCGCTACAACACGCTACAGCAGGTCCGTTTGACAAGAAACACTTCTGTTACAGACACTTGTCTTACTTTGTTAAAGCGGTTTACCTGTCCAGCAGAAAGGTTACAGGGTCACCAAGATCCCCAAGCGTCCCCCATCGTTTATGTTGACCCGGCTTTTTAGCTCTTGTCCGGTCTACCTCCGTTTTAAGCGCCCGTTATTCCTCCAGAGTCTCCGGTATTTACTTTGTTTTCTTGCTTGTGTCGGCAGTCGTGGCCAAAGGAGGATTCAGACAATTTTCCGAACTTTCTGGTTGGTTTCTACTGTCCGATATTGTAGCACGCTAACTTTGTTTGGGCTCCTGAACGACACGGGGGAGCAGCATTTTCTTGTTGACTGCTTTCTTGTTGCCTGTTTTGGTGTTGACTGTTTGTGGTTGACTGTTTTCTTGTTGACAGTTTTCTTGTTGATTGTGGTTGACTGTTATCTTGTTGACTGTTTTCTTGCTGACTGTTTATGGTTGACGTTTTCTTGTTGACAGTTTTCTTGTTGATTGTGGTTGACTGTTTTCTTGTTGACTGTTTTCTTTTTGACCGGTTTGGTGTTGACTGTTTTCTTGTTGACTGTTTTCTTGCTGACTGTTTATGGTTGATGTTTTCTTGCTGACTGTTTTCTTGCTGACTGTTTTCTTGTTGACTGTTTTTTGCTGACTGTTTTTTGCTGACTGTTTTCTTGCTGACTGTTTTTTGTTGACTGTTTTGGTGTTGACCGTTTTCCTGTTGACTGTTTTCTTGCTGACTGTTTATGTTTGAGTGTTTTCTTGCTTGTGTCGGCAGTCGTGGCCAAAGGAGGATTCAGACAATTTTCCGAACCTTCTGGTTGGTTTCTACTGTCCGATATTGTAGCACGCTAACTTTGTTTGGGCTCCTGAACGACACGGGGGAGCAGCGTCTGCCTCACAACCAATCAGGTTAGAGGAGGTGGAGAACGGCTTTGTTTACAGTCAGAAAGAGCGGACCGCTCACAAATGTTCAAATGTTGACGACACAGACATAAGAGAACACAGAGATATCGATATATTACCAAATATCATCAATAACTAATAACTATTGACTGATATTAGAAGATTTTTGTATAAAAACCACAAAATAAAAAGATGCTTCTTTAACAGATTCCTGTCTACTTCACCTTTAAGTCGGTTTTCTTCTCGTGGACCAGACTTCTTTCCTTAGACTAGAGATCAGCTGGACTCTCTCATATGAACACTGAGTTCTTGTTGCTGATGTGGATCTGTGTGAGTCTGAGTGTGTTTGTTTTTTGCTGCCATTCTTGGTCAGGACCCCCCCTGAAAAAGAGATTGATGATCTCAACAGGACTAGTCTGGTTACATCAAATCAAAAAGACACACAACCTGCCTCCTGTCTTTGTCCTCTACAGAAAACCTGATCCAGCTGCAGGACTCACATCTGGGACATGTAAGACCACATGGATCCATGACCCAGACGGAGCGGTAACATGACATCCAGCAGAAACAGACACAATAAAGACAAACAGACGAGGTGATTTCAGTGACTCAGTTTGAGGATTTTTATGATTTTTTTACCCACAATCAGAGACTTGACCACAATCTGAGCTGAGTCAGAAACATCCAAACAGTCGGACTAATAAATGTGATTATTATTATTAGAGTGATTGAAAAGCTCATAACAACATGTAGATCTGTCCAAAGTCTGATTCTAGATGTCTTTACAAACACACTGATCCAACAGAAGCAGACAGAAATATCCATCGATCACATGAACACAAATATTCAGCAAACAGAGAAAGAAACAGATCATCTGAAGAGTTTTTGGGGACGACTGGAAAGACTTTAGACGCTTGGATTTGGGACAGGAAATAAGGTCGTCCTTTTTCTGTGATTTTGACCTCACTTTTTTCTAAAGTCTCAGACCTTCAACATCTGCACCAACTGAAGGTGATTTGAACAAACCATCATCTTGATGTTGTTGATATCAAACTTGATGAAGATTTTTCAACATGAGAAATACAAACAATCAAAGTTCTCCACAATCACTGTCCTTAAAGCTGCGACCAAATCAGCATCTTTAGAAAAGAATCAAAAAGCTGAAATGAAGAACTAAACCCAGAGTTTTTGGTGAGACTGATCCACAAACATTTACAAACCAGAACATTTCAGGAGTTCAAGGATCTCAGTCCATGATTTTGGTCTGATGGACTCAAAATTCTCTTTAGTTCACTTCTATAAACTCAGCAGAGTCTTCATCAGACCAGCCTAACATCAGTCCAGCATGTAGAGGTTCAGTGAATGTGGTCTGGACTCTGTGGAGGAGAGTCATGGTTTCAGAGACGCTGTAGAAGGACAGAATACCTGCGCTGTGATCCAGGTACACTCCTACTCTGGAGGACGGAGGACCTGAGACATCAGTGAGGACGTTGTTGTGACCAAATTCATATCTGTCTTCATAACAGAGTAACCTCCAAGATTTGTCATTTTCTCCAAAGTAACAATCCTCTGATCTCCCGTCTCTCCTGATAGTCTTGTATGCGACTGCTACATAAACCCCGACCCCTCTCCGCTCCACCTCCCAGTAACAACGTCCAGTCAGACTCTCTCTACTCAGGACCTGAAAATAATCAGTGAATCTGTCTGGATGATCAGGATAAGACTCTTCTTCTGCTGTCACTGTTGCTCTTCTGTTTCCATCAGATAATGACAGCCATCTGTATGCTGTGTTTGGATCCAGTGTGATTCTTTGTGAATATCTTAAGAAACCAGCTCTGGTCTTGGGTTCTGCTGGTCCTGGTGGTTCTGACAGTAAAACATCCACATCAGTCACTGCCTGTGAGACGTTTGTCCACATCAGAAGATCCTGGAGTATATCTCTGACCTCTGACACAGCTGCTGTCACCTCCTCAAAGTATCTCAGAGGACGGATGTTGATTCTGGATGAGTCTGCAGGTTGACCCGGTTCTGACAGTGAGGGGTAGCTGTGCAGAAACTGGTTGTGGTCCTCTGTGAGTGAGAGCTTCTGCAGATCAGCGTCTTTCCTCTTCAGCTCAGTGATCTCCTGCTCCAGTTTCTCCTGAAGCTCTTTGACTCGACTCACTTCACCTTCCTGCTGGGATCTGACCTGCTGCTCCACCTCAGAGCGGCGTCTCTCCATCAGACGGATCAGCTGGCTGAAGATCTCCTGGCTGTGCTCCACAGCTTTATCAGCAGAGCCGTTGATAGCCTCCACCTCCTGTTGGAGCAGCTTCACATCTTCTTCTCTGTCCTGGATTCTCTGCTGGATGTTTTCTCGACTCTCCTCCAGATCTTTCTGCCTCTCAGTCCTTTCTGCTGCAGCTGAGACTGTGTCGTGGCCTTTGTGTTGGTCCAAACAGCAGAGATGACAGATGGACTTCTGATCAGTGCGGCAGAAGATCTTCATCACCTCATCATGAAGAGAGCAGATGTTCTCCTGGAGCTTCTTGGAGGGCTCCACCAGCTTGTGTTTCTTAAATGTAGGAGATTCAAAATGAGGCTGGAGGTGAATCTGACAGTAAGAAGCCAGACATTGAAGACAGGACTTGACAGCTTTCAGTTTTCTCCCACTGCAGAAATCACAGGCCACATCTTCAGGTCCAGCCTCAGAGGAACCATCAGGAGCAGCTTGGAGTCCGCTCTTCTTCACTTCCTCCACTAAACCTGCTAACATGGTGTTTTTTATTGGGACAGGCCTCGGTCTGAAGGTCTCTCTGCACTGAGGACAGCTGTAGATCTTCTTCTCATCCTCATTATCCCAGTAGGATTGAATACAGCTCATGCAGAAGCTGTGTCCACAGGATCCTTCAGAAGATCCAAACAGATGGAACAAGAGAGAGACTCACGGTCAAGATGAACTCCTTTCTGTGCCATTTCAACACTCGCTGTCGACGACGACTGACTGAGTTTTATTTCCTGAGAAGTGAAACTAGTCTGAGCTCTGATCTCAACAACATGTGTGAGTCAGCAGGATATGACCTCAGCCGTCCTGAAGATCAACTGAACCAACATTTATTCACCTCATAGAAACCTCATCGAGCAGAAACACACTTCAACTGTTTTAGAGCCACAGAGTTAAAGAGACAACATAGAGAAACACTCTCTCTCTCTCTCTCAAGCCCCGCCCACAAACAGACGCTCCTGCCTCCTACTTCCGTTTTAAGCGCCCGTTATTCCTCCAGAGTCTCCGGTATTTACTTTGTTTTCTTGCTTGTGTCGGCAGTCGTGGCCAAAGGAGGATTCAGACAATTTTCCGAACTTTCTGGTTGGTTTCTACTGTCCGATATTGTAGCACGCTAACTTTGTTTGGGCTCCTGAACGACACGGGGGAGCAGCGTCTGCCTCACAACCAATCAGGTTAGAGGAGGTGGAGAACGGCTTTGTTTACAGTCAGAAAGAGCGGACCGCTCAAAAATGTTCAAATGTTGACGACACAGACATAAGAGAACACAGAGATATCGATATATTACCAAATGTCATCAATAACTAATAACTATTGACTGATATTAGAAGATTTTTGTTAATACACCACAAAATAAAAAGACGCTTCTTTAACAGATTCCTGCCGACTCCACCTTTAAATACACTGATGGCGCCGTCTCAGACAGGAAAACTGAAGTTAGGTTTGCGCCGCACTTTGTTAAACTTAAATGTTCTTAAAATATGATGTAGAAATAAAGCTGATCAGATTCTCCTCAGCTCCATCACCAGAGTCTAGACTCAAAGACCAGGACTTCAGTTTTACTCCTGCTCCTCTCGGAGGTCACTGGGCCGATGATTCTGCTGCAGAGCATCAGCTCGTGTTTCTGGTATCTGGAGGTTTTTACTTAGAGTCACGTGATTCTGTGAAATGTTTGATGATCAGGAAGTGATGGGTTTTAAGATACATGACCACTTCCTGCCTGAAACTGTGACACCTCTTTAGAAGAGCCGAGTACAAACGTTCACACGATGTTTGACAGCAGACAGACACATTATAACTTCATTTATTATATTAAAGATGTAAATCCAGTTAAACTTCAGTGTTTCAGAGTTTACAGCATTGGTAGTTTGACTCCAGTCTACGCTCATGTGTTTGTTTGTACTCCGTCATCATGTGACTTTGTGTCTGCAGCCGTCACCTCAGAGGACTGACACCAGATCAGGTGTCACAGCGGGCGCTCGGCCTTCGTGTTATTTGATCACAGTGGAAATTCGTCCTTGATTAAAGCACTAATCAGAGAGGACCTCGCCCAGAAGCATGATGGGAAACGGGCCAGGTGGTTAGCAGGAGTGTGTCACCTTGAGGGATGAGAGAGAGAGAGAGTGATCAGCTGAAGTTAAAGTTTCATTTCAGATCTGAATGGACATATTTTCAGGCCTCAGTGTGCAGTTAGATCAGGGCTCTGTGTGCAGCTTCTATTATAGAAAGTGACAAATATTCTTACAGTGTATTTACACACACACTGACACACACTGACACACACACTGACATGTCCCTCCAGGGTGTGATCTCTAAAATCTGACAACAGAAACCTGATCAGTGAGTGTGAATGAAGCTCCAAACCTCTGCTGACACTCGGAGGATTTAAATAAGGGTCTGGACTTTACACCCAAAACCACCGAGTCTCTGATTACAGGCGGACAGGTGAGAGACCACACCTGTCTGTGTGATCATCACCGTCTCACAGGGTTAAATGGACATCTTTATATTTATAATGACCAATGTGTGTTTTTATGTTTGACTGTTGAACCTTCTCGTGGATTTGACTTCATCCTGCTGGTGTCTTTATTAATATAACTACAACACAGAGTCCCACCGACCCATGTGACTCTGATCATCTTTTTAACTGAAAAAATAACAAACACACAGAGAGAGGTTTACATGACCCCAAATATTCATTTAGAGTTACTTTACATACATGTATAAACTATGATTTTTGTCAAATTGTATATTTTTAAGTTCATCCAAAGTTTGACCAATCATTTCTCAGGAATCGTGCTCTTGGCTTTAATACTCAGAGTTCAATACTTCAGAATTATTAAAATAAACCTAGTAAAGTGCACCGATACTAGCCTACAGTGAGAATATGAGATTATAAAATACAGATGATAATCATTAAACAAGAAATTATAATAATAAAAATACTTCAGCACACTCTATGAACATCAACTTATAACAGTTTCTTTGATAAAGTAGGTTAACAATAATAATAATAATAATAATAATGATAATACATCAGATTTATCAGAGACCCTCAGGTTTAAATATTGTGCACCGATAAAAGACGAGCTTTTTCGAGTTTAGCTGAAGTGACGTACCTCTACTCCAACTCCCAGAATGCTTTGTGGCTTCCCTTCGCGCTTGGCTGGTATGACGGACGGTTCTTGTTAGCAGTATTCTTGTTCTTTTACCTCTGTGGACTCCTTAACGCTTCTTCTTTAATGATGTAATTTGTTCTTATGAAGACAAGAAAACGATGTAAAAGGTAAGACAGGGCTGCTTTAGGGTATTTAAAACGGGAAAAGCCGGTATTACGGTGCCGAAACTGTAAAGTTTTGTTAGCATGTTAAGTTGCTGTCTGACTGTCTCCATGGCAACGGGCTCTTTCATCCGGGTACTCTGGTCTCTGTAAACAGGGGGAAATATAGTGGAAGAAACGGTTTAAAATGTGAAAAATATCCTTAAAAATGAAACAAAACATCAAAATTCACTGACATGAATCTCATTCAGTCAACACTCGCGTTTTCTGCCTTTTGTTTTTGACTGTTTTTACTCTTAGTACGAACAAAAAGTCGAGTAGCAGAGAAATTATTCAGGAAAATAATGAATCAACAGTTCGAATTAGCTTCCTGCACCTATAAAATCAGCGTTTTTCACCTTTATTTCTTTGTATTTAACTATCATGATCATGAGATAAAAATCCTTTTCATAATTATGAGCTAAAGTCCAAACTGTATGAGAAAGGAACCAATAAATTTCGACTAAATGAGTTTAAATGTTGAAATAAAAGGAGAGAAGGTCAGTTATAGGGTGAATAAAAACGTTAGAATTTAGAAATAATAGATTTATTGTTTTTCCAATATCTTTGATCAATCATTATTATGTATTCATTTACATTTTTACTGGTGGAAAATGGGTTTCCTGATGATCTGTGAAGTATTACACAGAGACAAGGCTGTTTTTTTTAATTTTTTTATTAGATTTTAGCCCAGCTGTATGAAATCTTAATGGGAACATCATTTTATTCATCAGATAATGACTGCAGCCTGTTTCCTGTTTCCTGTCTCACTCCTTTAAAATGGTGTGTAAAGCTCTGTAATGGTGGTTCTCTTGTTACAGGTGTTACAGGTGTTACAGGTGTTATGAACAACTATGAGGTCATCCGTCAGATTGGCGAGGGAGCGTTCGGTAAAGCCTTTCTGGTTAAAGAGAAAGGTGGAGGTGGAGACAGACGATGTGTGGTCAAACAGATCAACCTCAGAAAGGTACATCTGCAGCTTTATACAAATATATTATTATACTGTTTTTTATCATTCTGAGGTGATGATATTTTGACATCATTGCTGATAAACTTTGTCATTTCTGCTTAGATGAAAATGTCAAAATCTAACGCCGTTCTGTATAAAACCAAAGATTTACTTTCACAAAAAGACTTCAAGTGATCGATGGTTTGATCGGAGGTTAATCTTTCGTTCAGATGTCGGCGAAGGAAAAGGAAGGATCGAAGAAAGAGGTGACTCTGATGTCCAAGATGAAGCACCCAAACATCGTGACCTTCATCACCTCCTTTCAGGGTAAGAGTGGAAGTGTTTGTGAGCCGTCATGAGTGTTCGTCAGCAGGTCAGTGTTTACTGTCTGTTCACAGAGAGGGGCAGTCTGTACATCGTGATGGAGTTCTGTGACGGAGGAGACCTGATGAAGAAGATCAGCATGCAGAGAGGCGTCCTCTTCACCGAGGAGCAGGTACACACACACACACACACACACACACACACACACACCTCTCTCACATCTATCAGAACCAAAGTCAAAGTGAAGGTGTTATCCGTGTTTTCAGGTGGTCCACTGGTTTGTTCAGATCTGCCTCGCCCTCAAACACATCCATGACAGGAAGATCCTCCACAGGGACATCAAAGCTCAGGTACCAGAGCCGCTCCGTGTCCAGATACAGACACCAGGATCAGCTTAGTCCAGACCCAGGTCCATGAAGAGTTGACAGAGACAGAATTTGATGGTCTGCAGATCATGACGGGCGTATATTTGATTAAAATAGCACATAAAAGACACGGAATAGAGGATCATTTTAATTTAAAGAGGGAACAACCAGATCCTGGTCTCCTGGGTTGACTCAGGTCTACAGAGACAGTGTTTGGATGGAATGGCTGAAGATGAAGGGTAGTGTAGATGCAGCAGCACAGCTATGTAAACCTGTGTGTGATTAACGACATGATCCACAGAGACTGAGGTTAAGACTTTTAATGAACAAGTGTAATCATCACAGAGCGCCGAGGACGCTCCGCTCCGTCCTGAACAAAGAGCTCCCTGTGAGCCAACTCCCAGAATAACTCCGACTGACCACAGACTGCTGCTCTGTTCACCGCCGTCACTATCTGTCATCACACACACACACTCACACACACACACACACACTCTCACACACACACTCGTCCTGTCAGTAACACAGACATGCCTTCATCCCTCTGCTCTCCCTCTGGTTTAGAATATCTTCCTCACCAACGGAGGGATGAAAGCGAAGCTGGGGGACTTTGGAATCGCAAGAATGTTGAATAAGTGAGTCAGTGTCATCTTCACACAAACACACACACATGCTCTCACTCACACACACACACACACACACACGCTCACACGGTGCAGCTGTTTATCACTGAGCGCTCTGTAACACATGGAAGACCTCCAAACAAGTCATTATCATTCCACACACTCGACCCGGACACGTAAACACACATGACGGTCCGGGTCGAGTCCACACACAGGATCAGATCTGAGTCCAGTGAAGATGAAGACGAAGACGAAGACGAAGACGGAGACGGAGACGAGGCTGAGGACGAAGATATTCATGAAGTTATCTTTCAGATAGAGTCACATCCACAGCTGCAGAGAACTTAGATACTGCAATTAAAGGACAAGTCTGCAGATTTTCAGCTCTCTCTCTCTCTCTCTCTCTCTCTCTATAGTGTACAGAGTGTCTGCAGTTGTTGCAGGTGTGCAGATTATTAACTGCGGTTTGAGGTTGTTGGTTTTCTGGGAGGATCTCAAACTTAAAACTTTATATTAACCACCATTAATGATGAACCACAAGCACATTCATTAAAACTTACTAAGGATTTAAAATAATTCTTATAGGTGATTAAATCTTTTAAAATAACTAACAGTGATGTTTATGAGGCGTGATAAACAGTGAACGTAATGCCTCATGAATGTATAAATTATTATTTGTTATATTTTCATTTAAGACCACAGTGTCTTTTAATTTTAGGTATTAAATCATATTTTAACTTCAACAACTTCATTCAGGGAACAAACCCTCAGAGCTATTTTTACTAAAAAATCTGTTTTATTTCAACAAAAAAGGAACATTTGAAGATCATCTATAAGGTGTACAGTCTGTCACGGTCCGGAGGTAAACAAAAAGAGAAAAGACCCCAAAAAAAGATTAATTTAAAAAATAAAATAAAGTAGAATAAAGCAACAAAAAGAGAAAAAAAAACCAAAAGACAAAATCACAGAGAGCAACACAGACACACACACACTGACAGACACACACACACTGACAGACACACAGTGAACAAACCAGGACAGAGGAGAAGACAGAGACTAAAAACACACACAGGTGAACGAGCGACAGGTGAGACAGATGAGTGATTAACGAAGGAGGGAAAACTGAGGAAGTAAAACTGGAGTATAAACACAAGGAATCAACTCCTACAAAATAAAACAGGAAATAAACACTGAAAACTGATCTAGAGAATAAAACACAGAGAACAGGAGAGAAACAGAGTCAGACTGAGAACTCAAAAGACTGGACTACAGGGGGAAATAGACTTAATTAACAAAACCAGAGAAAAACTAAATTACCAGAACACATCACGACACCGCCTGCCTCATTAAAAATCCACACTGAGTAAACTTCCACAAAGAAAGCTCTTTAAAACTTGGACATCGAAATTTCCTGTTCTATATATATATATATATATATATATATAATATATAAAGTCTAAAGATCTACAAAGATAAATCCTCATTTATTTTGAGTTTGATTTATTTCAGAGATAATTTCCCGACATGTTCAGGAGGATTTCTGTCTGCTGGATTCTTCCATCATGAGCTCATCTTCAGACTCAAACTTGTTTAGTCTCTCCATCGAACACAAACCCGGCCCGTCTCTGCTCGTATTTAAACTTTGATTGATTATTCAGACAATGGTGTCCCTTCAGTTCAGCTTCAACAGTTTATGTTTGTCTCTTTCCTGTTTGGACGTCTCAGTGCAGACGGCTCACAGAGTGACCCGACTCTTCAGACTGCAGCTTCATTAACATGCAGGCTTCCAGGGTCCATCTTTGTGTTTCACTCTTTAACAGAGAGCTCTGCCTCTCTGCAGGGATCATTTCTGAGCCCGTCAGAGACCAACACAACAACGTTTAACACACACACACACTGTGACCCAGAAAGGATGAGAGAGAGAGAGAGAGAGAGAGAGAGAGAGAGAGAGAGACTGTTCACCTGCTGCAGCTTTAACTCGTCTGTCAGAGCAGAAAAGATCCAAAGACAAATAACTAATCATAACAGATCATACAGGGGAATGATAAGAGAGCTCCATCAGTTGTGAAGAAATGCTTTATAAACTGAACTTCCATTTCCAAAGGAGATATTCCATCCTCCTTGGTAATAAAATGACCTTATTTGTCTTTCCTGTGTCTGTTTAGCACCATGGAGCTGGCCAGGACGTGTGTGGGGACGCCATATTACCTGTCCCCGGAGATCTGCGAGAACCGACCGTACAACAACAAGACGTACGTCCAGATCACATCAGTCTGCAGACACACAACCATGAATGCATGTTACACTTATTTATGTTTATTATTATTATTATTATTATTTTATTATTATTATATTTATTTTATTATTATTTATTTATTATTATTTTATTATTATTATATTTATTTTATTATTATTTATTTATTATTATTTTATTATTATTATATTTATTTTATTGTTATTTATTTATTATTATTTTATTATTATTATATTTATTTTATTTATTATTATTTTATTATTATTTTATTATTTATGTTTTCCTTTTTTTGAATGATCATGGAAAGTCAGATCAGATCACAGACACAGTGTGAAGTTGTCGTATCGTATCTTCTTGTGTGTTACGGTCACACCCGCACTGTTGGATTAAAGTTTGTCTGTCGCCCTGTCGCAGATGTCTTCAGTCTCAGTTTGACGGCGTGCTCATTAATATGTTTTTATCTCTACAACATGTTGATGTTCAGACGTTTCTTCTGCATGAACTCCTCAAACTTCTCCGTCAGTGTGGAGTCCACTCTGTACGGTGTTGATGTTGTTTGTATGTTTGAGATGATACTGACGGCGTTGGAGTTGTTTGTTTTCCTCCGCTCTCAGTCCCTGCTGGGTGGAGTCGTCTCCTTGGGTCAGTTCAGGGAGTTTCCCGTAAACTGTGGGCTGCAGAAACAAAGCGGGGGTTAAATTAGACTGTCGATCGTTCTGATAGTCATTAAACTGTTCGCCACACACGGCGAGAAACAAAACAAACTACAACAAACCACAGAGAGCAGAAAAACAAGAGCTGAAAGATCAACAACAACGTCCTGAACAGCTGATCGTCTGAGCTGTAGAGTCATTGATTTGTGATCAGTTCCTCCAGACGTCATCCTGATCAGGTTGTGAGAAACTGTGAGCCGACCTTTAAATACATGTAAAGCCCGGGATGGAGAGCTGTACAACTAAAGCAAGCTGAAGTTTAGTCTTTGAACTGAGGGTCTGGTTGTAGGAGTGAAGTCGATGCTTTAAGCTACTGAGATGTTTGACCTGGAGTAACCTGGTTGACACACCGCACTACTAAGTTTCCCCGTGAGTTGTGATGATCAGTGAAAGTCCGGACGCTGTTCCTCAGATTAAGGAAACGTCTGTGTTTGCGCCACGACGGTCAAAAACACAACAGTGAGATGACTACCTTTATCTCTGAGCCCCCTGATAACAAGACAGCGACACCTAAGGCACACAAAGTGAACTGCAGCTCATGATATGGTCTTCCATCAACATATTTGTCTCCTCCACTGGTCCAGTCAGGGAGTTCAGACGAACCCTGATCCTCTGATGAGTTTGGAGTCGTGATCATCTCAGAGTTTTTATCGTCCTCCTCTTCCTCTGTCGCTCCTCTTCTCTCTTGTTTTGGGAACAGCTGAGGTCAGAGGTGTCTCCTCTTTCCCACACTCACAAAAACATGTTTAATGCGCTGCTTTAGTGAGACCCTCACTGACAGGATCCGACCCTGGCACAGTTTTAACCCTTCGAGCATGTCTGAACTCTCAAACACTCATCTACGGAGGAGAAGGTCCTCGTTCTCAAGACCCAGAACATCAGTGGGACCTCACAGAGATAGAGAAACAAGAGCAAACACACAACCACATAGTTGGTCTCCTGCCAAAATAAGCTAAAGCCAGAAGCGGCGTTTTTACTCCAGGACCTGAAACCTCTCAACCTTCGGTCAGCAGATGTGCTCAGATAGGAAACTCCAACGCTCGGGACTTTAACGTGACGGGTTTGTTTCTGCTGGTTTTTGAGGGCTGTAGCTCAGGGGAAAAGAGGATAATGAGAAGCCCCGCCCCCCTCCATCCTGTTCCAACAAGAAATATGTCGGGTTACACAAGACGGCGCTCAGAAAAAACGGACTTTAAAGAAACAAGAAACACTCCCCGAACGCTCCGCAGAGCTGCAAAACAAAAACCATGAAACAGAGTCAGAGAGGAGGGATTTCACATTTCATTAACAAGTGTGTGTGTGTGTGTGTGTGTGTGTGTGTGTGTGTGTGTGTGTGTGTGTGTGTGTGTGTGTGTGTGCGCGTGTGTGTGTGTGAGTGTGTGTGTGTGTGCGCGCGCTCTCTCTGCAGGGATATCTGGTCTCTGGGATGTGTCCTGTATGAACTCTGCACCCTGAGGCATCCAGTGAGCTGCACCACACCCATCAGAACATCAGCAGCTGCTCCACACACACACACACACACACACACACACACACACACACACTGAGCTAATTTCTCTGCAGAGGGAGGATGATCCTGAATATCCATCAAACTAACTCCTCTCTGCATCTTTAGTTTGTCTGAGTTTTAGCAGTTCTTCAGCAGCAGGTTCCTTTAAAACACAAAATATAAAACTATATAAATATATATATGTGTGTATTTAAATATTTCTATGTATATTCATGAGAAAAGAGAGACATCGAATCTAAGGACCATGTTGACCTAAACTCATGCGTTCACCTGCAGTTTGAGGGCAGCAGTCTGCGGCAGTTGGTCGGCAAAATCTGCTGGGGGCGCTACAACCCAGTCCCCACCCACTACTCCCACGAGCTACGCCTGCTGGTCACTCAGCTCTTCAAGGTCAGACACACACACACACACACTCACACACACACACACACTCACACACACTCACACTTCTTAGTGTTTTTATTTTTCTGCACAGAGTGAAGATTTTCATTTTTAACGCTGCGACAGACACTGACGATTTCAGAAACAAAAAACATCCAAAACAGAATCATCCAATCAGAATCAAGAGTTTAAGATAAAAGAGATTAGAAAAAAAAGCTTTAAAAAAAAAGAATTTGAAATAAAAGAGCCTAAAAGGAAAGAACTTAGGATAAAAGAGCTTTAGATAAAAGATCTTAAGATTAAAGAGCTTAAAGAAAAGAGCTTACCGCAAAATAATAAAGCGAAGTCTCTCTTCAGCGATCCTGTTGCTGTGGGCGCCCCCTGCAGGCCTGAAGCACCTCTGTTTTAAGGACAGAATTTGCAGCATTTTTCATGTTTTTAATGTTTAATCTGACTTTTACAGTTTTCATTTGCAGCCTGTTTGAGGTCTTTTTGTCTTTTTGCAGCTTTTTCTTCATTTTCATCAAACTTTATAAACATGTGTTCTGACTTTAGCGCCTGTTTTTGAGTTTGTGTCACCTGGTTTGTTTGTTGTTCATGCAGGTGATTCATCTTATTGATTTCATGTTTCATTGATTTTGGACTTTAGGCCTCTGAGGTTAGGATCGGTTTTCTTTAAGGAACCCAAAAGCAGGTAGTAGAGGAGGTTTAAGTGACTTTATTTACAATCACTCTTGGGTTTGCAGTAGTTGTTAGAATTTGGCCGTGACCCCACTGTGAGAGCAGGAACAGTCTGAAGATGATCGGTCTTCAGAGCTGAGCTTTAAAGCAGGTGGTGATTGGATGATCAGGAGCAGGTTTGGAGGTTCAGGAGGAGCCAGTGCTGATGTTCAGTCATGACAAATGGACCCTAATTAAGTTTAATTGGCAGCAGGAGTGAGTGTGGAAAATGTCCACCTGTGTGAAATGAACAAAAACGAAGAAAACTCAAAGAAAACTTGATTTAGAAACTGTTCTGATATTTTAATAACCACGTGGTTCAGTCTAAAGTTCCTCTGACGTCTCAGTGATTTTAACACAGTCGTTGTTTTTAGTATTTTCTTCTTTCTGAGTTTCTGAGTTTAAACTGCAGAGTAAACACTTTGAAAGAGGAAACATAAAATTCAGACTCTGAGGAAACTGTAGGAGCAGCTGTGGAGGATGTGATCCTGAGCCCAACACGAGGAAGCGCCCATTGTCTCAGGCTGCTGATCTGAACACACACACACACACACACACACACACACACACACACACACACACACACACACACACACACACACACACTCTAACATGTTTACAGGAACTTGTACAGCTCCAAACAGACAGTTAACTCCAGGCACAGTAAATATTCCTTTTAAAAACATGTGTTGTATATTTTTAATGACTTAAATAGAATTTAATTGTGTCGTATCATTTATAGTAAAATGCCGTATTTATAGTAAAAGAGGAACACTAACACTTTAGTCTACAGTCAGTTTTACAAACCAAAGATCCACCAGCAGAAACCTTTGGTACTGAAATGTAAAGATGATGCAGAAGTGCTTTAAACTGCAGTTCCATGAATGTCCACTAGAGGCATGCTGGAGAAGCCTGTAAACCACATACACACCCATTTTAAAAAAGCCCATCTCTGTGAACAGACGGCTCATTTCTCTCTTCAGGGAGTGAATTTCTTTATCAGGCTTCAGCTTCGATGACGTTCAGGTGACGAGTTTGACAGAATCAGAGGAACAGCTGAGTCGACTGTTAGTCAGGAGGTTAACGGCCTCAGCTCCACCTGTCCGCCTCCTGATAGGTGGAGCTGAGAGTTAGGTGGTCAGCTCTCTGAGTCCACCTCAGAAACCCAGAGTCCTGTCTCTGAGACCAGGTCCAGGTTCTAGAGTCTAGGGTTGATGGTCACTTTAAACAGAATGTCTGCCTCTGGTTTAGGATTTTTTGGGGGGGCTGAACAGGTTCTGGGGAGCGTGGCCACCTTCTGGCTCCGGCTCTGACAGCAACACTGTGTTTCCAGGTGAACCCTCGGGACCGCCCCTCAGTCAGCTCCGTCCTCAGGTGTCCCTTCCTGGAGAAACACATCAGCAAACACCTGGACCCTCAGGTAACCAGTCCAGAGAACTCAGTTTTTAACCTGCTGGGTCAGAAAAAAAGGACCTTTCACCGTCCAGGAAATTAAATCTTTAGCCGAGGAGCCCAACACAGACGTTGGAAATATCCATGTGGAACACAAAAGTTGTTTTTCTAAAACTGAATTTAATTTGTTCACTGATTATTAAACCTCCAAAGTCACAGATGTCCCTTTAGAGCCCTGGGACAAGTGATGGCGATAAAACAGACGCTTAAATTCATTTCATTGTGCCGTTGACGCTCTCCCAACCAAACTCTATGGTCTATGGTCGACTATGGTCAGTCGGCCGTTTTGCAATGAATTCTGCATCTTAGCACAAATCTTTCCTTCTGATTTTCAATAATTCTAAACTGTCAAAAGCAAAAGAGAAGAAACTCCACAGTCCTGATCATCCTGGTGACTCTGAAGGGAAAAAGCAAAAGTTTCACCCTCTTAAATTTATCACCAAAGTTCTTCCAACGACTCAAGAATGTATTTAATAGAAAAACAACTTTTGTGTTCTATATGGATATTTCCCATTTCTGGTAAGTGGCTGCAAAGCTTTAGTATGTCCAAAGGAATCCTCAAAGTGAGCTAAGCCTCTCGACTATCCCTCTAACGATGTTCATACATGTTGACTTTATATCGAAGTGTGAAGCTTTAAAGGTCGAGGCAGAGAAACGGCGCTGAAGCAGCTCGTCAGAAAACAACTTCAAAACCTGTTTTTAAAATGATGCTCTGAGTTTGTGACGATATTCAAATCAGCTGTAAATGAGGGCAGAAAAAGCAGATGTAAATGTGCAGGTGTGTGTGTGTGTGTGTGTGTGTGTGTGTGTGTGTGTGTGTGTGTGTGTGTGTGTGTGTGTGTGTGTGTGTGTGTGTGTGTGTGTGCGTGGTTTCCTCTCCAAGCAGCTGATGCAGGAAGAGTTCAGCCACACGGTGCTGCATCGGCACAAAGCTGCAGTGTCTAAAAAAAGACCCACAAACACAGCAGGTAACACACACACACTCACACACACACTCACTCACACAACCATAAATGTACAAACAAAACAAACACAACGAACACGACACAGATGAAGATTTCAGAGCAGCAGAGGGAGGAGAAGGAAGAGCGCTCAGTTCTGTGGATTGTAGCGCCTCTCGGTGGTCGTTTACAGAAAGACGATTCCTGGTGTTATCTCATCAGTCAACTCTGATGAAAACAGGACTTCCTCCTGATTGGTCGGACCGTCACAGCATCATGTTTTGGCAGACTCCATGTTTGTGTAACATTAGGAGAAACAGTCAGAGTGTGTCAGAGTTCAGTCTCTGTCCTCTCAGGGAGATCGCCGTGTCTCTGCATGTTCCACAAATCCTCTCTTCTTCCAACAATAAAACAAAACCCTCAGCTGTCACAGACTGAGTCCAGGCGTCCAAAAATGATCTGAAATAAAGAAAACTGCTTTAAAAAAGGGTCTGGATTTACATTGACGTCTATGAACCAGGTCCTGAACAGGGAACTTAGAGCACTTGTAGACCCCTGTACCAGATCTTCAGATAAAATAGTTTCATCTCATTTAATCTCATTTTCTTTCTGTGGATTTTTATTATCTTGTTCTCTTTCTCCAGAGAAGATCCAGAAGTCCAGATCTGCAGAGAGACCCAGGGTCCCCGTTAGAGGACTTCCTGTTAAACCAGAGAGTAGAGTCCCTCTGAGAGCGTACAGTCCAGCTCAGCACAGACTCTTTACAGTAAGATTACTTCATATGAAACAGTCACACTCTTATCTTTGTCATGTATATATGTTTGATGACCTGTGGAGCTCTTAAAGGGATATTCTGTCGTAAAATTAATTTAGGGTCAAACACACCGTAACGTCGTCACTAAAGTTGGTATAACGAGAGAATCAAGCGGTTGACAACATTCATCTGTGAAGGGGGGGTCTACCTCATTGTTACGGTGGGTTTGACCCTGACTTAATTTTACAACAGAATATCCCTTTAAGGACAGACTTTATTAATATCAGAGTTTATTAAACCTACTCACGTGTGTGTCTGTGTCGATGATTTCAGCCTCTTCATCAGAGATCTGCAGAGAGACCCAGAGTCCCCGTTAGAGGACTTCCTGTTAAACCCGAGAGCAGAGTCCCTCTGAGAGCGTACAGTCCAGCTCAGCACAGACTCTTTACAGTAAGATTACTTCATATGAAACAGGACACTCTTATCTTCATGTGTTTATTAAACTTACTCATGTGTGTGTCTGTGTCCATGATTCCAGCCTCTTCATCAGAGAGCTGCAGACTCAGAGGACCTCAGGTGGATCACACTCTTCTTCTTCTTCTTCTTCATCCTCAGTTCTCAGACTTGTCGGGCTTCATTTCTGTCTTTTCTTCTTCTGTTGCAGGTTCAAGCAGCTGCAGCCGCTCCGTCACTATCAACTCTGTCAAGTCCAGTGTGAACCCTCACTGATGATGAAGGAGGACGTCCTTCTTCTTCTTCGTCAGGACAGAGAGAGGGAGCGGCATGAAGCTCCTGCAGAGCCGTATCAGATGTGAGGGACAGTTTCTGCAGAGAGAGACCATGAACATCAGTTTAGAGATTCATTCATCAAGTCAACATTTATCTGGATTATTAAGGAGATGATGTTTTTATACAGATTATTATTAATCTGACTTCAGAGACTTTCATCTGAGCAGTACGCTTCAGCTCTCACCTGTACCTGTACTCTCTCTCTCTCTCTCTCTCTCTCACCTGTACCTGTGCTCTCTCTCTCTCTCTCTCTCTCACCTGTACCTGTGCTCTCTCTCTCTCTCTCTCTCACTCACCTGTACCTGTACTCTCTCTCTCTCTCTCCTCTCTCTCTCACCTGTACCTGTACTCTCTCTCTCTCTCTCTCTCTCACTCACCTGTACCTGTACTCTCTCTCTCTCTCTCTCTCTCTCTCTCTCACTCACCTGTACCTGTGCTCTCTCTCTCTCTCTCTCACCTGTACCTGTGCTCTCTCTCTCTCTCTCTCACCTGTACCTGTGCTCTCTCTCTCTCTCTCACTCACCTGTACCTGTACTCTCTCTCTCTCTCTCTCTCTCACTAACCTGTACCTGTGCTCTCTCTCTCTCTCTCTCTCACTCACCTGTACCTGTACTCTCTCTCTCTCTCTCTCTCTCTCTCTCTCACTCACCTGTACCTGTACTCTCTCTCTCTCTCTCTCTCTCTCTCACTCACCTGTACCTGTGCTCTCTCTCTCTCTCTCTCTCTCACCTGTACCTGTGCTCTCTCTCTCTCTCTCTCTCTCTCTCTCACCTGTACCTGTACTCTCTCTCTCTCTCTCTCTCTCTCTCTCTCTCTCTCACTCACCTGTACCTGTACTCTCTCTCTCTCTCTCTCACTCACCTGTACCTGTACTCTCTCTCTCTCTCTCTCTCTCTCTCTCTCACCTGTACCTGTACTCTCTCTCTCTCTCTCTCTCTCTCTCTCTCTCACTCACCTTTACCTCTCTCTCTCTCTCTCTCTCTCTCTCTCTCTCACTCACCTGTACCTGTACTCTCTCTCTCTCTCTCTCTCTCTCACTCACCTGTACCTGTACTCCCTCTCTCTCTCTCTCTCACTCACCTGTACCTGTGCTCTCTCTCTCTCTCTCTCTCTCACTCACCTGTACCTGTACTCTCTCTCTCTCTCTCTCTCTCTCTCTCTCTCTCTCACTCACCTGTACCTGTACTCTCTCTCTCTCTCTCTCTCTCTCCTCTCACTCACCTGTACCTGTCTCTCTCTCTCTCTCTCTCTCTCTCTCTCTCTCTCTCCCTCTCTCTGGAGATGGCGTGTGAGTGCTGAGAGCGAATCAATCTTTGATTCAACTTTTTTTCTAATTTCGTTTCTTTTCTTTCTTCTATCGTCACTGTATTGAATGGTCATTGTTTGGATTATTTGTTCATAACTTTTGGTTAAACAGTTCAGTGTTTTTTGTGTGTTTTCTTCGTGCCTCGTGGCGAGGATGGCGTCCTCTGAGACGCCACCTCCGCCAGCGTCCCTGAGACACGGCGTGAGGCTGGTGCCACCGCCGGCCTCCTCTGTGGAGCAGGTCCTGTTGGCTGTGGGAGACCAGGTGGGCCACGGTAATATCTCATATGCCTCCCGCATGAACAAAGCCGTGGTAGTGTTTCTAAAAGAACAGACACATGTTACCAAACTTATTGAGGATGGATTAACCCTCAACGAGGAGTTTATCCAAGTTTCCCCGCTGGCTCTGCCGTCCACGCGGATCACCGTGTCCGGCGTCCCTCCATTCATCCCGAATGAAGCGCTGGAACGGGAGCTCAAGCGGTTCGGTAAGTTCGCCAGTGGTTTTCGTACTGTTGCTTTGGGATGTAAAGATGCTAAGCTAAAGCATGTTCAGTCTCTGAGGAGACAGGTCTTCATGTTTTTAGACTCTCCAGCTCAGACACTGGATGTGTCCTTCCGTGTAAAACACGAGGAAGGTTTTTACATGGTGTATGCTAGCTCAGGGAGTATGAAGTGTTTTGAGTGTGGAGACGTGGGCCATAAACGTGTCGCTTGTCCTCACCGACAGCACACGGTGAGACCCGCTGAAGATGACAGCAGGGAGGTGAGCGGTGGGGCCGGTAGGCCGGTGTGGGGCGGTGCTGCGGCCGTCTCGGGTGTGGCGGGTCCGGCGGCGGCTGCCGCGGGTCCCTCGGGCTCGGCGGCGACTGCCGCGGCACCCGTGGGTCCGGCGGCGGCTGCCGCGGGTCCCTCGGGCTCGGCGGCGGCTCCCGTGGGTCCGGCGGCGGCTGCCGCGGGTCCCTCGGGCTCGGCGGCGGCTGCCGCGGCTCCCGTGGGTTCGGCGGCGGCTGCCGCGGGTCCCTCGGGTCCGGCGCCTGCTGCCGTGGGCTCCGTGGGTTCGGCGGCGGCTGCCGCCGGTCCCTCGGGCTCGGCGGTGGCCGCCGCCGGCCCGGTGCGCGGGGCGGCGCTAAAGTCTGTTTTGGGTTTTGGACCTGGAATGGTGAAAAATCAGCCCTTGAGTTGTGTGACTGAAGAGTGTGAGGATGAGATCAGTGTGGAGCAGGATGAGGCTCACACAGCAGGGCAGGCGGAGACCTGCGCTCCTGAGCAGGGTGGGGCTGCTGCAGGTGAGCCGATGCAGGAGGAGGCTGCTGGCACGGCGCAGCAGCTGAGGACTGACTCGGGCTGCTCCAGCTCACAGTCAACAGGCAGTAGGTTTCTCAGATGCTGATGTAGACTCTGATTGTGTCTCTGTAGCAGACAGTGTGTTACTAAATCCAGACCTATACTCTCTTGAGGAGGTGACAGAGTTTCTAGATGACTCCTTTGGGAGATCAGTGGAGGTCACAGACTATTTCCCAGATATGCAGAAGTTTGTCCGGTCTGTGGACACTCTGCAGAAGGTCGTAGGTAAGGAGTTTTTATGTAATAAAAAAAGGTATCGCCTCAAAAAGCATGTGTCTAATGTGAGGAAAATTCTTAAAGGTAAACAGATATTGAAAAAAAGGAAAGTTTCCAAGTAATCCAGAATGATTGTACAATACCAGGTGTTTTCTCTTTGCTGTGTTGGTCTGTCTTTCCTGCTGCTCTGTCTGTCTTCTCCTCACATGCAGCCCTTTACAGTTGCATCTTTAAATATTAATGGGGGTAGAAGTCCACAGAAAAGAGCTCTAGTGTCTGAAATTATCAGACAGAAAAAGATAGAGGTCGTCTTTCTACAAGAAACACACAGTGACAGTGTTAATGAGACAGACTGGGGAATTTGGTGGGGGGGGCAGTACGCACTCAGCCATGGCTCCAATCGAAGTGCTGGGGTGGGTATTTTATTCTCCCCCTCCTTACCGGTAAACATTTTATCCAGCTCAGAAATCATGGCGGGAAGAGCTTTGATGGTGAAGGTGGAAATTCTGGGGTTTGCTTTCACTTTTCTTAATATCTATGCACCCAATCAAAGCTCTGAACGTTTAGTTTTATTTAATTTATTAAAAAACGTTTTAGGGAACAGCAGCAGTCAGGGAGACTGCATAATAATGGGAGGGGACTGGAACTGCTGTACGGATGGCACCTTAGACAGGATAGGGCAGGAGCTCCAGTCCCAATCATCCTCTTTCCTGGCTCAGATGTTGACGGAGTTTAACCTGGTCGACATCTGGAGGTTAAAACATCCCACCGATAAACAGTACACTTGGGTGAGAGTCTCTGACGGCATGGTCAGTGCAGCCAGACTCGACAGATTTTATATGTCCTCTTCTTTTAGCAGTCGTGCAGCCAGGTGTCAAATCCATCCTGTTGGCTTCACAGACCATCACTTAGTTTTATTAGAAATGGTTTTAACCTCTCCTGGAAAGTCCAGGTCTTTCTGGCATTTTAATGTTAAGCTTTTACATGATTTTAACTTTTGTAATAATTTTAAATTATTTTGGGCTGAATGGAGGTCAAGGAAGGAGAATTTCCCCTCTCTAGGTCAGTGGTGGGAGGTAGGAAAGGGACAGATTAGGGTGTTCTGCCAGCAGTACACCGCCTACTCCACTGCTGACGTCCGGAGGGCCATGGACCAACTGGAGGCAGAGATCGGGGAGCTGGAGGGTGTGCCTGTGGGGAACCCTGAGCAGCTGCTCTCCAAAAAACAGCAGCTGAACTCCTTCCTCCTGGAGAAAGCCAAAGGAGCCCTGGTCCGAGCCCGCTTCACTGCCATCAAGGACATTGATGCACCAACAACCTTCTTTTTTAACCTGGAGAAGTAAGAAGGCCAAAAAAAAACAAATGGTGTGTCTCAGTCTGCCTGATGGGGGGTTAACCTCAGACCCCGCTGAGATGAGGAGGCATGCAGTGTCCTTTTACTCAGAGCTGTTTCGAGCGGAACAATGTGATGGAGAGGCTGCAGCTGAACTCCTGCAGGACCTTCCTCAACTGAGCCCAGCAGATCGGGATGCCCTGAGCCTCGACATTACCATGGAGGAGCTAACCTCTGCAGTAAAACACATGGCCTCAGGCAAAGCACCGGGTATGGACGGGTTACCAGCGGATTTTTACAAACACTTTTGGAATACCCTGGGACATGATCTTCTGGACGTGTTTCGGGAGTCCTTCCAGAGGGGAACTCTTCCAGCTTCCTGCAGGCGGGCAGTAATATCGCTGCTACCCAAGAAGGGGGACCTCACCCTACTTAAAAACTGGAGACCAGTGGCCCTGTTATGTAGCGACTATAAAGTACTGTCAAAGGTTTTAGCTAATAGACTGAAGGTGTTTATGGATGGTTTTATTGGTACTGATCAGTCCTACTGTGTCCCTGACAGATCCATCCTGGACAATCTGTTTTTAATGAGAGACATTTTTGATGTGTGCAGACTCTATAATTTAAAGACTGGTGTACTCTCAATTGACCAGGAGAAGGCCTTCGATCGTGTTGATCACTCCTTTTTATTTTCCACACTGCAGGCCTTTGGTGTTGGGGAGCACTTCTTGTCCTGGGTGAAGCTGTTGTACACGGGTGCATGTTGTGTGGTTAAAGTGGGGGGGTGGACTAAGCAGTCCTGTACCAGTGAGCAGAGGCATCAGGCAGGGCTGCCCCCTCTCTGGTCAGCTGTACAGTGTGGCCATTGAGCCCCTTCTTTGTCTGCTCAGGAGGCGGTTAAGGGGATTGTGTCTGCCTGAACCGGCTCAGAGCCGGCCTTTGATTGTGTCAGCATATGCTGATGATGTGAATGTTTTTGTTCAGGGCCAGGAAGATGTTAAAGAACTTAAGCATTGCCTGGATCTGTATGAGAGGGCTGCATCAGCCAAAGTAAACTGGGAGAAGAGCGAGGCAGTTTTAGTCGGCCACTGGAGTACAGGAAGCACCCCTAGTCTTCCTGGTGGCCTTAGGTGGGGTAGCAGAGGGCTCAAGGTCTTGGGAGTGTATTTGGGTAGGGAGGAAACCACTGCTAAAAACTGGGAGGGAGTGCTGGAGAAGGTGAAAGCCAAGTTATCTAAATGGAAATGGTTGCTACCTCAGATGTCTTACAGGGGAAGAGCTCTGATCGTCAATAACCTGGTGGCCTCGTCTCTGTGGCACAGGCTCCAAGTTCTGGACCCTCCACCAAGCCTCATGGGACAGCTGCAGCGACTCCTGGTGGACTTTTTCTGGTCGGGTCACCATTGGCTTCGAGCGTCAGTCCTATACCTTCCTGTGGCAGAGGCAGGGGGGCAGGGCCTGATAGACATCGCCTCCAGGACCGCTGCCTTCAGGCTTCAGGCAGCTCAACGTTTCCTGTACGGACCTTCTCACTGCTGGTTGGATGTAGCTCGGCTGCTGCTCCGGAAGGCTGGGCGGCTTCGCCTCGACAAACAGCTGTTTCTCCTGAAGCCCCCTGCTCTCACCTTCACTGATCTTACACCTTTCTACAACTCTGTGTTTGTTGCGTGGAGGACTCTGGTTGCCACTCGACCATCTGACCCCAAGCCTGGGATGTGGCTGTTTGAGGAGCCACTTTTTGACAATGACCTTCTCGTTACCACCACGGTTTTATCTAACACCTTAAAAAGTGTCCTCACTCAAGCTGGAGTAGTTAAGCTTGGACATCTCACACGAACACCTGTAGAGAGTCTGGCTGACATGACCGGAGTAAGATCAACAAGAGTGCTGCTGAACCTGGTGAAGGAGGTGTGGCAGTCTCTGTCGGGGCCCCTCCGGACTTTTGCTCAGGGACGGGGTTTGGCTGAACGTTGGAGAGAGGGCCAAGACTACATCTTCCCCACCCTGAGTGTGAGTCCTGCAGTGGGAGAATGGAGGGAGGAGAGTGGACTGTTGCTGACGTTACAGAGACCAGTACTGGGAGCCTTCAGCTCCTGCACAGGGAAGCAGCTGTACCTCAGCTGTGTCAAAGTACTCAACCTGCGCTCCCTCACGGGAGTCAGAGAGTCGAGGTGGACAGAGGTTTTTGGCTCAGACTTTTCCCCTAATGGCAGCTGGAGGGTCCTGTATAAGCCTCCTGTTGAGAAACGCACAGCGGATCTCCAATGGAGGATTATACACGGAACGATAGCCACAAACAGGTACAGAGCTCACCTTGATCCGGCCAATGGGGAGGGATGTCCATTCTGCTCCCAGTCAGAGACTGTAGAGCACCTGGTACTGTCCTGTCCCAGACTGGCAGCTCTTTTTAAAGTGGTGCAGGAGTGGGTGGGGGGTTTGGGGGAGGTTTTCTCGTTCCCACTCTTTGTTTTTGGACCCAAATACACTCCCAAGAAAAAGAAATCAGTGGTATTGATCAACTTTGTTTTTGCGAGTGCTAAATTAGCCATCTGGAAGACTCGCAAAAACAAGGTTCTTGGGGTGGACTGGACTGACCCGGTCTGTTGCCTCAAAGGCTTGGTGGCGGCACGTCTCAGGGTTGAGCACACCTTTTATAAACTGACGGAAAATTTGGATGGTTTCAGGGATGTGTGGGCTATCGGACAAGTCCTGTGCTCACTGGAGGAAAATGGCTCCTTAGTGCTGAATTTCTAAAGGACTGATTTTTAGTGTGTGTGCTTGTGTGTGTGTGCGTGCGTGCGTGTGTGTGTGTGCGTGCGCGTGTGTGTGTGTATGTGTGTGTGTGTGTGTGTGTGCGTGTGTTACTATTTATTTATTGTAACCAACAGTACTAATCTGGTTTTAAGATTTTGTCAGAATGGTTCAAAAATAAAGTTTGTTAAAAGTCAAAAAAAAAAGTCTCTCTCTCTCTCTCTCACTCACCTGTACCTGTACTCTCTCTCTCTCTCTCTCTCTCTCTCTCTCTCTCTCTCTCTCTCTCTCTCTCCTCTCACTCACCTGTACCTGTACTCTCTCTCTCTCTCTCTCTCTCTCTCTCTCTCTCTCTCTCACCTGTATTTCCTGAACCCTCTCAGGTTTGACTTTGTTTTCATCTCTGATCTGATTTTTCTTCATGTGAAGAAAGTTTGATGTTTCTCGGCTTGTTAAAAAAACATCTAAAATCTCACTGAAACCAACAACACGTCTGCATGTCTGACCGTCAGACGGCTTTTTGGTCCAGAGAAACTTCTGCTGTACTTACAACAGCTGACCAGGAGGTGGCAGTGTTCATCCAATCCTATCATTAACCTGGTGCTTTTAGAAGAAAGGATCAAACCTGCTGCAGCACCAACCTTATTCAACCCTCTGTCTGTCTGTCTGTCTGTCTGTTTCTCTGTCTGTCTGTCTGTCTGTCTGTCTGTCAGTGTGGCTGCAGCTCATCATGAATACCTGCAGAGGAGACAGGAGGCGAACCAGTACAAGCAGAGAGCTGAGGAGCAGCTGGTGAGAAGATCAGAGAAACTCTGAATTAGTGACCTCTAACCTCTAACCTCAGACATGAACTTCCTGTAACTCGACCGTAGACTCTCTCTCTCTCTCCCTCTCTGTCTCTCTCTGTCTCAGTTCATATTTGGACCAGCTCTCTAAAGTCTCTTGATCAGGACTCTGCTGTTTTTAAGCAGACTCCATGGTCGGACTTTGAGTTCAGGGTTTCAGCGGTTTATTAAAAGCAGGTTTGGTCACAGGAACATGAGTCAGAACTGTGAACTTCAGAGAAGCTTCAGGAAACCACAACAGGAACAGAGATGATAGAAACAGGGTTAGGTGATGGAGGTGGAGCTGCAGAGGAGACGGAGTCAGTCAGAGACAGAGGATCACGAAAGACTGAGCAGCTCTGACCTTTGACCTCTCCTCTGTGACCTTCAGGGTCTGCGCCCGTGCACAGCTGAGCGGGTCAGGAGGCCTGGAGGTCAGGGGCGCGATGGTGGACCACCTGAACCTCAACATGCAGCTCAGGACCGGAGGCAGGAGGGACAGCAGGTAGGACGGTCAGAGTCACACTGACACCAGGACCAGGTCTAGAGGAAACACCTGACCACGTCTGTGTGTGTGTGTGTGTGTCTGTGTGTGTGTGTGTGTGTGTGTGTGTGTGTGTGTGTGTGTGTGTGTGCAGGAGTATCTTCGTCAGCTGGAGATGATCAGACTGGAGTACCAGGAGGACATGAAGAAGCAGATGAAGCAGAGAGCAGAAGAAGAACAGGTACAACCATGAAGACCCTAATCCAGACTCTGAGGAGAAGCTCTCAGACTCTCCTTGATAATAATGAAGATCTCTGAACATCTGAACTCTTCCAGACTGATCCATCAAACAAACATCTGACCTTTGTGGTGGAGAAACCCAGAGACCCTGAACCAGAACCCACAGAGGAGGGGGGAGACCAGCAGAGAGACCCAGCTGCTCAGGTAAGTCCTCATCAGAGGACTCCCTGTTGGGAAGAGCCGACTCAGACTCTTCAAAAACTCTCTGCAGGACGTTGAAGCAGCTCTGCAGCAGATCCGAGACCAGACCAGAGACCAGAGGAGAGCTCTGCAGAGGAACCACAGAGACCAGGTCAGATCACACCTCCTGAGTCTGCTAAAGAAGCTTCTAGAGCGGATCAGGAGGAGCTCACGTAGGCCTGCTGTCTTTGAGGAAACATCTGAGGAGCAAGTTCAAGGTGGTCCTGTCAGAGGGACTCCACAGTCCTGAACCTGGTCAAAAAAATCAGGTTTTCATCTCTGTGTTTTTTCTAGAAAGGAATCATGTTTGAGATCCGACTGGATAATGAAGGGATGAAAGAGGAGGTGAAGAAGAAGGAGGAGAAGGAGAAGGAGGAACAGAAAGAGGAGGTGAGTGATCATGTGACCTGGATGTCTCCAGAGCTCTTCTTCTTCTTCTTCTCTCTCATATCTGATCTCCCTGACAGGAAGTGGACCCTCTGAACCGGACCCTGAGCTTCCAGCAGGGCGAGGACTTGAAGATCAGGGATTGGTCAGAGGAGGCGAGGAGGGGGTGGAGCCAAAGGACTCCTCGGACTCTGCTGGAGGCGCTTGGCAACATGGAGGTCAACTCAGCCTTGAACACAGCGGTGGAGACGGAACCAGGAACTGAACCAGGTACTGAACCTTTAAAACCAGGCTCCTGGTCTTAAAGAGGACCCACGTCTTCAGGTCTGAGTCTGTTCGGGTCAGATCCATGTCTCTGATTAACGAGGACTTACAGGAGAGTGTCCTCTTTCTACGCTGACACAGGTATGGCTCCGCCCCTCTCAGGTGAGGAGGAGGAGGAGGGTCGGCGGCAGTGGGTCGGCGGCCCCCCGGTGACCCTGCTGAAGGTTCTGGCTGAAGCTGAACTCACCTCATCGACTCTGGACTCTGTGGACGCAGGTCAGACCTCAGGGGGGTCAGGAGATCAGAGAGAGAAGGAGGAGAAACAGGAGGAGGAGGAGTCTGATGTGGAGACGGATGAAGAACGTCTGGAACCACGATCAGACGACGACGACACGTGAGTTCACACTGATCCACAACCAGATCCTAGTCTTTGGAGACCACGTCAGACCACCCCTTTATCTCCTGTTTGCTCCTCAGAAACTTCGAGGAGTCCGAGGACGAGCTGAGGGAGGCAGTGGCCGACTCCATGAAGAACCTGTTTGTGATGGAGGACAGCAGCTCAGACGAGGAGGAGAGGGAGGATGGAGGAGCAGCAGGAGGTCCAGATCCTCCTGAGGGTGAAGACCCTGAGAAACAGGTTACAGAAGAACCTTCAGACCAGAACACGTGAGAGGAGACCTTCAGTCAGGAGGTCTGAGATGGAAATAAAGGTTCACAGGAGAGACTGTGTGAGAGTTTATTACTGAAATATCAGAGTTTAGATTTCCTGACCCACATGAGGGAGGAGGCGGGAACGACGAGATGATCGGGTTTAACGAACATTTTTAACTCAGAACTTTATCACGGAGCTGCTTCATGATCGTCTGTTTTCAATCATCTCTCTTTGATCGTCTCTTTTCGATCGTCTTTCTTGGATCGTCTTTTTTTGATCGTCTTTTTTCGATCGTCTTTTTTCGATCGTCTCTCTTTGATCGTCTCTTTTTGATCGTCCTTTTTTGATCGTCTCTTTTCGATCATCTCTTTTTGAACATCACTTTTTGATCGTCACTTCTCGATCGTCTGTTTTCGATCGTCTCTTTTCGATCGTCTTTCTTGGATCGTCTTTTTTTGATCGTCTTTTTTTGATCGTCTTTTTTCGATCGTCTCTCTTTAATCGTCTTTTTTCGATCGTCTCTTTTTGATCGTCTTTTTTTGATCGTCACTTCTGGATAGTCTGTTTTCGATCGTCTCTGTTTGATCGTCTCTTTTCGATCGTCTCTTTTCGATCGTTTCTCTTTAATCGTCTGTTTTTGATCGTCTTTTTGATCGTCTGTTTTTGATCGTCTGTTTTTGATCGTCTCTTTTTTAACGTCTCTCTTTGATCGTCTCTTTTCGATCGTCTCTGTTTGATCATCTCTCTTTGATCGTCTGTTTCCGATCGTCTCTTTTCGATCGTCTCTTTTCGATCGTCTCTTTTCGATCGTCTGTTTCCGATCGTCTGTTTCCGATCGTCTCTCTTTTCAATCGTCTCTCTTTGATTATCTCTCTTTTCGATCGTCTCTCTTTGATCGTCTCTTTTTGATCGTTTCTCTTTAATTGTCTCTTTGATCGTCTCTTTTCAATCATCTCTTTACGATCGTCTCTTTTCGATCTTCTCTCTTTAATTGTCTCTTTTCGATTGTCTCTGTTTGATCGTCTCTGTTTGATCATCTCTCTTTGATCATCTCTTTCCGTTCGTCTCTTTCCGATTGTCTCTCTCTCCTCTCCTGATCTACAGTCAGACTTTGATCCCTCAGACTTTGTTCTTCCTGTTTGGTCTGAATAAACCCTTCGTGGTTCAGGATCAGCCTCACTAACGACCCCTCAGTATTAGCAGAGTCCTCTCTGTGGGTCTGATCCTCAGGTTTATCCTCGCTGTAACTCTCTCTGACCACCAGGTGGCAGCAAAAACACGACAATCTCAACAGGAAGTGATTTCTGATTGTTTTTATTGCAGAATTGTTAAAGTGGAGACAAACTCTGAACATCCTTAAACATCTTTAAACAGGAACAGGAGCTCCTTCAAAATAAAGTTAGCTCTTTCAAAATAAAGTTACTGATATTTCACACAGACGTGTTTCCATACCTGGAGGAGGTGAAACTACAACAACCTTCTTACTTTCACCCACAGAACTTCATGTAACTTCAGACATCATTCAGTGAGGGTGACGTCGTCATGACAACAGACCTACGATCATGTGACGTCAGGAATTACTTCATAGGAACAAAAACTCAAAGTCTGTTTGGAATGAATCTGTTGGTTCTCCGTGTCTCTGTCCGCTCAGGAAACATGCAAACCTGCCGAGGCTGCTTCTGATTGGTCCTCGCAGTGAGAGCGTCAGGTGACCTGACCGCCGTCTTCTTCTTCTTCTTCTCTTGGATTAAATAAAGTGTCACAGTCCTTCCTCCTCCTCCTCCTTCACCCCGTAAATATCCGTGCAGCTCGAATCATAAAATAAACCGGATCATCAAAGTCCTGGTCCCTGGTGGACTCGTCCTCACCGCTCCAGTCTCCTCATCAGATCCTCGGTGGCGGACAGGAAACTCACCTCGAACTCCTGGTCGGAGAATCTCTCCACGGAGCGCCGGGCGTTCTGTCGGATCTCCAGTCTGGCCGACGGAGACAGAGCCAGGATGGTTTCCATGGCGGCGGCGTAACTGTCCTCGCTGTCGGCCAGGAAGCCGGTCTGTCCGCCTTCAAACGGGACCACGATGTCCAGCTTTGGACCGCCGGATTTGTGAGCGAGGACGACGGTTCCTGCCGCCATACACTCCACCACACCTGAGGAGAGACGAGAGGAACCGTTCAAGAACCGCCTCCTGACTCTTCAGAGGAGCCTGACTGACACTGTGTGTGTGTGTGTGAGTGAGTGCGTGTGCGTGCATGTGTGTGTGTGCGTGCGCGTCCTCACCGATGCCGAAGTGTTCGTTCCACATGGTGTGCAGACCGATGGCGGCGTCGACCAGCTCCCTCTTCAGCTCCTCAAAGGGGATGTTGAGTTTGAAGTCGACGCGGTCCGACACGCCAAGCTCCTCGCAGAGTCCTCGCAGCATCAGCACGCGCTCCTCGTCCTCCTGGTTCCTGCATCCGCCAATCAGCACCAGCCGCAGAGACTCCCGCCCCCCAGGCCCCTCCCCCTTCCTGTCCAGCAGTTTAGAAAACGCCCGAATCTGCAGACGGTGATCCTTCTCCGGTCTGAACTGACCCACAGACACGATGGAGGCGCTCTTCTTCTCCCCTCCTCCTCCTCCTCCTCGCTCCTCCTCTTCCTCTCCACTCCCCAGCTCCCGCCCTAGCTCCTCCCACCCTTCCTCCACCTCGTCCTCCTCCTGCTCCTCCTCCAATGGGACGTCCAGGAAGGCTCTGACGTCACAGGGCGGGTACACGATGCTGGTGCGGCTCGGGGAGCGCCACAGGGCCAGGATGTGTCCAAGCGTCCAGGTGGAGTTGACCATGATGACATCACTGCAGGAGCCGGCGAGCCCGTAGAGCAGGGCGAAGCAGCAGTAGTACACCACCTTCAGAGCGCTCAGAACCGGGTTCCTGGAGATGAAGTCGGCGTTGTTGAATCTGGAATCAGAGAGAAAAAACTTTTTAGGGGGTCGCTGCTCAGGACACCATCGTGTGTGTGTGTGTGTGTGTGTGTGTGTGTGTGTGTGTGTGTGTGTGTGTGTGTGTGTGTGTGTGTGTGTGTGTTACCTGGGGTTCCTCTCTCGGACCACAGACAGCATGTCGGTGCTGACGGTCGGGTAGTGGACGTAGCTCGCCACCTTACAGCCCCCCAGGTACCTGAAGATGGGCAGAGTGAAGGCGTACCCCATGGAGTCCACGTACAGGTCCGGGACGAAGGAGGTCAGCGCCTCCCACCCTGAACACACACACACACACACGCACAGGACATGAAGATCTGGACTTGGACTGAGACGGTTTTTCTATGACCCAGATCTCTCCTGGTCTTACCCAGAAACATGGACCCGGCGCTCTGACCCAGCAGGGTGAAGTGAGGGTAAGACCCCGCCTCCACCAGCGCGCGGTGACGCAGGAAGACGAAGGTGACGGCTCGGGGCAGCGTGATGTTGAACCGCTGTCGGGCCCCCTCCAGGATCTGCTCCCCCGTCACCCCCTGATCCCCCGTGTAGACCACGAAGGAGAACCCGGGGTACCTGAAGAGGGGCGGGACACACGACACTCACTGTCATTATTCGTCGCTCCACCTGCTCCACCCTCCACCACTCCAACTATAGATATAGAGACATAGATTCTGCTCCACCCTCCACCACTCCAACTATAGATATAGAGACATAGATTCTGCTCCACCCTCCACCACCCCAACTATAGATATAGAGACATAGATTCTGCACCACCCTCCACCACTTCAACTGTAGATATAGAGACATAGATTCTGCTCCACCCTCCACCACCCCAACTATAGATATAGAGACATAGATTCTGCACCACCCTCCACCACTTCAACTGTAGATATAGAGACATAGATTCTGCTCCACCCTCCACCACCCCAACTATAGATATAGAGACATAGATTCTGCACCACCCTCCACCACTTCAACTGTAGATATAGAGACATAGATTCTGCTCCACCCTCGACCACTCCAACTACAGATATAGAGACATAGATTCTGCTCCACCCTCCACCACTCCAACTATAGATATAGAGACATAGATTCTGCTCCACCACTTCAACCATAGATATAGAGACATAGATTCTGCTCCACCACTTCAACTGTAGATATAGAGACATAGATTCTGCTCCACCCTCCACCACTTCAACTATAGATATAGAGACATAGATTCTACTCCACCCTCCACCACTTCAACTATAGATATAGAGACATAGATTCTGCTCCACCACTTCAACTATAGATATAGAGACATAGATTCTACTCCACCCTCCACCACTTCAACTATAGATATAGAGACATAGATTCTACTCCACCCTCCACCACTTCAACTGTAGATATAGAGACATAGATTCTGCTCCACCCTCCACCACTCCAACTATAGATATTGAGACATAGATTCTACACCACCCTCGACCACTTCAACTATAGATATAGAGACAAAGATTCTGCTCCACCCTCCACCACTTCAACTGTAGATATAGAGACATAGATTCTGCTCCACCCTCGACCACTTCAACTATAGATATAGAGACATAGATTCTGACCTGTTCATGAGGGCCCTCAGGGAGCACCACAGGACCCTCTCCCCCCCTCCTCCAGCGTTGCAGTACGGATGGAAGAACCCCACCGCGGGGCCCCCGTCCTCCTCCCGGCGGGCCTTCCGGCGGCCCTGCAGCCACGTGCGGACCCCCAACAGGAGCAGCAGCAGGACCAGGGTCAGGACCAGGCTGAGGTAGACGCAGGGGACCACCAGAGACCACAACAACCTGAGGAGAGACAGGAGAGACCTGAACAGGGACTCAGGGAGTCCAGAACGGCTAAGCTAACGTTAGCTCTAGGAGCTGGTGTGTTCGTCACGTGATTTAACCCTCTCATCTGAGGACCTAAATGAAGACAGTACCTCATTAAGTCACAGAAGCACAGAGAGAAGTTGTGATGATGATGATGATGGTGATGGTGGTGAGGAGGAGGATTCTGCAAGTGTTCGTGTCCGTCCATTTTAACAACAACACTGACGTTACCGGAAAGGAAGCGGTCAGCTGACGGAGCTGCTGAGCTGTGATTGGCTCAGCGTTTGTTTACGTCCACGTCACCACCACGTGACTTTCATTTATCAATAAGCCCGTTCATTAATCGATTCAGTATTTCGATCAATTTTAGGTAATTACACATAGTAATAAAATAATAATAATATTGTAAATTTAATAAAAAACAATTATAAATGTTTTTATAAAAATGATAATAAATATTTTTTTAATAATAAAAATAACATTTAATATAATGATAATAATAAATATTCATAATAATGAAATAATGATGATTATAATAATAAATAATTTTATAAAAATAATAATCATAATGATAATGAAAATAATAATAATACAGTGTACAATTTGTTTTTGAACTCTGATTTTTAATGTGAAATAATTATTAATTTATATATCTGATAATAACCCTCCCAACAGATGAATTCAGATTTATCACCATAAGAAATAGTGAAATAATGATTAAAAACATTCTGAAAAAAGGGATAATTTTACATGAAAAGCTAATTATGAATAACGAGTGTTTATCCAACAGTGTCAAGAAATGACTCAAAGGTTTTAACAGACAAAAGACAAAAGACCGGTTTATTAACAGTCCAAAGCGTCCAAAACGTGAGGGTCAAAAACTTTTTTATTAATTTATTTATTTGTAAGTGATGTAAAACAGAAGATGACAGGTGAAGGACAACAAACTAACAAACAGATAGGGGAGACGAGACAAGACAGACACAAGCGAGGATGACAGTTTAACTTTGTGTGTGTGTGTGTGTGTGTGTGTGTGTGTGTGTGTGTGTGTGTGTGTGTGTTTGCCTATGTATTAGTGCTCGTTTTGGGGAGTTATATAAAACAGATAACAGTTAAAAATAATAATACAAACTAATAAAAGTAAAAAGAATAATGGGACAGAGCAAACGCACGAAGCCCAATTTAAATTGAGAAAGGAAAAAAATTATATATATATATATATATATATATGGATATAACTTTTTTTTTTTTAGGGTCAAAACTATTAAGGTCGATATGTAGACTGTCACTGTGATAACGAGAAAAAGTTCTGGAACATGACAAGAGTACGACGAACTGAAGGTGAGAGTGTGAGAGACACGAGGTTAAATACAGGAGTTTAATGATGAGAGACAGGTGTGGAGGAACAATCAGGAGACAGGTGTGAGGAGAAACAGGAAGACATCTGGAACAGAGACGGTGACTTCAAAATAAAACACACAGGAGACAGAAAATGAACCAAATAAAGATAACTTTACCCTGATCAGGACAAACTGAGGGTTTGTTTCTGTTTGGAGATACTGACGGACTCTGTGTTTGTGGTTAAATATTACGAACATTTCACCACAACCATCAGAAACATCTTCTGAGAAGGATTTGTGCTTCTTCTTCTCAGCAGCAGGACTCTTCTCCTACAGAGCCATGCTGTTGTCAGGATGAGGTTCTGGATCATCTGAAGGTCTTTCCTGAAAAAGTCTCGTAGTCTGGATGGACTCAGATGTTCCTCCTAAACCTGGATTATAGTTCAGAGGAGATACTCAGGACATCTGACAGAGTTTGATTTCTCTGTTCTCCAGTAAATAAAACCTTTAAACTCAGATCTGCAGTCGTCACTAAATCCTCTTCCTCTTTGTTAATGACTCTGATTCTTTCTCTTCGACGTGACGCTCTAAAAAGGAAGTCTTTCGTCGTGACCTCTGACCTCTTGAATCAGTCCTGACTCTCTGAGATGCTCGCTCTCATCTCTGAACCCCGTCCAGGTTTCACGTTGACTCGTGTTCAGCTGCAGCATCACCATATAAAGACAAAACGCTTCATTCCTGTTTCTGAAGTGTGGCGTGTCACTTCCTTCCTCCTACATTTGAATAGACGTGTGTCGCCCTGCTCGCCGTGTGTCGCCTCAGAGCTGCTGCAGCCGGACCAAACCCTCACACCACCACACCCAGAGACCCAGAGACCCCCAGGACCCTGACTCACCCCCCAGGTAAGACTATTAGGACTCTGATCCACACAGGTGAGTCTGTGAAGGCGGCACAGAGACACCTGAGAGGACTCCGCTCAGAGATTTTTTTATGACAGAGAGAAACTGCAGAGAGGAGGACGGAGCGTGCAAAATCTTCACAATCCTTTAATTTATCATAAATGTCTGTGTAGTTTAATCTAAAACTCATCCTCGCTCTGCAGACCAGAGACTTCTTTAAAAACAAAACAAGTAAAAACAGGAACTTCAAACCCTCATTTCAGAGTGAAGAAACAAACGAGAGGAAGACGATAAAAAGACTTTAATCTTCTGTTTGTGGACTAATCTTTGCAGATGTTCTGAATCGGCTGCAGGACAGATTTATCTCAGAGTCTCTCAGTTTTATGCAAAACAGAATGAAACTGAAAATTCAGACCCGCGTTTAATGTGAGAGACCTGCTGCAGAAAAACCACAAAAACAGAATAAAGTGGGTTTAACATTTCTCTAAAACCAAAGATGGTTTCTCTTCAAACTGTCGAACCTTCACTGTGACAGAGGAGAGGAGCACAGAGAGAGAGTCCGGTGTTTTTATCTCTGAGTTTCTGCACATTTCCACAGATCTGAACCCCGACTTTAATCCTCTTCAGGTCACAGTTTCACACTTTTTCCTGCAGAAATATGGAGACAAAACAGAAACTTAAGAGTCGATTGTGAAATGAGGTCATTGGATTTTTACAGAGAGTGACTGAAATCATCTGAAAGTCGAAGCAGAGATGGTTTGAAGCAGAGCGAGGCCTGCAGGAGAGGAAGAAGAAGAAGAAGTTAAAGCTCTGCAGTGAGCTGAAGAGGAAGTTTGCGGTCGGCTTCACTTCAACAGAAAAAAGAAAAAACTCAGAGACGGTGAACAGAAACTGATCTGAGCTCAGAGCTTCATCTGTCAGGAGGACTTAGTTTAAGGAGCAGCAGGTCTGCAGGATCTTATTGAGGGTCAGGATCTCTGAGGGAGAGCGGACAGACCGTTCAGGGTCGCCGTGGTCGTGACGTCAGATCCTCATGACTCGGCAGAAACCACAGATTTAGAAAATGGAAGTTCAGAGACGGAGGACGTCTTTATCAGCTCTGCTCTTTAGACAGACTCAGTTTGTCACTTTTCAGTAATCCTGTGATTTTCTCTGTGAAACTGATTCAAACATTAATCATCAAACCTCCTGATCAGGATCCTGATCAGGTCTGACTGTAGACCTCCTTCAGAGACCACCTGATCCAGACTGGGGTCTACATTTAAAGTACTTTACTGTAAACTTGTTAAAATCGTTATTTCAGTTCCAGTCTAAAACTCACTCAGCTGCAGAAACGACCTCTGACCTCTGACCTCCATGACATCGTAGTTTTTATTAATTAGTCCGACTTCACGGTGACGTCTCCTCGTCTCCACAGATTCAGATCTTCTTCTTTAGTGGTCAGATTCTTCTTCAGGTGTGAAAGTTTGACTTTGTTTAAATATAAATCATGTTAAAGTAAAATAAGAATTAAATACTTTCAAATACATGAAACAAAAGTGACAAAACTCACTTTATCGACCTGTTTTTATCTGAGTTTGTCTTTTAGTCTGTTTTTATTTCCTCCTCTACGAGCTTCTTCTGTTTAATTTATCTGATATTTCTTCTTCTGTCACTGACTTTACTCTTAAATTCACTCTAATTTCATTTATCTCAGTTATTTTAATTTACTTCATTTCTGTCATCAGCTGATTTTTATTTATATCAAACAGTTATAAACATTAATAAGATAGAACGAGCTAAAGCAACAAAAAGGCATATAAATAATTTAGATAATAAAGAGATAATAAAGGTCATTAAAAAAGAATGAAAGCAGGAAACTAATGAGGATAAAAAAAAAGGAAACAAACAAAAATCCAGATTAAAGGAGAATCTTTAAATGTTCAAAAGTCTAAATATGTAAAAACTTCTTCAGCTTCTCCTGTTTCTCTGTTTTTAAAGGCGCTCCTCTTATAAAGTCGTTCCAATAATCATCAATATTTATTAGTTTGATTTTCTTCTTTAAAGTGTTTGAACTTTAATAATTATCAATCAGAGGAAATCAATCAAAAGTTCTGCGGTCTGAGGACTCATCATCCTGTTTAAAGGTCCTCAGAGACATTAAAAAAGGAACCACACACACACACACACACACACACACACACCGGGTGAATCATCACAGACTGAAATAAACAGTCATGTGATCAGACGTTGAAGGATGACCGAATTTTTACTCATCAGAGGATTTTTCTACGTTTGAGCAAAAATGATTTAAAAAAATAAAATTTAAACTTCAATTAAAAAAAAAAAGAAAAAAACAAACAAAAAAATAATAATTTAAAAAAGGAAACAAAGAGCAAAGTGAGAGTGGTCCTCACTGAAAACATCATGACCCTAAAACAGGACTGAGGAGACCCTGAACTGAGGAGCAGATGAAGTCCTCGATCAGGGTCAGGATTAGACTGTCAGACTCCAGAACCTGGTTTGCTGGGTCCACTAAGGTCTACAGAACCGGGTCTACTGAAACACCTGGATGTCCTTCAGAGTGTTTGTGGTCAGGTTGCATTCTGGGTACTGTAGGCTCCAGTTTGAATGAATGAGAATCTCATTTCCTGTGTTACTTTGGTTTCTTAAAGTCTCATGAGTCCAGTTATGATGGTGCAGTGAGGGACCGGGGTCCAGACCACCTGTGGGGCCTGTAGGTGATCAGGTCCTGCAGGTGATCAGGTCCTGTTCTCACACGGCAGTTAGAAACAGGGAAACGGCGCCGTGTGTCAGACAGGAAGTGTGGCAGAAGCAGGAAGCTGAAGCTGGCAGAAGTGAGAACTGTTTGCATCACAGACCAGAATCAGGAGTTAGAATCTAGTTCCTCCTTCAGTGCCCCACCTCACAGCAGGTCCTCGCAGGTCCTCACAGGTCCTCACAGGATCGTAGACTAACGTTAAAACCTCTTCTTCTCTTCTCTGTGTCAGGTTTAGCACTCCAACATGGCCGCCAGCACGCCGATCGCCGCAGAGGAGCTGGAGGAGCTCAGAGAAGCCTTCGCCAAGATCGGTGAGAACCCGGGGGGGGGGGGTCAGTTCCTCTTGTTGGATCAGAGGAAACAGCAGCAGGAACTGAGACATGAGAGTGATGTGAGACATGTTGTCATAAAAACACCCAGAATGCACCAGTTCTGACATCATCGACAATCTTTGGTACAAATCAAAACAGTCAGAGGAGTCGCTACGGCGCCCTAATGATGGAGGCCGCCATGTTGGAAATGCTGACTGTATTAAAGGGATATTCCAGCGCATTTTTAATTCAGGGTCAAACACACCGTAACACTGAGTTATCACCTACTCTCTTCCAGCAGCCGCTCGTTTGTAGTGAGACCTCAGGCCAGTCCATTATGGACTACAGCGGGGTGCCGCAGCTCAAGGAAGAACATTTATGAGGTCTCGATATGAAGTTAGGTGCTGTTCTGAGCATTATTTATGGCTATAGAGTGACGTTGAAACAGGTATTAGGCCTCCTGGCGAACAGCTACAGCACACCCACCTGTCAGTCTTATAAGCCCCGCCCCTAAGTTTGCCCAATGATGGACACTTTCCTCAGTCTGTACACGAGCTGAGAGCTGAAGACCCTCCAGAGATGTTTGAACATGAAGCTCTATGGAGACCGACTCACTGTGGGACACAGCCTCTAGTGGACACTGGAGGAACTGCAGTTTGTGTCTCCTGTCTGATTATGTGCTGTAGTTTTGTTTTCTCTGACCTTTGACCCCTCCCTCCTCCCTCAGATGTCGATAATAACGGGTTCATCAGTAAGGCGGAGCTCACAGACCTCTTCAGAGCCGCTAACCTGGCTCTGCCGGGGTACCGGATCAGGGAGATCGTCCAGGAGCTGACCAGGACCAGTGACCAGCTCACCTTCGAGGAGTTCACTCAGGTGAGTTTTAGGGCCTGTTGCTATGACAACCACATAATCATCCAGCTGAGAGTACCTGCTGTTTAAACTGTAACAGCAGAAGTGTCTCCTCATGACGAGTCGATACTAAAAAAACGACAAAAACCTAAAAAATAAACGTTTTCGTGTTTAAAACCTTCGAGTTCGACCCTCACACAGGCCCTGAAGGAGAGCTAGGAATTATGGGTCATATCCGCTGCCTGACCCTGTGTCTTTGTGCTCATCCTGCAGGTGGTCCATGGGCTGAAGAGCACGGAGGTGGCGAAGACGTTCAGGAAGGCCATCAATAAGAAAGAGGGGATCTGTAACGTGGCAGGGACCTCCGAGCAGTCCGGGACCCAGCACTCGTACTCAGGTCTGCCCTCAGTTTCTCATTCTGCTGTTGATTATGAGGTTTTATCATCGAACCCGGTCAACCTCTGATTCTCTGTGAAGAAGACAGAGATCAGAACCGGTCAGAACCAGAACATCTGTGGGACCGTTTTCACCGAATAAAACCTCAGAAAAGGAAAAAAGACTTAAAGACTTGGTGAATGATGAGGAGTGAGTCAATGAGAAGAGGAAAAAAGTTTGATATTTTTTTTTGACTTATTTTTATTTATTTTATCTATTATTTTATCTTTTATTTATCTCTTTATTTTGACTTATTTTTATTTATTTTATCTTTTATTTATCTCTTTATTTTGACTTATTTTTATTTATTTTATCTTTTATTTATCTCTTTATGTTTACTTATTTTTATTTATTTTATCTATTATTTATTTTTTATTTGGACTTATTTTATCTTTTATTTATCTCCTTATTTATCTCTTTATTTTTATTTATTTTATCTATTATTTTATCTTTTATTTATCTCTTTATTTTTACTTTTTTTTATTTATTTTATCTATTATTTATTTTTTATTTTTACTTATTTTTACTTATTTTATCTATTATTTTATCTTTTATTTATCTCTTTATTTTGACTTTTTTTTATTTATTTTATATATTATTTATCTCTTTATTTCAACTTATTTTTATTTATTTTATCTATTATTTTATCTTTTATTTATCTCTTTATTTTAACTTATTTTTATTTATTTTATCTATTTTTTATTTTTTATTTTTACCTATTTTTACTTATTTTATCTATTATTTTATCTTTTATTTATCTCTTTATTTTGACTTATTTTATCTCTCATTTTTCTCCTCTTTCTTCTTTATTTGCTCTTTAGTTACTGTAACAAGAATCTGTTTCCTCCTGTAGATCATTAAAGCTTTTCTGATTCTGATTATTCAGAGCTCCTTCACTGTTTCATGTTTTTAACATGTTTAAGAAGTTTTTTTACCTGAGGAGAGCAGAGTCCACTGATGTGATCTGATGTGGACTGATGTGGACTGATGTGGTCTGATGTGGACTGGTGTGGACTTGTCTCTGCAGAGGAGGAGAAGGTGGCCTTTGTGAACTGGATCAACAAAGCTCTGGAGAAAGACCCGGACTGTCAACATGTGCTGCCCATGGACCCGTCCAGTAACGACCTCTTCACCGCCATGGGAGACGGGATCATCCTCTGGTGGGTCCTGGTTTTTTGATAGTTTTTAGAAGATCCTGTTAAAACCTTCAAACATCAGCCCAGCTTCAGTCTCAGACCCTCATCATGAAAACCTCAGAGGAGGACCCCCGTGTAGGTCCACCTGTCCACACCTGAGGACTAACGCTCTGACTCTCTCCCCCGTCAGTAAGATGATCAACCTGTCAGTTCCCGACACCATCGATGAGAGGACCATCAACAAGAAGAAGCTCACCCCCTTCACCATCCAGGTCAGTCCGTCTTCTTCTCAGAGTCCACCTCTGTGTTTGGTCCAAACCCTGAACCCTGGTCCTCGCTCCAACAGGAGAACCTGAACCTGGCTCTGAACTCCGCCTCCGCCATCGGCTGCCACGTGGTCAACATCGGGGCCGAGGACCTGAAGGAGGGCCGGCAGCACCTGGTCCTGGGTCTGCTGTGGCAGGTCATCAAGATCGGACTGTTCGCCGACATCGAGCTCAGCAAGAACGAAGGTCTGAACGTGGTCCAGGAACACGATCCAGACCAGTGAGACCCCGGTCTTCTGAGCTCTAACTCTGTGTGTGTGTGTGTGTGTGCGTGTGCAGCTCTCATCGCTCTGCTGCGTGACGGCGAGAGTCTGGAGGACCTGATGAAGCTCTCTCCTGAGGAGCTGCTGCTCCGGTGGGCCAACTATCACCTGGAGGAGGCGGGCTGTGGAAAGATCAACAACTTCAGCTCCGACATCAAGGTGATCATGTGACCTCTGAAGGTCATGTATTGATGTGACCTTTGAAGATCCTGTGACCATGTGACCTCTGAAGGTCATGTGACCATGTGACCACCTCTTTGTTTTTCTGATTTTTTTCACCGAGAGTAAAAACAAACAGATGTCACATGATGTTTGAAACCTCCTGCAGATGTTCAGGAGGTCAAATATTCAAACTTTAATCTCCTCCCCCGTGTTCAGGACTCCAAGGCCTACTACAACCTCCTGAACCAGGTGGCGCCTAAAGGAGACGAGGAGGGGATCCCCGCCATCGCCATCGACATGTCCGGGATCAGGGTGAGTCCAGAAACCAGCCGACACTCATGGAGAAGACACAGGTTTTCATAAAGGGGCGTGTTTAAAAGGGGAGTATCTCAGAGGGCGTGTCTTAAAGGGGGCGTGTCTTAAGGGGGAGTGCCTCAAAGGGGCGTGTCTTTTAGGGGTGTGTTCTTAAGAGGCATGTCTCAAAGGGGCTTGTTTGATAGGGAATGTTTTTAAGGGGAATACCTTAAGGGGGAGTGTCTTAAAGGGGCGTGTTTTGGAGTATTTTGGGTCCTGTATCTCTGGTTCACATATATCGATCTGGTCCTCGCTGGTCCGTGTCCGTGCAGGAGAAGGAGGACCTGAAGCGAGCGGAGTCCATGCTGGTCCAGGCGGACCGGCTCAGCTGCAGACAGTTCGTCATGCCGGCAGACGTGGTCCGAGGAAACCCCAAACTGAACTTGGCCTTCATCGCTAACCTGTTCAACAAGTACCCGGCTCTGAAGAAACCCGAGAACCAGGACATCGACTGGAGCTCCATCGAGGGTGAGACTGTCGCCGTCCCGCCCTCCTCAGACTCTGATCCAGATCAGTCCTCGGGGTTTTGTTGACCAGGTGTTTCTCTGCAGGTGAGACCAGAGAGGAGAGGACCTTCAGGAACTGGATGAACTCTCTGGGAGTCAACCCTCGAGTCAACCACCTCTACGCGTAAGAACGAAAAAAACACATTTCAGTCATTTTTAGATCCTTCAGAGGGTTTTCTTCAGGTTTCAGGTAAAAACTCTGTCAGCTCTTCAGGTGTTTCCGTTCATTTCTTCGTCTTTTCACGATTCTTACAAAACTAAATTTTTCTAATGATAAAAATATTTTCTCTTTTTTGGACTCGTGAAACTTTAAATCCGTCTTTACTGAAGGGAGCAGGTCTTTACTCCTAACCCCCAATTTTCACCGCATGTGGAACGGCTCCAATCCGGAATAGCGTTCATTTTCGCCGTACACCACTTCCTACCGGATCTGTTGGCAAAGCGAATTTTGCAGCGGATTACGGACAGCAGGAATCGCTAGAACTCACAAGAACCCGCAGATTCACGTTCAACCGCGCGATTAATTCAATCTGTGCTGAATTTATCCGCCATGCTCCGGCGTCCGGAAAAAATAGAGCTCGAGATCAGCTGAGGAGTCCGGCGAGCCGCAGTATTCCTGTCCTCGAGTCTTTAATCGTGTTTCTGTTTTTGTTTTTTCAGAGACATCGATGACGCTCTGGTCATCTTCCAGCTCTACGAGAAGATTAAAGTCCCCGTGGACTGGGACAGAGTCAACAAACCTCCATACTCCAAACTGGGCAGCAACATGAAGAAGGTAAATCAGCTGATCATTCAGGTTCTCCTGGACCACTCGCCGTTTTAGTTTTGATGTTTTTCCGCCTCTGCATCCATCTGCCCTCTCTCTCGTTTCTCAGTTAGCTTGAGTTAAACTAAAAATCTAAATCTGTCGTAAGTCTGTGTCGACTCTAACTAAGTTCTGGTCCTTCTGGTCCAGCTGGAGAACTGTAACTACGCCGTGGAGCTGGGGAAGGAGAAGGCCAAGTTCTCTCTGGTCGGCATCGCCGGTCAGGACCTGAACGCCGGGAATCGAACCCTCACCCTGGCTCTGCTGTGGCAGCTCATGAGGAGGTGACAGCGCCGCCCTGCAGCTCCTCCCTCAGATAATTAACCCTTTAAACCCCGCAGTGACGGAGCTTGTCCTGAACGTCTCCTCTCTGTTGGACAGATACACCCTGAACATCCTGGAGGACCTCGGAGACGGGCAGAAGGTGACGGACGACACCATCGTGGGCTGGGTCAACGACACGCTGAGGCAGGCGGGAAAACCGACCATCTCCAGCTTCAAGGTGATGACACACACACACACACACACACACACAAACACAAACACAAACACAAACACACACACACACACACACACACAAACACAAACACAAACACACACACACACACACGCACACACACGTCTGACAAACTCATGAGTTTATCTCTAAAAATGTTTGAGTATCTAAAATGATCTTCACTGTGTGTGTCTGTGTGTGTGTGTGTGTGTGTGTGTGTGTGTGTGTGTGTGTGTGTGTGTGTGTGTGTGTGCAGGACGGGTCCATCAGCAGCAGCATGCCGGTCTTGGACCTGATTGATGCGATCCAACCCGGATCGATCAAGTATGACCTGCTGAAGACGGAGGATCTGACCGAGGAGGAGAAACTCAACAACGCAAAGTACGACTTAAATTTACTGATCCTGAACTTTTACGATTTTACATTTTATTAAAAAAGTTCATTAAAGGGATATTCCAACTTAAAATTTAGGGTCAAACTCACCGTAACACTGAGTTAGGACTGCAGCGGGGTGCCGCAGCTCAAGGGAGAACATTTATGATCATTTCTTTATCATTTCCTTGAAGTAATAATCATCATATTAATCATTTTACAGACGCGGTAGTTCTTCTGTCTTAGCGTCTCGGTCTGATTGTATTTCCATGAAGAAATGATCATAAATGTTCTTCCTTGAGCTGCGGCACCCCGCTGTAGTCTGTAATGGACTGGCCTGAGGTCTCTCTACAGAGTGGCGTTTTGGTTGAGGGCGTGGCTCTCTGTATTTCTATCCTGCGGTCGTTACTAAAGTTGGTATAACTAGAGAGCAAGCGGTCGACAACATTCATCTCTGGAGGCGGGGTCTAACTCGGTGTTACGGTGGGTTTGACCCTAAATTAATTTCACCCCAGAATATCCCTTTAACTTTAATTTTTTGAAAATATTCAAACTCTAGATCTGTATTTTTATTCTAGTAGATCCTGAACCTCTCTGATCATTTTTAACTCCTCCTCTTCCTCACTCTCTGCTCTTCATCGTCTATCCAGGTACGCCATCTCCATGGCGAGGAAGATCGGCGCCCGAGTGTACGCCCTGCCCGAGGACCTGGTGGAGGTCAAACCCAAGATGGTGATGACGGTGTTCGCCTGTCTGATGGCTCGCGGCATGAAGAGAGTGTGAAGAGCGGAGAGCGGCTCTTTAAAGTGGACTTTCAAAACCGTCTGTGACCCGGTCCTGAGGAGGATCTGAGAAGATGTTCCGATGTTCTGACGGGGTCGGTGTTTTTAGGGTCAGCGAGCGTCACGTCTGTTACTGATGATGTTTCTGTTACATAAAAACTTTCAGTCTGAGGAGGTCACCTGGAGCAGAGCTGAGGAGATCACCTCCATCTTCTTCTTCTTCTTCTTCTTCAGCTCTTTCTTCTGCTCTTCAGGCTCAGAGTCAGTTTAAACTTTTCCTACTTTTCTACTTGATCATGAACTCAACCCCGATCAATTACATAAATAAATTGTGACAAATAAAGAAGTTTTTGTAAAAACGTGTGTCAATGTTGATCTGTCCTGATGTCCTCACTGTCTGTGTGTGTGTGTGTGTGTGTGTGTGTGTGTGTGTGTGTGTGTGTGTATATAACAGACCCAGAACCTTAAAGGTCCTTACACACCGGCGAATGTGCGGAGCGAAGCGAAAAAGCGAGACGAAAATTGCGAATATTCACCGGTCCGAAAAATCGCTTTCGCCTATACACACCGGCCGCGAAGCGAATATGCGTATATTTTTTGCAAAGCGAATTAATAAAGTCGCTTTGCGGCACGGAGGAGAGGAGATGCGGGGTGGTCCTGTACCGCAATGACCAGCCTCTCTCCCATCGTTGCTCTTGGTGCCAGTGGTGGTGTGTGTCGTGTGAATGGCTGCTGATTGACATGTCTAGCATTATGAGTGAGGGAGAAAGAGGAGGAAAAGCTGAGAGAGACACCGCAGCAGCCAGGAGAGGCGAGTGCTGAGCAGTGATCCTTCGAGTTGTCTGGTCATTCTGTTGGCCCTGTAGCTGCAGATCATCGGTATGTCAAACAGCTGAGAGGGAGAATCAGGCATGATGAGGCGGTCACCCTGTGAAGTGTGCATGACATCTGTCTCTAAGGAAGACAAGAGAGTGTCATCTTGTGAGGAAACTACTTCATTAGTAATTAGAAAGAGTTTTGGATGCACCTCAGCTGTCTTTCTCTGCGTTTTCATAATCTCAAACTTCTCCCTCTCCTCCAGCCGTATGGGTCTGTGACGTCATCAACAACATGACTTTTGATTGGCCAGAGGTCTAGCAGGTCCAGATATTCGCCTGCGAATATCCGAAAAATTCGACACAGGAGCGAAAAAATAAAAGCGGCTTTTCGCCCCGCGGAAAAATCGCCGCCGGTGTGGAAGCTTGCATTGACTTTATGCTGTTTTAAAAAAAGGCGAATAATTCGCCTGGCGAATTCTCGCCCGGTGTGTAAGGACCTTTAGAGCTCCTCCTGATACTCAGTCTAAACCAAACCTGACAACATCTGGGTTATAAAATCCGGTCAGTTTTGAGGTTCCCTTGTCTGGTGGATCTGAGCTCATTATGAGAATATTTGTAATTAAATTATCTAAATAAGTCAAAGTGAAGCTGCTTACTTTTTTGTTTTAACAATAACTAATGATAATAAAATAATAATATCTACGATCTAAACTTCTTTAGTCCTCTAACATTAAAGTCCTCCTCTGTCCTCCATCCTCTCTCTCCTGTTTGAGTCTCTCTGAACGTCTGTGTGTGAAATACAGCGCTCTTTTATCTGAGGCTGCCCTGAACGCATCACTGCGAGACGCTGAAAGACGATCAACGTAAATATTAGATCTCAGGTTTGTTCATTTTACAACAAACACAGTTTAAATAAAGTTTAACCGACCTGAATCATCCCAAACTGTCAAAGTATCAGTCCAGAGTCTGTGAGGCTCAGCAGAAACACTTCAGACGATCTTCAGGAAACTTTGGACAGATATAGAGATCTGATTGATGAATGAAGGTGGGCGGGAGAGAGGTCTGAGATTCTCACGCTCACCCAAAACAGAAAAAAAACAGCCTTTCCCTGAACTCTGAATCCATAACCATCACGGACTCCTTCGCACACATCAGTAACACATTTAAATGGAAACAACATGAAGATGAAATTTACAAAAACGCCGATAAAAGACGAGTTCAGAGTCAGACTCATGATCCTCCTTCAGTTCTACACGGCCGTGATCGAGAGTCTCCTCACATCATCAATAATCGTCTGGGATGGAAACTTGAACACTCACACACACACATACAAAACTTTAACACATAATCATCCAAAATCTCTGACCACACCCTCCCATCCACACAGCGAATGAAAATCACCTCAGACCACACACACACACCCTGCACTCCACCTGTTCACACTCATGACCTCTGGGGGGCGCTACAGGTCTTTGACAGCCGACTCAGACAGATTCAAGAACAGTTTCATCCCCACTGTCATACAGACACTAAACCAACATCTGAAGTAAACTGTTTCCACGTCTCTTCTCTTGTGTTGTTGTTTTTGATCTCATCTTCAGGAGATGTGAAGATGATGGACCAGAAAACTATTCCACCAGCCCTGCTGTGTGGACGTTAATAAATGATTCTGACAAACAGGAGTGTTGTCAGCTATGATCAGAGATCTTCAGGATGAGACCTAAAAAAAACAACAAAAACACAAAAACAGATCAGCTGTTTTCAGACTAAGATTTAATCTCCGGATAGAGGAGGGGGGACAGAATCAGAGCCGAGTTAGTCCAGCTTTTATCTCCTGGAAAAGACAGCAGGGACATGTCAGGACATCTGGAGCGGAGAGAAGATCTAGATTAAAGTCTGAGGAAATCCTCCCTTCATATTCACAGTTCATCTGTTCCTGGATCATCAGGTCTGGATCAGACCCCGTCCCTGTGCCGTCTCTAAAACCCGCTCTCGTTCGAGTGTCTCTGGGAGGAGGATCATTTGGCAGGTTTGGCCTCGGCTGGGTTTTCTCCGGTGTCCAGGGTTTTGAGGAGTCTGAAGAGTCCGGCGGCCTCACGGATCCGGCTGAACTCGATGCAGAAGGCCTGGACCTCGATGAAGAGGTCCTGAACGTTGATGATCTTGTTCCTGATGAGAGACTGGAGGAAGACGCAGACCAGCCGCACCAGACGGTTCTGGGACAAAGACGGGACAGAAGAGACCAGGTCGTTATTTTAAAGGGTAGAACAGCGCCCCCTGCAGGCTGAACCGTTCATGAGAAACTGAGTTTGATCTGAAGAACTTCTAACCCTCAATCTCCACCTTCATCCTGATCGTCTCCTAAAAGGTCGTATCCTCCGATCGTAGCTGATCGTAACCATTCAAGTTAACGTGTCAATTTACACCGACTTCTTTCCGTTCCTCTGAGGATCGCCGGACTCCTCAGCTGATCACAAGAGTTCTAGAAGTAGATTTCCTCCTCTGGAAGGACACAATCTACTGCTTATATGTCTATGTGTCTGTCTTTATAGAGACAACTCGTTATCGCGCGATTGAACGTTAATCCGCGGGTTCCTGTGAGTTCTCGTGATTACAAAATTCTCCTCACAAACGGATCCGATAGGAATTTGCAGACGGCAAAAATCGCTGCCGTTCAGGATGCAGTGGAAATTGGGGGTTCAATTAACAAAGTCTGTTTCGGTTTGTGGCGTTCGTACCTGCATGTACTTGTCCTTGATCTGCTCACAGGTGGAGATGCAGTTGGAGATGTAGAGGTGGATGAACTCAGGAGGAAGATCAACAGCCGTGGTCAACCTGAGGAGGAGGAAACAGAGACGAGAACATTTAGATCAGTGAAAAATGATCTGAAGTTTCAGGTTCAGCTGCTCTGAAAATAAAAACAACAATAAAAATATAAATAAATGTTTTTAAAAAGTTCCTGTTTTATCTCTAAAAGACCTTCTGAGCTCAAACATCTTGAGGTATTCTGGTTTCTCAACACTTAGTTCTTGTGACTTTTTTAACGGGCTGTTTAATCTGTAGGTCCAAACTAAAGGGGACAAAGTGCTTCGATCAAAATAACCAGTAAAGAAACGAGAATCTTCCTCAGAGGAGACGATTTTCAAAGTCAAACCCAGATGATGAACTCACAGCGCTCCGTCAAACCTGATCAGAACTCCGGGTCAGCTGGTCTCCTCACCTGTTCACCACCTCCATGGAGTGCAGAGACATGTCCATGTTGACGAGCACGGAGAAATACTCGGTGATCTGACTGCTCTGCATCAGCTTCAGCAGCATCTCGATGGCCACCAGAGGGTTGTTCTCCACCAGGTCAGGGAGCTTCGCCGGGGACAGACCGATGTGGTAGACCAGCTTCGGGTCCTTCTCCAGCTCGGCCAGCAGCTGCAGACGCACACACGCAGACACGCAGACGGTCAGTTATCCGTACAGACTGATCAGTGTGAGAGGATAAAACCCTCCTGGGGGTCTCACCTGGGACTGCTGCTGGGTGGACAGCGGGCTCTTGAACGCCTTGGACATGATGCGTTTGATCTCCACACCCGTGCTGTTCTTCACACACATGGAGCGGTCCCACTGCACGCTGTGATCCGGCTCCGTGGGGTTCAGCCACGCCAGCTCATCCTCGCACACGTGCAGAGGAGGCGGCGGCCGGATGAACTCTGGCCGGAAGTGACCTGAGGGGAGGAGACGCCGTTAGACGGAGACGCTGACCCGACGGCGTGTTTATATTCAAACAGACACTCACTCTCCAGAGGTGGGCGGGGCCCCGTGACCAGAGACTCGATGATCTGATTGGCCACTGAGCTGTCGAACCCTGAGTTTGAAGAATCCGGGTCCGGGTCGTTCAGGATGCTGGGGAAGCTGGCTTTACTCTGAGTGGGCAGCTCCGACTGTCGCTCTGCACGACAAACACACACACAGCAGACAATCAACTAAGATACACACACTTCACACAAACACACACACAACAGACAATGAACTAAGATACACACACTTCACACAAACACACACACACAACAGACAATGAACTAAGATACACACACTTCACACAAACACACACACAACAGACAATCAACTCACAGATACACACACTCTCTGTGTTAGTGTGTGTTTTTCTGTGTCCGTGTGTTTCTGTGTTAATGTGTGTGTTTTTTTACTGTGTGAGTGTGTGTTTTTTGTGTGTTATTGTGTGTTTTTTTGTGTCTTTTGTGTGTATTAGTACCTGCTAAGGCGAGCTGCAGCCCGCTGATGTCGATGGACTGCGGCATGTTGCCGACGTCCATGCAGGAGACCTGTCGTGGCGTCTTCTTGAACAGATCTCTGGGCGGAGCCAACATCAGCTGAGACAGGAAGAACTTCTCCGGCTGGGTGATGGGGGGCAGGAACCCTGGAGGGGGGGGGGGTCAGAGAAAAACTGTTTTATTCTAGAAACCCTGAACTGAGAGCAGCTGGACTCACAGTCTTTGGAGTTTTTGGGTGAAGGAGAATAAATTCAGAACCTTCCTGACGAGGAGTCATTCAGGTGAGTTTGTCTGTTCGGGTCCAATTATCTGATTTTCAGCAACATGACTTTCTGCATTTGGAGTCAAAGTTTCTCACTAAAACCAGTTCTTAACTCTTGATTACAGTCCTGGACCAGCCAAGACCACAGGACCAGAACTTTAGTGTAAAGAGACATTGATTAAAACACGTGTTAGAGCTGTTTCAGAACCTCCTGCCACAATAGAACAAACTCAGACCTCTGAATCCCGGACGCAGGATTTGTTTTTTGGAGGATAGTAGGGGAAGGTCCCGCCTCCTTCACCTCTGATTGGCTGAAGTTCTGGGCCCTGATTGGTTATTCCTTATGGCTGTGACACGTCATCACACGTTCAAGCGGAGTGCGGGCTGTCGACTCTGAACATCGGACAGAACATTATCGCAGTTCTGAATCTCCTAACCCTAATGCTGCGTTTGAGTTACCTCGGAAGTCAGATGTTGGAGCTGAAAATGACGTCACACCTGAGTTACCGGTGTTTCAGTTACCAAGTCGGAAAAAAGCTAAATCAGAGGCGTAAACAAGATAGCTACATCTGTGAAAGTTACTTTAGCGCTAACCTTATATTCATACAAGGCAAGCACTGAAATAACCTTCATAGTTGTAGCTATCTTTGTGTAGCTACATCTGCAAAAGTTAATTTAGCGCTTGCTTTATTTGCTCCGTAATGTAAGGCAAACGCCTAAATAACTTTCATAAATGTAGCTATCTTCGTAGATGTAGCTACAAGATGGCTACATCTAACTTATTTTGGTGCTTGCCTAATATTTGGACAAAACAAGCGCTAAAATAACTTTATTCGTAGATGTAGCCATCTTGTTTCAGGCCTCCGATTTTGCTTTTTTCCGACTTTGTAACTGAAAGTCGGACGGGAACCAATAACCAATCAGAGCCCAGCACTTCTAGCCAATCAGAGGCTAGAACAATAATATGCATATCACAGTATCCCGTCCTTACCTGAGAGGACCTTTTCCGGCTCCTCCCCCGCAGGTGAGGGGTTGAGCAGGTGAGCGAACACGGCAGCGAACGGGTTCGCCGCCAGCGGTTCGGTTCGGTACATCTCCCAGAGCAGGTAGAGGGCCGTGAGTCTCTGCGGGGAGCTGGGCAGCAGGTCCGGCTGCTGCAGGAGCATGACCAGAACCGAGCCCACCCGGAAGTGTTCGGCCTTCCCGAAGTAGTGGTGGAAGTGAGTGGAGAGGCTCTCGAAGGTGTTGGTGCAGGCCTCCTCCGAGATGATGCTCAGCAGGTTCGACAGTTCCTTCGGAGCCAGAGTCATGATACTAAAGGCTGTGTTTATCACAGACAATAAAGAGTCCTCTCTGTGTGAGAAAAATAAACTTATTTCATGATTTTAGGAGAGAACGAACCGGCTGCAGTCTGACTGTCATCACACGAGCTATGAGCTACAAGTTAGCTTAGCCTAGCAGCGCTAACTAACAAAAACCGCTGAAATCATGCTATAAATGAAAAAACTACACTCATTAAATCCACATCGACCGGTCCGATGACTGTTAAACAGTCTTAGGAGGTTATAAAAATTGGAAAAGTGTGAAATATTCCAGTCCGTTGAGGAGTTTTCTGGACTGTTCGTCGGAGTCAGGTCCTTCACTTTAGCTGTTTAAATTTTGACTGGAGCGGAGCGGTGCATCATGGGTAAACTGTACCCATCAACTGTAAAATCTTTGAACGAAACTTTTTCTACTTCATTATTAAATTATCTTAAAATAGTAAGGCGTCATATTTGACAGGTTAATTTTTAAAAACCGGTAAAATTAACGAAACAGAATTGTAGACTAATTTGATTCTTTACCCACAATCCACCGCACTTTCTTTCCGGTTCATCGTCTTCATTTCAACATTTTCACAACTCTAAAAAGGTTTCAGAGAAAGGGGAAACGCTTTTAAATCCGCGTTATAATAAAAAATACATTGATAAACTTCGTTCAGCTCATTCTGTTATAAAGTCAATGATTTTCAGACTGACGGTTGTGTACGGTGGCCCTGAAAGGCAGATTCAAATACTCCTTACAACAAGAGAAACTCATGACCGCCTTATTTATATTCATTCTTTTTTACCTTTTGACCAGTTTTGCAGACTTTCTTTGTTTAGTCTGACCGTTAAAAGTTTCTCCTAATTTAGTTTCACCGTTTGACACTAAATTAATTTTACGCCGTAATATCCCTTTAAGGAGTTTCCTCAAACAACAACAACAAAGGTTTTAAACAGAGACAGAGTCATATAGATGTTTTAAACATCATTTAACTCTTCACTCTCAACCGCTGCACATCCCAGAGGTTAAAAAAAGAGTCGGTGACACAGAGAGACTTTTAGAACATTTACTCACTTAGTTCCTCTTTTTATTTCTTACAAAAACAGCCACAAACTTTCAGTCACTTTAGAAACTTCTCCAGACGTCACATTTCACCAGGATGAATCTGCAGACTAAATTGAATGTAAAGGTTAGAATAAAAAGACCTCATTTCAAAGATGTAGAGAGCTTTTAATGCCACAAACTGTCACCCAGAAAGTCAAATATTTAGTGTTCAGTTCACCTTTAAATCACAAACAATGAAGTTCGGAGGGTCAGAGCAGATTTACGGTGAAATCAGCCTGAGAGACGCGTCACATTTCATAACTCAGTCCAGGTGGTTTACAGGAAAACTGACGGCCAAACTAAAACCAGAGTGTGCTGACATTTTCAGAGAGAACCAGACGATGGCGCTGTAGGGACAGTAAGGAGATCACTGAAGTAATCTGTGACTGTCAGCTTTAGTTTGACTGATATCCATGAAACCGCTGAAAACTCAAGACTTTCTGATGAAACGGTGAAAAGTTCAATATTTATTCAAACTAACATTTTTGGAAATGCTCCTGAAACAGGCTGGAATGACGGCAAACAGACTCCAAAGTCTGAAAATACGAGAATCCCAACACAGATCCTGAGACCCAAAGTCCCAAAGGTTGTAAATTGGACACAGTCGGGTTTTTGTTTGAAACGCCTAAAAGCAAAACGATAAAAACTGTTTTCAGGTCCAAAGTCACGACAGGAATCATTTAAGGAAGTTTGGTTCACACACCTTCACTGTACACTCTTTTTACACACACACACACACACACACACACCTCCACATATGGCACAGAGAGATCCCCCTCCATCACGGCCGAACACAAACCGACAGTTCGATAAAAGCTCGTGATGGTGAAAATATAAAACAAACGTCACAATCAAACCGATAATAAAAAAACAGGTGAATAAAAATGTCCGTTATATTTCAGGCATGCAGGCAAACAAACACTCTGTAAACTTTAACACTGGTCACGGGTCCAAACCCGCCAGAACAGGAAGAAGAAGAAGAAGAAGAAGAAGAAGAAGTAGGCGGCTCGGTCAGGTCCACTTCACAAACACACAAACAAACACACACAGACACACAAACAGGCTCAGAGTTCAGACTGTGAGTCTTTGTCGTGTTTTTCTGACCACGATACTGTGCTGTGATCTAACCTCCGTTAAAGACCGCTCATCTGCTCCTCTGACAGACTCTGAGGGCGAGTTTCACGCCGACGTCGTCAGGAGAGTTAGCTTAGCGAGCTGGACCTCGAGGCGGAGAGGACAGTGAGGGGGGACGATGGCCGATTCACACGCTACCAAAATATTTAGACAAGATGAGGTAAAAATTCATCACCTGTGTGCATGACGACAAACAAAAGAGGAGTGAATGTATTTAAGGTTTCCTGTCCTCATCACACCTCGAGAAGTTGTGCTTTAAAACGAACCGCAGAGAGCGGATCACGGAGCTGCAGGACGGCTTTAACGTCATCCTCACTCTCAGCTTCATTTAGTGTTTCTGTCCAAAGCTTTACATGACTTTTCTTTACTCTTCTTAGTGTGTTTTATGACTTCATTGATAGGTAAACAAAGATAAGGCTCTGAGGGAAGTAAAAGTGATTTTTAAGGTTTTTAAGGCAAAGGCTGCAGGGGTCAGGAGGAGGGTCTGAGGGTCGGTGGGACAAGAACTCTCATGGTTTCATTTGTTGGTTTCTCTAAAACTCTGTCTTCTTTCTTTAAATGATTATCTGGTGATTTTTCTCAATAGACCAATCGAGTTTAAACCAACATGTTTCCACGTCAACAGAGACCGGACTGTTCGAGCTCAGGACCCGGAGGTTCAGGACGAGTTAAAAACAAACAAGTCTTCAGAATCATCTCTGTGTTCAGAGTTTAGTAGAGCCCGACCGATTTATCGGCGAGATGATTGAATCAGCCAATATTTTCAAATCGCTGATATTTTCAGAAATAAAATGCAGAGAATAAGATTCCTCCATTTGAAAAGTTCCCCAACTTATCCTGTAGATGGCGCAGTGACCTCATGACAATCTTCATCCACTAACTACCTCACTTTGATCAGTCAGTAGCCTACAGTATATCTACAGTATATAGTAGACTGTAGATATCTACAGAACATATATATATTTTTTATAACTTCATAAAAATTTACAAAAATCGGCCGATTAATCGGTAATCAGATTTTTTTCCCCCTAATAATTGGTATTGGCATTGGCCCCAAAAAATCGAACAGGCCCGAGAGTTTAGAGCCGAAGTGTTTTCAGCATCGTTTCATTTCTTTTAACTTCGGGGGTAAACAGCTGATCTGTTTGGAGAATAGAGTCTAAAATAATAAACTAGATTCTGACAAATTTGATGAAAACTCTAAAATCTGCAAAGCCCAAAAACAAACGAAACGTTGGAAACACGTTAAAATGATCAAACAGGCTAAAGGAAGGAAGGAAGAAAGGAAGGAAGGAAGGAAGTGCACGTAGAGCAAACGCAGCGAACACGACGTCATCAACTGTGTTCCTGTGCGCTCAAAATGTGGGCGGAGCCAACGGGAGGCTCATGATTTTAAAAATCAAACATGTTTTTTTTCAAGATGCTGAACTAAATTTGTTGTGATCATAAAAAGTTTTTCCTTGTAAAAGTGTCTGCACTTTAAAACCAGCTAATAAGACTCTCCTCTGATCCAAAACCAGATCTATGTGGTCCACAACACATCAGGGATCCTGATCCTGGACTCTGACCCGCTCATGACCTTTAAGAGAGACTAAAAAAACAAAAGGAGCTTCATAAACGTTTCCCTCCAGGTTCAGATCGAAGAAGAACTCGACCTGCAGGTGAGAGACGACAAACGTTCACACACACACACACACACACACACACACACACACACACACACACACACACACGCACACACGCACATACGCTCAGTCCGCGTAGTGCATGATGGACTCCACGTAGTTCCCGGGGAACAGGCCCGTGGTGGCGTTCATCACTCCTTCGAACCAGCCGTCCTCGTTCTTCTTGATGACGTAGATGATGGCGCCCTCCTGGAACGACAGCTCGTCCTCTTTATCAGCTGTGTAGTCGTAGATGGCCACCACTGGGGGGCGACAAACACACACAAATATGACTGAACAACACGACCAGAATGTTTGACAGCTGAGGGAGATATAGATGCTATAGAGAGACAAATGTATAGATAATAATATCATAGATGTGCAACAGTTTATGTGTTTGTCCTTCAGGGTGAAAATTCAGTTTTAGATTTGAAATAACAAACCTGTGAAATGTTCCATGAATAAAACCAGCCGTACATGAACGAGTTAAAGTTACATGTGTAATCATAGATCTGCACCAGTCTCTGTGCGTGTGTAACCCGGGATTTCCACCGCATCCAGAACGGCGTCGATAAACACAGTACGCCAATTCCTACCAGATCTGTTTGTGAGGTGACTTTCATGGCGGATCACGGACAGCGGTAATCGCAAGAACCTTTTAGTAGACGTTCAGGATGGATTCCTGCAAGCGTCTCCACAGCTCGCCTGCAGCCTCACCTTTCTCCTGGTAGCTCCTCGGCGCCCACGGAGGATCCTCCTCAGCGTACGGGTCGTTGTACTCCACCACAGCCGAGTCCTCCTCCTCACGTCCGTCCTCCAGCGGCTCAGGAGTGGGCGGGGTCTCCTCAGGCGTGGGTTGGTTCTCGACTTCAGCGGGTTGAGTCAGAGGAGGAGGAGGAGAGGAGTCTGAGACTGCAGGAGGAGGAGAGAGAGAACTGGAAACACTGGGAACACTGGGAACACTGGGAGATCTGGACTCACTGAGGGACGGAGGGAAAGACGTCCACATACTCAGAAGAGCGTTTATACTCACTGGACTCTTGAACTCGAGCGACAAATCCCATCAGAGGAAGCTGAGGAGTGAACTGGAGGATGGAGGGAGGCGGAGGCGAGGCTGTGGACACGGACAGACGGACAGACGGAGTTTATTTACAACTTTAAATTCAGGGAGAATGAAGAAACATGAAGTTACAGGTGTGTTTCAGAGAGAGTTTGTGTTCTTGTCGTCCTAAAAGGAAGGATGTTCTCGGTGTTCTCCGTTTTCTACCTGGACTCTGGGTGTGGTAGGGACCTCCGTTGACCTGGTTCTGCGCTGCGATTGGCTGACCGGTCACTGAGGGGGGGCGGCGGTACGGCAGTGACCCTCCCACCTGAGGCGTCTGCTGTCGGGGCTGAGGCCGGTTCATGCTGAAGAACTGGGGGACGATGGGACCTGACGGAGCAGAGAGGAGGAGGAGGAGAGGAGGTGGGAGGAGTTAAAAATATCGTTAAGTTATAAAAATAAAACTTCCTCAAGAACGATCTTAAAGTTCAAAAAGTCTGAAGGACGGAGCAGGAGGAGGTGAAGCAGGAGGAACTCACCTTCAGCAGGAGGTGGTGAGGAGGAGGAGGAGGAGAGTGGAGAAGGAGGAACAGGAGGAAGGAGAGGAGACAGCTCTGCAGGCAAAACACCCGATTGGACCTCAGTCATGCTGGGGGCGGGGTTAGAGGACGGGGAGGTGTTGGTGGGTGCGTTTGGAGCAGGAGGAGGAGGAGGAGGAGGAGAGTCGGCGTGCTGGGAGGGTGAGTTTGGAGGCAGGGGGGCGTTTGGGTGAGTCAGGGTGGTGGTGGAGGAGGAGGAGGAGAAGGAGGACGGAGTGGGTGAAGGAGAGGGGGAGGAGTTAGGAGCTGTGGAGGAGGAGCTCGCAGGTCCGGCAGTCGGGGAGACTTGGAGTAGGAGGAGAGAGAAGAAGGAGTGAAGGAGAGAAGGAAGGAAGGAAAGAAGGAAGGATGGAGGAGGGAGTTACTCCATCCAAACTGTGAGGTTCGATTTTTAAAGAGTTTATTTTATTATATTTATTATTTTATTTAAAACAAATTTAGATGTTTGTAAAAACTGAGAAATTAGGAAAAACACACTGAAACGGTCCAATCACCATCAAGGGTCAAAGGTTAAACACTTAAACAGTGTGTGTGTGTGTCCGTTGTGTGTGTGTGTGTGTGTGTGTGTGTGTGTCACCTGGGAAAGTGGAGGGCGGTGACGGTGTCGGCACGGCGATGGGAACGCCCACACTGCCGCTGCCGCTGTTCTCTCTACTGCTGCTCCGACTGCTGCTGCTGGGGTGACTGCCTCCACTGCTGCCACTGTTTACACACACACACACACACACAGACACGCACACACACACACACACACACACACACGAGTTTAGCTGCAAACACTTCGTTAAGTAAAACCAGTAAAATCGAGGAGGTTAAAACAGGAGAGAAGATGAAGTTAAAGCAGCGGTGAGTTCATGTCAGCAGCAGAAACATGGAAACAACAAGAAGCAAAGAAAGAATCTGATTGGCTGAGAGAAACAGAGCAGGAGCAGACAGAGATGCTGATTGGACGGACAAGATTCTAGAACTTTCTCTGCAGCGCTGTGATTGGACAGCAGAGGGTGCAAATAACCTCATTATATAAAAGAAGAACTGAATGTAAAAGTAAAAAATGACGTAATAAACACGAGATTCCTCCTCTAAAAACTGTTTTGGTTTTCAGTGATTACAAACTTTCCCTCCGAGCTGCTCGACAGTTTTTAGATTCAGATTTTTTTTCAGGTCGCACCAATGCTTTTGACTTTCACCTTGACTGGGCCCCATTTGTAATGATCTGAAGTATTTATCTGCATTATATCTGAATTTAATTGGAACGATACGAGCGAGCAGGAGCGTCTGTTTGTGGGCGGGGCTTGAGAGAGGAGGAGCTGAGGGGAAAACTGGTTGGGAGGGGTAGAGTTTACATTCAAGATTTCTCCTAAAAACTGGAACTAACTCAGATCCTGACTACAACACCTTTAAATTGTCTTAAAATCACGAAACTTTAAAATCTAAAATAACATTTTAAAGGACCAACACCTCTGTTTGTTCAAACACAGAAAATAAACCAACAAACTCCAAATGAATAAATGAATAAATGAGGAGAGAGTCAGTCAGTCGGACTGTGAGGGTGGAAACAGAGTTAGACGACGTGATTTTACTCAGAATGAGACACTGAGCAGAAGAACATGACAGCGAATCTGAGACTGAAGAACGGCGAGAGAGACGAGAGAGAAGCAGACGAGGAGGAGGAGGAGGAGAGCGTGAAGGAATGACAGCATGGAGTCCCGTCCCGGCGGCCATGTTTGCCCTCTGACCCCTCTACCTGTATGTTCGGGGTCTGTGGTTGAGGGTGGCGGTGCGAACCGGACTGGGGAGCTGTCCAACAGCCACGTTGTTTCTGGTGGGGCTGGAGACGTAGTCGTTGGGCACCACCGGAGGGCGCACTGGCTCCAGAGTCCTGTAGGGGGAGTTCTTCCTGTACATGCAAAAGGTCGGGTAGAGTTCGGGTTAATGAGGGACAGGAAGGGGTTAAATATCCCGGACCAGGACCAGGAGCAGAACCTCCGACATGAAGACCGACCTGAACATCTGCTGACACGGGTCAAAAACACGAGAGCGAGGAAAGTTCTCCTCAACCAGAAAAACACGAAATAATCCACCGAGCAACAACACAGGACTGATGATGTTAGTGGACTATAGCGCCCCCTCTGGACGAAGCTGTACATCTACATATAACAGAGGTCAAAGTGTATTAATGCTGCTTCCGAGTTACCTCGGAGGTCGGAGCTGAAAATGACGTCAAACCGAAGTTTCGTAGACGTCAGTTTCAGCTCAAACTTCTGACTTTTAAGGTGACTCGACCTCAGCATAAGAAAAACATCTCCTGTGTATCTCAGATGATGTTTTAGGTCAACGGTCAGGTTACGACAAGAGCGCCCTCTGCTCGATCAAACTGGAATTTTTTCCCTTCATTTAATCGGTCGCCTCGAACAAACTCAGATTAATTTAGCGGTTAGAAAATGACGGCGGACGAGGGACCATGAGAATGATATGAACTGTAGTTAATGTGTGAGTGCGACCACAGGGGGGCGCTGTATCTCCAAAGAGAGCCTCTACTGTGAAATGATCTGATCTGTCAACATGGAGCCGCATGTTCAGGTACAAGGACACTTAATCGATCTGATTTAAGGATCGCAGTGCAGCTGGTTTCTCTGCTCTAAAGACTCAAACAGACAGGATCAGCGTATTTGGAGGCAGCACAAGGTCGTTTTACACAGGAAGTCAAGCATGAAAACTGTGCATGTCATCTGGTATTTCAAAATAAAACCGCATATGTGAACTCTCTTCCTGGTTCTGGATTTATCAGTAACACAGATTCTGATGGTCGGTCCCTGATCCATGTGGACCCCAACAGGACTTTGACCTGCTAACTCTGTCTGAAGGTAACAGCAGGAAGGAACAGAGTTTACTTTATTAAACATGAATAAACCTGTAAAACACAAACTGGAAAATCACTTCGAGCTTTTTCACAGACAGTCGAGGATCAACAGTCAGTCTGAACTTCGCTGCTGCTCCAAATACGCTGACCCTGGATGTTCGCGGCTTCAGACACAGACGGAGATGTTAGGGTCACATTTAAAGGTCAGGATGTATTTTTGGACTTCCTTCATTATCACAGAAATGTTCAGAATAAGGTCAGAGAAACAGAGGAGGTCCAGAAAGGTCAGATCAGTCGGATTATGAAGTCCTTCTTTAAATCAAACACCAAAATCAGGAGTCACTTTGACAGTCCGCCGAAACGTCAACACCTGAGAGGGAAATGAACATTTTAACGTCAGCGTGTGAACAGAGAGCGTCTGAAAAATATCACATTTATGAGTTTGAACATAAAAAAGAAGAAGAAGAAGAAGAAGAAGAAGAATTATAAAAGAAGAGAGAGAGAGTGAGAGAATCTGAGAGTGTGAATCTGAGCGTGTGAGAGAGGACAGAAGGACCCGGCCTGTCGACTGGAGCGTGGTGCCAACTCACTGCTGACTCTGTGTGTGTGTGCGTGTGTGTGTGTGTGTGTGTGTGTGTGTTCTTGGCGTGCGGACCCCTGCTCTCTCCGCTCCAGCTCTCTGCTGAGCTGCTTCTGTCGGCTCTCCCCTCCACACGCCGACACTCGCTCCTGTTTTCTATAAACTCCAGTTTAGCGTTTCGTGTTTTTGTGTTTTTGTGTTTTTGTGTTCACGCTCCTGAAAGCTTCAGGTGTTCCGGCGCTCTCAGCGTGGACGCCATTTTGGCTCATAATTAAGATTCAGCGCGGTCAAACAGCCGGCTGATCAGCAGGTAACAAACGGGAAACAGGAAGGAACAGAACGGCGGGGGGTTCAGGTGGGGAGAGGCCAGCTGGCGCTCTGAGCTCACACACACACACACTCACACACACACACACACACACACACACTGAAGAATAAAACTACCCTCTGATTTTCTGAGTTTCTGCAGAGGGAGAGGTGAGACCGCCTGTGTTTCTTTTTTAGTAAAAATCTCTGTATCGACTCGATCCTTCCAATCACAGCAAATATAAACACGTCTTTATTTTCAGGACAACCTCAGATTCAGTTTATGGAGCAAAAATGATGTAAATAAATGTGACAGTAGATTCAGAACCATCAAAGTCAACTAAAGAACAAAAACAGAAACTGATCCCAACAGAACTTTGCTCTAAAACCACATAAATCTACAGTGACCAAGTCTTTCCTCACCTGAACATCATTCTCTCTTGTCTATCAAGAGAATAGAAACTATTGACATATTTACACTCATTCTTCCAGGTGTTTTTGACTGTTTACAGTTGTTTCTGGGATGAGACAGAGGACCACATCAGACTGCTCAGAGTCTCTTCATGAGACCGTGTCATTGGTCCAAAGTTTGTCATTAAAACAGCTCGTCAAACCAGGAAGACATTAGCGGCATTTAGTGATAGTGATCTTTATTTTATCACAATAATCTGATCAATAATCCTGTTTTCATCGGTTTATCACTGCGGATTTACCACCAAACGTCTCTGATCAAACACCTGTTTTTGTGGCTGGATTGTAAACTTTGTGGCAGGTTTAGAAACGTCTGGAAACCCTCAATAGATCGCCAAAAGAGTAAATTATCGAACACTTTTGATCCCGTAGAGATACACAGTATAGATCCTGAGAAACTGTGAACTATATTAAAGGTGTCATGTGGGATCTCCAGCAGAGATCCAGCAGAGTTCTGAGAGTTCAGGACCTGAAGCTGGTCTGGATCTCACAGCGGTCCAGAATCCTCTCTAGGGTTCTGTTCAATCAGAGCGTCTGTTTCAGCTCCGAGCGGCTCGGTTCTGTTTGGTTCTGCTGAAGTCTGGGGTCAGGAATCATTAAGTTCATGAAGTGAGAGTCAGATTTAGATGAACTGTTTCACACTCAGTTCAGGAGGAGGAGGAGGAAGAGAAGGAGGAGGAAGAAGATGAGGGAGAAGAGGAGGAGGAAGAAGAGGAAAAGGAGGAGGAAGAGAAAGAGGAGGAAGAGCCACAGCTGGGTGACCTAGATGTTTGAACACAACAAGCTTTCACAACGCATGACGTTACTGCAGCTCTAAGCAGTGTGTGTGTGTGTGTGTGATTGTGTGTGTGTGTGTGTGTGTGTGTGAGTGTGTGTGAGTGAGTATGATGTCATCCCTCTCTGCCGGGTCTAATCTGTGCTACACTCGCCCCAGGACGCTACGACCTCCTGAAAAAGTCAGACACACACAAAAACTGTAACACAATCACTCACACACACACACACACACACACACACACACACACACGTTTCTTTCCTCATCAGAACACACACCTGTGCTCGTGTGAACGTGGGCGTGTCTGTGAGAAATAACCGTCATAAAAACAGAGGTGTGAAAGTGTGTGTGTGTGTGTGAGTGAGTGAGTGTGTGTATCTGTGAGTGTGTGTGTATGTGTGTGTGTGTGTGAGTGAGTGAGTGAGTGAGTGTGTGTATCTGTGAGTGTGTGTGTATGTGTGTGTGTGTGAGTGAGTGAGTGAGTGTGTGTATCTGTGAGTGTGTGTGTATGTGTGTGTGTGAGTGAGTGAGTGAGTGTGTGTATCTGTGAGTGTGTGTGTATGTGTGTGTGTGTGAGTGAGTGAGTGAGTGTGTGTATCTGTGAGTGTGTGTGTATGTGTGTGTGTGTGTGTGAGTGAGTGAGTGAGTGTGTGTATCTGTGAGTGTGTGTGTGAGTGAGTGTGTGTATCTGTGAGTGTGTGTGTGTGTATGTGTGTGTGTGAGTGAGTGTGTGTATCTGTGAGTGTGTGTGTATGTGTGTGTGTATGTGTGTGTGTGTGTGAGTGAGTGAGTGTATCTGTGAGTGTGTGTGTATGTGTGTGTGTGAGTGAGTGAGTGAGTGTGTGTATCTGTGAGTGTGTGTGTATGTGTGTGTGTGTGTGAGTGAGTGAGTGAGTGTATCTGTGAGTGTGTGTGTATGTGTGTGTGCGTGAGTGTGTGTATCTGTGAGTGTGTGTGTGCATCTGTGTGTGTGTGTGTGTGTGTTTGTATCTGTGTGTGTGTGTGTTTGTGTGTGTGTGTGTGTGTGTTTGTGTGTGTGAGTGTGTGTGTGTATCTGTGAGTGAGTGTGTGTTAGGTTTAATACACACCCCAGGATGCCTTTTCCCGCCCTTGGAGGACTCGGTGGTTTCTGTGTGGGGGGGTTGGACCTGGACAGACCTCCTCCTAGTTTCATGTTCTGCTGACCGTTGACCTGCAGGGGGAGCAAACACAGGTGAGTCACTAACGAGTTAACGAGTTAACGAGTTAACGAGCTCCAGCTGGGGACAGGGTTCTGATTCAGGATTGTTCGTCATAATTCAGCTTCACTTTAGTGATGCACAGGTGAGAGGGGGAGGAGCCAAACACCTGTTTACTCTGGTTGAATTGTTGTGCAGGTGTGTTGTTGTGTGTGTCCTTACCTTGAACCTCAACAACCACTGAACAGGTGAGTGAAAGCAGCAGGAGAAAGAGGAGGAGAAGAAGAAGAAGAAGAAGACAGAAGGTCTGCATGTTAGTGTGGAGCAGCAGAGACATGAACAGTTTCAAACACACAGAGAGAGAGAGAGTAAAGGTCAGAGGTCAAGGTCAGGGATCTGCTCTTCACTAAACCACAGACTCAGAGGTTAAAGCTCCTCTCGTCACAGATGTACGTCGATCTCTAAACTCTCTCGGCTCTGATCTGTCGCTCGTTTTTATTCTCAAACGTCTCGGTCACCTTGACTCCGTGGCCGATGTCGTCCAGCACGCCGTAGTCGATGGGTTTGCGGATGTAGCGGACGGGTCTCTCTGGATTGGACGGAGCGACGATCTTATGTGAGCGGGTGGTGTTCTTATTGGTGGTGAGGATGCCGATCTCTCGCCTCGCCACCTTCTCTTTGTGGATGTCGACGGTCTGAAAGCAGAGACACGTGAGCAGATTTAACCTTTAGACAGAGTTGGAGACAAAAACGACACTAAAGGTCATTTTTTCTTCTTAATTCGATCGTAACTTTCACTGTATTTCAGAAAATGACTTGATTTTTACTGACAAACTTTATTTATGCACATAATTTGAAGATATGATTTCATAATTGTCTAAAGGTCAATGGTACAAATTTACTCCCCTTTGTTGGTGTCAGTGTCTGTTTTCATCCACTAACTTTGACTGCTGTAAAAATATATCAAATCAATATTTTTTCTTTTTTTTTTTGCATAAATCTTTAATCAACCTCAGTCTTGATCAAAACGAGTAAATATTTTTAAAAATTCTAAATTTTAACCTTTTGAATGTCAATGTAAAAAAAAAGTCACTGACGTGAAAAAATGCAGCATAGCGGTATTTCAGGCAGGAATCAAGCTAAAGGCTACAGTCAGCTGATCTTAAGTCAGCCCTCAGTCAGCTGACAGCTCAGGTGATCGCCCTCTACACTATTGGCTAATGTCAAAATGGCGCCCTATTTAATCTGCTCCTCCTGTTCATGTCGTGTCTGATCCTTCCAGTGTCAGATGTTTTGTCACTGATGCTTGCTCTGTTCCGTGGGGGGATTTTTAATTATTGATCTTATTCATATTTATTTGTTGCTGCGTTCTCTGCCTCTCTGAGGGGAGGAGCTCTCCCCTCTTAAAGGTCCTTACACACCGGCGAATTTGCGAAGCGAAGCGAAAAAGCGAGACGAAAATTGCGAATATTCGCCGGTCCGAAAAATCGCTTTTGCCTATACACACCGGCCGCAAAGCGAATATGCGTATATTTTTTGCACAGCGAATTAATAAAGTCGCTTTGCGGCACGGACATGACACATGACATCTGTCTCCTAAGGAAGACAAGAGAGTGTCATCTTGTGAGAAAACTACTTCATTTGTAATTAGAAAGAGTTTTGGATGCACCTCAGCTGCCTTTCTTTGCGTTTTAATAATCTCAAACTTCTCCCTCTCCTCCAGCCGTATGGGTCTGTGATGTCATCAACAACATGACTTTTGATTGGCCAGAGGTCTAGCAGGTCCAGATATTCGCCTGCGAATATCCGAAAAATTCGACACAGGAGCGAAAAAATAAAAGCGGCTTTTCGCCCTGCGGAAAAATCGCAGCCGGTGTGGAAGCTCGCATTGACTTTATGCTGTTTAAAAAAAAGGCGAATAATTCGCCTGGCATTCTCGCCCGGTGTGTAAGGACCTTAAAGCCGTGGCGTTCCATGTAAGCACATGGAAGGACAGGGAACCCTCAGAACAGAGCCGTACCACCAAAGTAAAAATGTTCGCTTGTAATAAATAATTAATTTTGACTAAACTGATCCTGACAGAAACACAAAATGAGCTTTCTTCAATATTAAAAGTGATGGGACAAAGAACATTATTTTTCATATTATCAGTCTCAGACATGTCTTAGATCAGTAACTTTAATGACTTTTATACATATTTAGTTTTTGTGCAGCAGCAGATTTTCATAAAAACTTCCTTTTATGGTCTTAGTGTCTGTTTTTGCCCCATTGACTCCCATTATAACCACATGTTTTCAATGCAGAGACATGACACTATATAAATATAATGTTTACAGTCAGGGTGATCAACCCTGTTCAGAAGGGATCAAATTAGGTCATTTTACTGTTGATCACCTGGTTCACACATTTACCCGTTACAGAGGCCTGATGGATTACTAGACCAGCTTCTGTATCTGTATAATGGAGTTTAGTATTTAGTAGTTTTGATCAGGACTGAAGTTGCCGAACAGATTTATGTAAAAAAAGTAGAAACAAATATTGATCTAATATATTTTAAAGCTGTTAAAGGTTAATACCGGTTTTGTTTGTGTGAGTCTGTGAACCATCAGAGGAGGACTTTAGATGATCCCCGTTCATGAAACCTTCATAGTTCAGACCTGTTCCCTCACAGTCTAAATCCAGATGAGCGTTCGCTGTCAGCTCATCTTCACGCTCCGACGGCGAGGATATTCACGATGTCACGGCGTTTCCTCAGGAGTGAAACGTGTTAATGAAGTTTTTCAGCTTCGTCTGACAGAAACATTCAAACCTGTAAACTCAGTCAGAGATCCTGGAGTCACTCACAAACCAACACTCATCCTGAACAGACAGACACTCTCTACAGACACCAAACAAGTCCAGGTCTGTCCTCCATCGGTCAGACGGACACTGACGGGTTCCTCCTCCGCCGTCTGAGCTCTGTTGTTCCGCTCTAAAGGGTTATTTCAGAGTTTTTCCTGATGAAAGGAGCCTCACAGTCCGAACACTCGCCTACACAACAGATGTGAGTGAATAGAAGACGCAGTAATTATGACGTGAAATCACAGACGAGCTTCACAGCACAGACAGAGGAGCAGCTCATGATCGGGTCCTGCAGAGTTCCTGATGACTCGGATTTCTACAGAGGAGGAAAAACAAGATCCTCTGTATCCTCCAAATAACTTAACTCTGATTCATGAATGAAACTCTTCTGCTCCTTCAGTTCTGCTGAATCATGAATATGAACAGAGCGGCTCTGAATGTGCCGAATCTGAGGATGATGATGAGGAGGAGGAACACAGCTGCAGGAGGACGATGAAGATTCAGGCCCAGAGGTGACCCGAGGAGACGGGAGGGACCTGAAGGAGAGAGGGGTCCTGAACATGGACGCTGACATGAGTCGACTCACTCCATGTGAGGGGCGTGGTTTCCTCCTCTCTGATTTTGATTGACGGCTGGCAGGGTCGTCTGATTGGCAGCTGAGTAAAGAACGAATGTGATTGGTGGATCGCTGCAGAGTCACCTGCAGTGTATCTCAGTCAGCTACCCTTGAAATTAGACGAGTTCATTCACCTCCGACATCGCAGGATCTGACATGTGACTATCACACGTCACACGTACATCGCCATGACGACGCTCAAACGATATATCTGCAGCTCTACAGGAGAGGTGTTTATATCAGAGTAAATAAAAACATCTGAGGATGAAACAGAGAAAAATACTTTAAATAGTCCGTCTGTAGAGTTCATTTAAATATGTGTGACTTTCACAGCCTGCTCCAGATCACATCTCCTCAGACTAACCCTCTCCTCCGATGGGACAGACTTCACACTGAGGGACACGTGTGAACACGAGTCTGAACCAGCTCTGAAGAAGATTCATCTCTGCTGGACTGAGAAACACCAGAGTCTTCTTCTTCTTCTTCTTCTCTGTCTGTAGGTGTGAAGTATCTCCACCACCACCATCAGTCATGTGATCAGACTTACACAACACTCGACACCCACACTGAAGAGTGAAGGTCTGATCATGACGGGGGATTTCAAAGAGCAGGAGACGGTTTCTGTTCGGTCCAGGATCAGAGCTCACTACTGTGTTCCTCATGTGTTCACTCTCAGATCTGGACAAACTCCATGTTCATGACCTCCACACATCTCCTCTGCAGACTCATCTCTGTTCCTCTGTGATGATGAGAACATAGCTGAGCCTGCATACATTCATGAGTCCACGCTGAGAGCTCTCATACATGACAGACAGAGACACACCAACAAACACACGCGTGTCAGACTCATCCACACAGACCTGAGGACCTGAGGACCTGAAAGAACTGAGGAGATCTTGGTTCAGACCTGGGAGATGTGGTTGACGGAGCTCTCCATGCGGCGCAGCTGGGAGGCCTGGATGTCCAGCATCTGCAGCACGTTGTTGGCGAGCGTGTTGATGAGGTAAGCGACGCTCGCCAGAGACTGGGTGGTGTAGCTTTTGGTCTCCTCCAGCGCTCGCTCTTTGTCTGCGGACTTAAGGGACACAGGAGACACAGGAGACACAGGAGACATGGGTGTTATGACCTTTAAATGACATCATGGGGAGGAGCTCAGTGTGACCCGTTCACTTTTGTTTACGACACCGAACCCCAAACTTCAGAAAAACGACATTTTAAATATTTGAAGATTAAATTTAAAATCCTCCAAAAACAACATTTCAGATTTAAAAACTGAAAAATGTTTTTGTTTCATGAAAGAGAGACAGAAGAACTTTTTATCTGTCTGGTTGTTCCTCTACAAGAACTTCTGACCTGCTGTCTGCTACCACTTTGCAGTTGGTTGATACTTGGTTCTAATTCAGAACATGATTGGTTCAGACCCGGAGAAACTCCCCTTTTCATTGGCTGTTCGTATAGTTGACCAAAACATGTCAGAATGACGACTATTGAAAAGCATATTGACCATGTTTTATATTGATATTGAGGAATATTAATTTTCAATATATATAGTTATCATTTTATCACCTAGCCCTACCTGTAGGCCTTTAATGCTGTGAAAACCACAGAGATCAGAGTCATTCACTCGTTAAAGATCGTTCTCTCTTTAATCGTCTTTAGAGTCTCTCACAGGAACTCCTGTCTGTGTTTCAGTCTCAGTCTGGGTCTAACTGTGACACACAGACATGTGGGATTCTGGGCTTGACTCAGATCAGATGGTTCTGTAGGACAAACTGGACTGTCGACCTGTGACTGACCTCTGCAGCAGAAACACGCACACACACACACACACACAGACATAGGTATCTATGTTTTCGTACTCATACACACCTAACTAAATGTAATCACACACGTGGTTAAACAAAAAATGATGCACACAGACAAATGCAGTCATGCGCACACACACACACACACACACACACACACACACACACACACACACACACACACACACACACACACACACACACACACACACACACACAGAGGGTTACAATGATCGGAGCTGAAAAAACACATTCAGCATCTACCTCAGAAATCACATGAATGAGTGTTTCTGTGTGTGTGTGTGTGTGTGTGTGTGTGTGTGTGTGTGTGTGTGTGTGTGTGTGTGTGTGCGCATGACTGCATTTGTCTGTGTGCATCATTTTTCGTTTAACCACGTGTGTGATTACATTTAGTTATGTGTGTATGAGTACGAAAACATAGATACCTATGTGTGTGTGTGTGTGTGTGTGTGTGTGTGTGTGTGTGTGTGTGTGTGCTGGAGCATGATGTAGGTCAGTGCTAACTCATTCGTGCCTGAGGTTGACGTGAAACACACTGACACCACTGTGTGTCTCTCCCTGACACACACACACATTAAAATACAACTGCCCACACACACACACACACACACACACACACACACACACACAGACACACACACACACACGGTCTCAGTGACTCACAGCCCTACATCCTCAGTTTAAACCTCAGATTCACTCACCAGAGTCTAATCAATTAATCAATTAATCAATCAATCAATCAATTAAACTTTATTTACACAGTGCAAATTTACAACAAGTGTTTTCTGCAGATGCTTCACCACAAACAGCCGGTCTAGACCAGACTCTGTTTACAAAGACCTGACGTACAGACTGGATCAGACCTGATCCTCGTCTTCAACCACAGGAGAGAGAGAGAGAGCGTCACAGAGGAGAGGGAGAACTTCTTTAACAGGCAGAGACCTCCACGAGGACCAGACTCATGTTAGACAGTCAGCTGCTGAGGCTGAACTGGGTCCACAGGGGGCGCTAAAACCCACACAGACTCAAAGGTCCTGACTTGAATTCATGGAGGACGTTTAGAGCTCCAAGAAGCAGAAGTTTAGTTTGAGACAGAGTTCATTCACACTAACTGATGAATCCAGGATGAAGTCCACACACAGGTACACAAACACCTGCACACTGGGACCCAGTCCAGGTCCAGTCCAGGTCCAGTCCGAACCCTCTCACCAGTCTACCTTCATCATCCCTCCAGTTCTCTCCTCCCTCTCTCTCTCTCTCTCTCTCTTCCTCAGCAGACATCTGATGTCCTGTTAGCACTGACCTAGTTGGAGGGCTGCCTCCTCTGGCCTGAGGACAGGGCAGTAACACACACACACACACACACACACAGAGTTATTTTTTCATTTCTAACTCTGGGAGTTTAGATGTAGATGAATCAGTTCAGATCTTCATCATATGCACGCTCTGATTCCTCTGACCTCTTTTTTAATGAACTCTCTCTCTCTCTCTCTCTGTGTCTCTCTCTCTCTCTCTCTCTCTCTCCCTCTCTCTCTCCTCGTTTGTTGATGAGCTCTGACTGTCTGCAGCTTGCTGGGAAACGTTGTGTTAACGTTGACTGTTTTCTAACTGAGGACCTACAGAAACACTGATCCACCTCACGGTTCAGGTCAGAGGTTCTCCCATCACCGTTCTCTGACTGATCACTGATCAATAACAAAGTTTGACCTGACGATACCGATTTTGGCCAATACCTTTTTTTATAACTGACTGCATACACCTCTGGCTCCACTGAAAGGTATTGTGGGTAATGTAGTCAATGAGGCAGATGAAGCAGACTGAGGAAGTTCAGTTTTCTTCATCCTGGTGCTGAGAACAAAGAGACCTCAGAGGAGAGCTGGGTCTGAATTTAACACCCATCAGTGAAAACCTCAAGTCCGGACTCTGGACTCGGGTCTGTGGACTCGGGTCTAAATCTGTCGAGTTTCTGATAACAGCCCGTCTGTCCAAACGCTCCGCTCGGTCCGCCCCCGCAGGATCTGCTCCTGGCTCCGACTCTGAAGGTGGAGGCTGATACTCTGTCACTGAGAAAGCCATCGCCATGGTTTCCAACAAAACACACACACTTAAACACACACACACACACACACACACTGGGCTGGGCCTCCTGCAGCAGCAGCATGTGTTTTCAATGAGCAGCAGGAGGTCGAGTTACGTTTGGACTTTTTCTGCTGACAAATAACCAGGACCAGCTGAGGAGGACCAGGACCAACAGAGCGGGCCGACCCAGCGTGTGTGTGTGGGTGTTTCAGTGTGTGTGTGTTTCAGTGTGTTTCAGTGTGTGTGTTTCAGTGTGTGTTTCAGTTCAGGCCGTCTCAGAAAAAAAACGGCGTTTCCATCTGTAGATCTGTTAAAAATAGATGCTGACTAACAGAGTCCTCCTGATCTGCTCCTGAACTCTTTCCAAGCGTCACTGGTTCGGAGTCTCATCACTCTGAGGGAGCCGCAGCTGAAGGTGGGTGAGGGCTCTGACTGTGTGAGATGCAGCAGCAGCAGCTCTATTTTCTGTCCGCTCTCCCAGCTCCAGCCCACAGTGGAGATGTGGGCGGCGTTATATTGGACAACCTGAGATCCTGCAGAAACACTCACTGTTAGGTAGAGACAGCGCTCTGATTTAAACGCAGACTTTAAAGCATCGCCCTCATTCTGCAGACTGTCTCCAGGTGTGAGTATTAAAGGATGGGGATCAGAAACTGGTTCCAGATCAGAACCGGTTCTAACCATCAACATCGTTTGGCTTCAACAGTTCCCGTCCACTTGAGTCCATCTCTGAGGCCGTCAGCAGGAACAACAACCACAGAGTCAGAGAAGACATCATGGTGGAAAGAACAACCAAATCATCTAAATATCACTGTGTCACTCTGTCTGCTGTAAAATCCACTCACTCTGTGAGACCGGCAGCTGTCCAGAAACATAAACTCTGAGTGTTTGTGTGACACGATCCAGGAGATTTCAGACCCTCAGAAACAAAGTCAAGATGAGCTGATCTGTGAGTTCATCTTTATGGTGTTTTATCATTTCTGTTATTGAATGGAGGTCAGATCATCGTCTCTGATGCATTCAGGGAAGTCTGTAAATCTGAACTCTGATGCTCTTCAGTGACTCAGCATCAGTCAGATCTGTGTATCATGTAGTATACAGAGACGGAGATCCCCCTCAGATCACCGACCATGGGAGCTGGAGGTCATGATGGAGGACTGAGTTCCTCCTGCTTTTGCTCTCCATACTGACAGTTTTCTCTGCAGAAATCTGATTGGATAACACTTTTCACCCCCAATCGTCACCACATCCTGAACAGCTCCGATCCAGAACAGTGGCGATTTTCACTGTCCGCCAATTCCTAACAGATCCGTTTGTGAGGTGAATTTCGTGGCGGATTAAGGACAGCAGGAATTGCGAGAACTCACAAGAACCCGTAGATTCACGTTCAATCGTGCGATAACGAGTTGTCTCTCTAAAGACAGACACATAGACATATAAGCAGTAGATTGTGTCCTTCCAGAGGAGGAAATCTACTTCTAGACTTCTAGAATCAGCATCTCCTCATCCAAGGTGTCATCGGGGTGAAATGACGTCTAAAAACCTTTCACTGAGGAATCCGGCGATCCTTAGAGGAACGGAAAGAAGTCGGTGTAAATTGACACGTTAACTTACGATCGCTACAATCGGAGGATACGACCTTTTAGTAGACGATCAGGATGTGGTGGAAATTAAGGTTGAGATGTTGTTTAAAACTGAGGATGCAGCATCTATGATTTCCAGTTCATCGTTGAAAGGACAACTGGACTTACTTGGACGTTTCGCCTTAAGTAAGTCCAGTTGTCCTTTCTAGAAGAGTGTTAGATTTTGACCTGTGATTGGTTAACATTTCTCAGACCTCAAACCCGAGAGCACAGATTGAATATTTTTATTTAGACTCAATCCTAACCCTGTCCTCAGCAGTGTCGTGCAGAAGCCCTCGCCGATTTTACTTCCACGTGATAACTCATGTATCATGAGTTGGGGTTACACTCAGGTTAGGTAGGAGTGAACACGGGTCAAGTCTGGATCTGAATATTCGGCCCATAAAACCGTTCTAGTGGATTATGTAACGGCTCACATCGTCTGCAGGCTAAGGGGGGAATGTAGGCCACCCACCGAGCGCTGAGTTGGCCTGTTAGACCCCATGTGGATCTGTAGTCTGAACAGGCTAATGAACCAGAAAAGAGCTTTTTTTACTGGAGCAGAGACGGTGTGATGCTGCGGGGAGAGAAATAATACCAACAGAGACAGAGGGAGAGTGATTTCAAGAGGAAACCTGGACGTCGAACAGAGATAATAGATGATGTTTCAGACCGCTATGGTGCAAATCTGAGAGTGCAGCCGCTCTGCACGTCTGGACCTCACTCCAAAAGATTTCACAGTTGAATTTTACAGATAATATTCCCTGATTATGAGTTGGTAATTTATGCAGCGAGTGTGTTTGATGAAGTGAAACACACTCCGAGCTGCAGAAATGTGATGAATATGAAACGTGGCGACGATGAACAGGTGCCTCAAAGCCAACTGAGGAGGAACAGTTGTCCTGAACAGCCTCGCCTGCCTGCCCACACACTACACACACACATACACACACACACACAGGACACACTTAACAACAAAGGACTGTGCAACAGCTTTCCAACTCGATTTCTTAACATGTGAAATGATTTAACCCTTCATCGCCCGTCCTGTTTGCAGCTTTAGTGTGTTATTAGTGACGGTATGATACAGACTGAACTCTGTAAGACAACAACAGGAGGGATGAACGGTCAGACCTCAGGCCCTGCAGGTGATCAGGTGTGAGGGGGAGGCGGTAAAGAAAGAAAGATGAATCAGTCTGCAGATTAGTCATTATAATAAATGTCATTTTGACGTAACCGGCATCATATTATCATATTATTTGACAGCATATCAAATCTGAGACTGACTCCTGTTTAGTGTCCATTCATATCCATTGATATCAGCATCATATATGGGTCTTTTGCCAAGCAGCCCTCTTTATACCAAAGCTGTGATCAGTCGACCTCTAACAGACAGGATAAAGGTTAAAAAAGGAAAATATAAACATGACACAGCAGCCAAACTAACTGATTAAACTCATTAGATCAACTATTTCTAAATTTAAACATATTGCTACATTGTTTTTTCTTATTTAGTTTGCCCAGTTTTACAATTATGAATATGAAATCTGAACATACTGAGACTTTTTCATCTATAATGTACTCATATTTTGCTTCACTAAAATGATCTTTTTAAAACTTTTACCATTTTTCAAAGCTATCACCATCAAATTTATCAGTTTACTCTCACATACTCAGAGTAATATTAATATAGATTATAGAATGATTATGAAGCAGCACTTTTCAAAGTTACTACTACAGAGTAAGTTAGGACTGAACAGGGCCATCTTATCCTATTGTCTGTCAGTCTAGCTAGAGCAGACCAGATTCCGTTAGAAAACTTATCATTTTAATTATTTCTCGTTTACCTGTAATGTCATACCGTTATTAGGAGATGAACCAAGATTTTAAACGAATAAATACGAGTAATCCTTTCATTCGGCTTTCGTTTAACAAAGAAATTAAAACTCAGTGAAGTGAAATGTCAACTTTTTTAACTTCATGACTTATTTACAGGACAACTCAGCATTCACCTCCCTCTGCAGTGTACAGTTACACCAGCTGAAAAAGTTCAATCTCCCGAAAATAACACACATTTGGTGGAATACTTTGAAGCCGAATTGGGGTTTGAGTCTTGGTTGTCGATAAATCTGGTAAGTCAGTCTAAAAATGAACCAAAACTTGACTTTTTTGTGTCCTTGAAAAAAATCTGACAGTAAAGTAACGGAGCTCGGTACTGTCATTCCATCACTCCCGACTCCAGACCGCCCACTCCCTCCAACAATATCCCGACCTGCTCTTTATTTTACCTTCATAAATACCTGTATTTTCAGACACCAGCTCTCACCTGCACATAGTTGCTCTCGCAGTACTCGGCTACTCTCTCCAGGTTGGTAAAACTGTCCAGTAAAGCTCTCCGTCCCGCAGGAATCTCCTCCTCCAGCAGCATTTGTAACTCCGCCATCTTTACATGATTTTACTACGAACGGCCGCAGCAGCAGCGCGCGCTCAATGGATGTGTCCTGATGCCTTCACGGACTGTCGGAAAAACGACAACTCTGTCACGATTAACCGGGAAAATACGGGGAAAACGACAACTCTGTCGCGATTAACCGGGAAAATACCGGAAAAACGACGACTGTCACGATTAACCGGAAAAATACGTGAAAAACGACAACTCTGTCACGGTTAACCAGGAAAATACGGGAAAAATGACAACTCTGTCACGGTTAACCAGGAAAATACAGGAAAAATGACACCTCTGTCACGATTAACCGGGAAAATACGAGTAAAACGTGATAGGTATGGTGGCCATGAAGGTCAACTGTCTAAAAATGTATTATGTTCAAGATTTTAATAACAAATGCAAAATTCAATTAATGTATGCAGGTATTTAACAGAATACAGAACCCTTTCACTCTGTTAAAAAATCTCATAAAATGCAACAAAAAGTAAAAAAATAATTATAAAAAAAAAATAAATTCATGGAATTTATATACATTTTACTACATCAGAGTATTAGGGCCACATAGAGAAAAAAATTAAGAAGTCTTAATCAAGTAATTACTTTAATACAAGAATAAAGTCGTTATAAAGTAATTACTTATGAGAGTAAAGTCCGAATGAAGTCCTTATATTCTAGTCCTGATGTTAGAATATAACGATCAACTAGGGGAGATTCAAAAAGTAAATGTTTTGCAACTTGTGTTTTGAATTTTATGCAATAGTTTTGAGGTTTTTTTGAAAGGTGTTTTTGTGTTTGAGAGAAAGTTTTTGAATTTTGTGACACGTTTCAGCATTTATCTAAATATTTCTGTGCTTTTTGCAATTTATTTAATATTTTTGTACTGTGAACTTTGGTGCATGACCTAATAATTCTTTATTTCACCAGTTGTTTTTGTGCTCGGCGAAATACTTCTCTGTTCTGTAACCGGTTTCTGTGGCACTTGAAATGTTTTTAATGTTTGCATGTCTGGAATTGTTTGCTTGAGTTTAATATTTTTGTCTTGAGTTTAATAATGTGGCAGTAATAAAGTGTGTTTGTGAAAAGTTTGAGCAGTTGACCCTCAGGGCCTGTCTTTGTGGTTGTGTTTTGGTTTGAAACTCTGGACTGGATGAACAGGATTGAGGACGATGTAAGGACTCTGATAAATCCAGATGTCTGCAGAAATAAACTTTATCCCTGTTTACTTCCGTTTATTTCTCACTTAGCTGCCTCTTCTTCTCAGCAGCAGCTCTACCTTGTGGTCAAACTCTATTATTGCCGACAAAAACAGCTGCTCCTGTAAACATACTGTATTTCTTTATTTAAAAAAACTCTCACTCAGGAAAACAATGTGCTACTTCAATATTAGTATAAAAAATATGAGACAAAAAGAAGAAAGGTGATGTTTCCAGAGTTTCAGGCGGGGTTATCCACGTTCTCCTCTCCTCTGGGGTAAGACTCCACCTCCATGGTCATCAGAAACTCTGCAGAGAACACCGAAACCCTCAGATTAGTATATAAAACACTTATATATGTATTACACACCTGTACACCATAAATATAAACTAACCGTACTTTCAGTGTGTGTGTGTTAGGGGGATTAACAAGACCTCTGCCTTAAGTCAGCTTCAGGTCAATTAAACTGTCTCCTTTAATTTAAACATTTCATTCACATTAACTGATATTTTTTATGTATTTATAATGGGACATTTAAACTTGTTAAAAAGCCTATCTATGAAGATGTAACGCTTTAGAATATTTTCATAATATTTAAAGGAAAACGTTGTAAATGTGTGAAAGTAGAATTGCACTTTTTGTTTTCACTGAGCTTTTATTTTGAAAGGGAAGAACAGCTTGTACTAAATAAGTGTTTTTAAAGATATTAAATTATTATCTCAGGGCTGCCAAGTTTCAGAAAATGACAAGAGTGAGACTTTAGCGTTATGATGCGCCGACCTGTGTGCAGCGAAAAAAATGTGACCCTTTTTTAACGTCGATTTGTACCTTAAAACAGAAATATTTGTCCTATGACGACATCAAACTAATAAAAATATTTAAAAACTGAACTCATTAGCAATAATTTTGTATGATCAAAATTAGGTAGTTGAGGGGTTTTAAATGTCGGCGCTGTTGTGTGTGAAAGATAGTCAGAGACGCTAAGACCCGCCTTACGTCCCTTCTGATTGGTTGATATTGCATGGCGCCTTCTGTGGTTGGTTAGATTTAGGCACAAAGGACTGATGGATTGGTCTGAGATTGGTTATCTCAGTTAGCCAATCAAAGTTACTCAAACTACGGCAAGCAAATTAGTTTATTATCATGAAAAATATAAATACAGAGTTTTGAACGGGGAAAAATTAACGTGATAATGTCAAGTGTGGCGTGTGAAAAACGGGTCAAAATGCGTTACTGTCACTCAAAACGTGATGCTTGGCAGCTCTGTTATCGCCTCAAAACGTTTCAAACCTTCTGTGTAGTCGATGTCAGGCCGCGTGGAGACGACAGCCCACGCCATGCCCACCAACAGCGCCACCACCAGGTTCACCACGATCCACGGCCGCAGGATCTGCTGCTCTGAGCCTGGAGGCCTGAAGGGAGCCAGGGTTCGTACAGGTTAATAAAATAACCACAGAAAAGAGTCGAAAAGAGACGGACATGCAGCTGGTGCTCACCACAGAGTCTCATTGGCTGTCGGGTAGAGGTTGATACGATCGCTGGTCATCTGCTGACTGAGGGAGAGGATCAGGGCGATGAAATATACTGAACACAGAGACAGAGAGAGAGGTTATTAGAGGTCATAGTTACCATCATCATCATCATCATCATCATCGGGTCTCAGAGTGTTCGGACTCACAGAAAGAGGCCAGAGCAGCGGGGTCGAGGGTCAGGAAGCCTCTCAGAGCCATGGAGGCTTTGGCCAGATTCACTCTGCAGGACAGGAAGAGGAAGTGAACATTCGTGACTGTCATTTTAGACGGCGTGCACAACAGGGTCTGAATACGTGTTATGAAGATTCGATCACGCAGAGTCACCGACCTGTCGAAGGCGGACACGGTGCTGATGGCGAGCAGCAGGTACAGCAGGGACTGGGCGGGGTAGGCCAGTGGGTGGTACTGGTTCAGCAGGTTGGGCAGCGTGGTCATCTGCTCGCCCGCCAACACGTACACGACTATGATGTTCCACACGGCGTAACCTGCCAGGAAGCCGTGAGAGAACAGGCCAATCACCCTGCAGAGAGAGAGATAGGGAGAGGGAGAGCGCGGCTCAGTGAAACCATCGACTCGGACACGAAGCCGCCATGACGGTTAGAAATCCCAAACTCACACAGGCTGGACTGTAAACGCAAAACTGTCCTGAGCCGTGATGAAAAGCCTAAATCAGATCCTGATCCTCACTCCACCAGGGTTAACTCGATTTTTTCACCTGGAGGTGCTGCTGACTGTCAGGTTCAGGTAAGCTGGTGTTTTCTGACCCCGCCTCCCTCCTCTTTAGCTCCACCTTTTCCTCTATTGTAATTATTAGAGTTCATATTCAAAATTTCTCCTAAAAACTGGAACTTCCTCAGATCCTGACTACATCACCTTTAACGGAGTCTTCAGGCTGGACTGTTTTCAACATAACATCTCGCTGTGTGAAGGAACCTGTTAACATGTTTGAGTGCAGACCTGAAGCTGCTGTGGACCTTCATGGCCACGTCTCTGGTGGTCCAGAGCGGTCTGGGGTCCATGTAGTCGTCCATCATCTCCGAGTGTCGGAGGTGATCCACACGCTCCGCCTGGAAACGCCCTAAAAAACACGAACAGATGTTCGTTTCTGTCTGGGTTTGGATTCATGATTTTCTGTAATTCTTTGAAACATGAATCAGCTGATCTGAGACTTTAGCAGCTGATCTTCCTCGTGGTCGTGGTCCAGGTCTAACTCAACACTCAGGGAGACTAAAGGGACTTTAACGGTCAGGTGAGGCCAAGCTGCAGGTGACCCAAATAGCTGACAGGGAGGTGCCAACGGTTTCTTAAGTTAACTCTGGTAAAGCCTGGCACACGCTCAAAGACTCTCCCACCTGATCATCTCACCACGTCTCTCAGGGTTACGTGTGAAACTGCAGGGAGGATGTGAACGCAAGACGAGGGCGACCAGCGTCCATTTTTCTGTTTCCTTGGTGTGAACTAAACCTGATTCACACTCACTGTTTCTCTCCACGAACACCTTCCCCACCGGCTGACTCTGTCCATGCGGGGCTGAGAACAGGGAATGCTGGGGGATCGGGGACTGGGAGCCCGCCACGATATCATCCTCTTCAGCGCCGAGGTCGTTGCTGTAATGCTCCGTCGCCTTCGCCTTCCTGATATGAGACAGAAAACCACGAGAACTGTTAGAGACATGTTGTTTGGATGTTGACGGTCCCCTCAGGATGGTTTGTAAAACTTCAGCACCTCCATCCAATCAACATCTAAACCCTCAGACCGCGGTTTTACTCCTGCTGGTACTGACTTTTTCTTCTTGGTCTTCCTGGTCACAGCGACGCTCGTCTCCTCTCCGTCGATGGTCGGCTCTGTTGTGTTTCCGTTTGGCGTGTCAGCATGATCGACTTCCTGATCTGAAACAAAACATCCAAACTTGATGATCGCAGGTTTGATGTTTGCACAGGTCAGACACTTTCAGAAGACTTTATTGGCACTTTGACTTGGATGTCATGCGCAGGTGTCTAACGCAAGATTTCCACCGTATCTGGAACGGTGGCGATTTTGAGAAGTGACAGTCGGTGTAAATTGACACGTTAACTTGAATGGTTACGATCGGCTATGATCGGAGGATACGACCTTTTAGTAGACGATCAGGATGAAGGTGGAGGTCGGGGGTTAAACCTGCGTTCATTGTACATCTTCATGATATCAATCTTTATACAGATGACTCTGTCTTGTACATAAACGCAGGACTGTAATCTGTTTTGTGTTTTAATTAGTTTCATGTTAATTAATAAACCAGTAGAATATAGAATGGCGGTTACCTCCATTTGTCTGTTTTTAGCCAATGAGCATCTATCTGTCTGTAACAGTCTGCTCTGCCCCTCTCCTGCTCTGCTGCTCAGCCACACCCCTCATCAGCTAACTGCTTCCACCTGCTGCTCTCACCTGCTCATCATCTCCAATCAGGCCAGTATATATGCAGCTTCTTTCCCCTCACTCTTTGCCAGATTGTCTTCGCTCTCATGCCTGACTCTCCAGCGTTAATTCCCGGACTGCTTACCTGGTATCGACCTGATCTGCCCCTGACCTTTGCTTCTCGCCTCAGCCCCGGTAAACCTACCTGCCTTCTGTCCTTGACTACGAGCTTTGCCTGCCTGTTTCCTGCTATTCGTCTGCCTGCGGCTGAATGGCACTCAGCCTGTTCCTGCTCTGTTGAGATCCCCCTTCTCGTCAGCTTCACCTCGCCAACTCACCTCCTCTGCCGACGTTGGTTCTGCCAGCTCCTCTGCAAGCTCTGGATCCTCACCCAGTCCTCACCTGAACCACTTTCCAAGAAATCTTCCTCCAGCTGTGAGTTGAGCGTTTTCCCCTTCACTACACTCGTGGAGCAAATTAAGACTGTGGACAATTCCCTGCTCACGAGTCCAAAACTCTTGCCTGACCTGTGGTCCACTGCTAACCTGCTCGCCTATCACCCGAAAGACCCAAGTTCGAATCCTGCCATACCCACCTGCTATACTCTGCTGCTTCATTGGATTTGGTGTTCAATAAAGACTGTTGTTAAAGTGAACCTGCTTGTTTGTGCTGCAATTGGGTCCAGTCAATACCCGTTACAGTACAATCTGGCCAAAACTATGGACCCAGCACACAATCCCTCACCACTGAATCGCCTTGAGAGAATTGAGGGTGTTCTGCAGCAACATGAGGCCATGATGACTGCAGCTGCTGCTGAAGCCAGACGAGCTGCTGAGACTCAGGGACAATCACTTGCAGCGTTAGCCGCACAGATGCAACAGCTAGCAGCTCAACTGACCCAGCTCCCCTCATCTGCTGGATCTGCCTTTTCTTCAGAAGCTTCACCTTCTGCTCCTGCACCTGTACCCGCCTCTTCTCTACCCAGCGATGCTCCTGAGCCACGGGTGGGAACCCCAGAGCGTTATGATGGAGATCGAGAGACTTGCGGCCCCTTCCTCACCAACTGTTCTCTCCTGTTTGCCCTACAGCCCCGCACCTTCGCCACAGAACCGGCGAAGGTAGCGTTTGTCATCAACCACCTGACAGGCAGAGCTAGACTATGGGGAACAGCTGAGTGGGAGAGGCGGTCTCCAGCCTGTGTTTCCTTTGACCTGTTTGCTGCCGAGCTTCGGAAGGTTTTTGGGTTTGAGAATTCTGGTTCTGATTTGGCAAGGGGACTGATGGGACTGAAGCAAGGCGAACGAACAGTGGCTGACTATTCCATTGATTTCCGCACCAGAGCCAGCCAAAGTGCATGGAACAGTGCAGCTCTCCGTGATGCCTTTCTCCATGGGTTGGCAGATTACATTAAAGATGAACTGGTTTCACATGACACCTCCCTCACCTTGGACAGGGTGATTGACTTGGCCGTCCGCATCGACCTTCGTGTTCAGACTCGTCGACGAGAGAAGCGTCAAGGAGGAACCCAACATTCTCGTCTACCTCGCTCCCGTGGGGGTGCTGCTGCACCCAACTCCACCCCACTGGGTCAGCAGTTTGAGGATCCAGAGCCCATGCAGTTGGGCCGCACCTCTCTCTCCCTGGAAGAGAGAGAGCGTCGACGCAAGTCTAATCTCTCTTGTACATAAACGCAGGACTGTAATCTGTTTTGTGTTTTAATTAGTTTCATGTTAATTAATAAACCAGTAGAATATAGAATGGCGGTTACCTCCATTTGTCTGTTTTTAGCCAATGAGCATCTATCTGTCTGTAACAGTCTGCTCTGCCCCTCTCCTGCTCTGCTGCTCAGCCACACCCCTCATCAGCTAACTGCTTCCACCTGCTGCTCTCACCTGCTCATCATCTCCAATCAGGCCAGTATATATGCAGCTTCTTTCCCCTCACTCTTTGCCAGATTGTCTTCGCTCTCATGCCTGACTCTAGACTATGGGGTCTAATCTCTGCCTCTATTGTGGGGCAGCGGGACACTACATCTCCGGCTGTCCAGCAAAAGCCAGAGCTCATCAGTAGTTGGGGAGACCCTGGTGAGCTCAACTACCCTGTCACCTCCCCAAAGCCAGCAACCCCTGCTCCAAGGCCGCCTCCTTCTTCCAGATGGCCCCCACACCTTGGCTATCTTCATTGACTCCGGGGCTGATGCCAGCATCATTGACGAGGAGGTGGTCCTTCAGCTGGGGCTTGAGCGGGTTCCTTTGCCTCACCCGGTTCCTGCTCGAGCCTTAGATGGACATGTCCTGGGCACCGTCACGCATCAGACCTCTCCTGTTCACCTGCTACTGTCTGGTAACCATCATGAAACCGTCCAGTTTCACATCCTGAGCTCTTCCTGCCTGCCACTTATCCTGGGATATCCATGGCTCCGTCTTCACAATCCTCACATCGACTGGGCAACTGGGACCATCCGGGAGTGGAGTTCCTCCTGTCATCAGAGGTGCCTGCAGCAAGCCTCAGTTCCGCTTCATCCCTCTGGGTGTAGCTCCAGTTCGTCACCTGACCTCAGTGGGGTGCCACCCGAGTACCATGACTTCCGCCAGGTCTTCAGCAAAGCCAGAGCCACCTCTCTGCCTCCACGCCGACCCTATGATTGCGTCATTGATCTCCTGCCTGGTTCATCACCTCCCAAGGGTCGCCTGTACTCCCTGTCTGAACCCGAAAGAAGGGCCATGGAGACGTACATAAATGACTCCTTGGCCGCAGGCATCATTCGTCCCTCTTCATCCCCTGCTGGAGCAGGGTTTTTCTTTGTTGAGAAGAAGGACAAGACATTGAGACCTTGCATTGATTATAGAGGACTGAATGAGATCACGGTAAAGAACCGTTACCCACTGCCACTCATGTCCACTGCCTTTGAACTGCTCCAGGGGGCCACCATTTTCTCCAAACTCGACCTACGCAACGCCTACCACCTTGTCCGCATCAGAGAAGGAGATGAATGGAAGACAGCATTCAACACCCCTACCGGACACTACGAGTACCTCGTAATGCCGTTTGGCCTCACCAATGCCCCTGCCGTCTTCCAGGCTCTGATTAATGATGTTCTCAGAGACATGATAAACCAGTATGTCTTTGTTTACCTAGATGATATACTCATCTTCTCCCGGTCCAAGGAGCAACACATTCATCATGTCCAGTCCGTCCTTCAGCGCCTCTTGGAGAACTCCCTTTATGTTAAAGCAGAAAAGTGCGAGTTCCATGTTCCTTCAGCATCTTTTCTGGGGTACATTGTGGCACAAGGCAGCATCCAGATGGACCCAGCCAAGGTCTCAGCTGTTACCTCCTGGCCTGTTCCGGAGAACCGCAAGCAGCTTCAGCGCTTCCTTGGGTTCGCCAATTTCTACCGTCGCTTCATCCGCAACTACAGCTCAGTTGCAGCCCCTCTCACCATTCTGACCTCCCCCAAGGTGCCCTTCCAGTGGTCTTCTGCAGCTGCAGCGGCCTTCCAGTTCCTCAAGGATCGGTTCACCTCATCGCCCATCCTCCTGATGCCTGACTCTGAACGCCAGTTTGTGGTCGAGGTAGATGCCTCTGATGTTGGGGTGGGGGCCGTCTTGTCTCAACGCTCATGCACTGACCAGAAGCTCCATCCCTGTGCCTTCTTCTCCCGCCGTCTATCCTCGGCAGAAAGAAACTATGACATTGGTAACAGGGAACTCTTGGCAGTAAAGATGGCCTTAGAAGAGTGGCGCCATTGGTTGGAGGGCACGAAGGAACCTTTTCTTGTATGGACTGACCACAAGAATCTGGAGTACATACGCTCTGCAAAAAGACTGAACTCTCGCCAGGCCCGCTGGTCCCTGTTCTTCGCCCGTTTCAACTTCACCCTCTCTTACCGTCCTGGTTCCCGCAATGTCAAGCCTGACGCCCTGTCCCGACAGTTCCAGAGGACAGAGGATTCGGTTGTTGGAGCTGAGACCATCCTACCTACTTCCTGTCTTGTAGCCATGTTGACCTGGGACATTGAGGAGAAGGTGAGGGCAGCCACAGAAGGACAGCCGGGCCCCAGTTCCTGCCCGTCTAACTGCCTCTTTGTTCCACCAGCCTTGAGGTCAGAGGTGTTACAATGGGCCCACTCCTCCAAGCTCTCCCGCCACCCTGGGATTCAACGGACACAGCATGCCCTCCTCCGACGTTTCTGGTGGCCCACTATGCAAGAGGACATCCGGGAATTCGTCAAGGCCTGTCCAACCTGCATCCAACATAAGACCTCCCGTCGGCCTCCTGCTGGGCTACTACAACCTCTTCCTGTTCCTCACTGCCCATGGTCTCACATATCTTTGGACTTTGTAACCGGTCTTCCCACCTCTGATGGTCACACTGTCATCCTGACCATCGTGGACCGCTTCAGCAAGATGGTCCACTTCGTGCCTCTGCCCAAGCTTCCCACTGCTAAAGAGACTGCCCAGTTGGTTCTGCTCCATGTTTTCCGTCTTCATGGTCTCCCTGTTGATGTGGTGTCAGACCGTGGTCCCCAGTTTTCTTCCGTGTTTTGGAGGGAGTTCTGCAGTCTACTGGGTGCTACCGCCAGTCTGTCCTCTGGATTCCATCCTCAGACCAATGGACAGACTGAGCGTATGAATCAAGAACTGGAAACAGCCCTGCGGTGCGTGGCTTCCCATAACCCCTCTTCTTGGGCGTCACAACTTTTGTGGGTGGAATATGCCCACAACTCCCTCATCTGCTCTTCTATTGGCCTTTCTCCATTCCAGTGTGCTTACGGCTATCAACCACCACTTTTTCCAGCCCAGGAGAAGGAGGTCTCCTGTCCGTCAGTCCAAGCCTTCATCCGTCGCTGCCGCAGAACATGGCTCCAGGCTCGCTCCACCCTCCTCCGTTCCGTGAGTCGGTACGCTGCCAATGCCAACCGCCGCCGTACTGCTGCACCTACCTACCAAGCGGGTCAGCAGGTGTGGCTCTCTACCCAAGACTTACCTCTCCGGGTGGAATCCAAAAAGATGGCTCCAAGGTTCATTGGGCCTTTCACCATTCAGAGGGTCATCAACCCTGTGACAGTCCGGTTGAAACTCCCACGGTCCATGAGAGTACACCCTACCTTCCATGTCTCCAAGGTTAAGCCAGTCCACAACAGCCCCTTGGTCCCTGCGGCACCACTACCTCCCCCTCCACGAATGGTTGACGGTGGTCCGGTGTATGTAGTGCGCCGCCTAATTCGTTCGCGACGGCGGGGTAGGGGTCTCCAGTACCTTGTGGACTGGGAGGGTTACGGTCCTAAGGAGAGATCTTGGGTTCCTGCTCGCCACATTTTGGACCCCAACCTCGTGGCCAACTTTCATCGGCAACATCCTGACCAGCCAGCCAATGAGTCAGCTCGTCGAGGAACCCGCTCCTTGCCCCCACCTGTCCAGGATGTGGAGGACCGTTCTGCGGGGGAGATGTCAGGTGTCAGAGAAACCCTCCTCCAGACCCCCTCCACCCACCCTGCTGAAGAGATGAAAAGGTCTTGCTCCCAGGAGTTTTAGGCCCACCTCCATTCCCCCCTGCCCCCCCCCCAGTTTAACCTTTGGGGATGTCGGGAGCCATCCCTTGAGGGGGGGGGGGTTCTGTAACAGTCTGCTCTGCCCCTCTCCTGCTCTGCTGCTCAGCCACACCCCTCATCAGCTAACTGCTTCCACCTGCTGCTCTCACCTGCTCATCATCTCCAATCAGGCCAGTATATATGCAGCTTCTTTCCCCTCACTCTTTGCCAGATTGTCTTCGCTCTCATGCCTGACTCTCCAGCGTTAATTCCCGGACTGCTTACCTGGTATCGACCTGATCTGCCCCTGACCTTTGCTTCTCGCCTCAGCCCCGGTAAACCTACCTGCCTTCTGTCCTTGACTACGAGCTTTGCCTGCCTGTTTCCTGCTATTCGTCTGCCTGCGGCTGAATGGCACTCAGCCTGTTCCTGCTCTGTTGAGATCCCCCTTCTCGTCAGCTTCACCTCGCCAACTCACCTCCTCTGCCGACGTTGGTTCTGCCAGCTCCTCTGCAAGCTCTGGATCCTCACCCAGTCCTCACCTGAACCACTCTCCAAGAAATCTTCCTCCAGCTGTGAGTTGAGCGTTTTCCCCTTCACTACACTCGTGGAGCAAATTAAGACTGTGGACAATTCCCTGCTCACGAGTCCAAAACTCTTGCCTGACCTGTGGTCCACTGCTAATCTGCTCGCCTATCACCCGGAAGACCCGAGTTCGAATCCTGCCATACCCACCTGCTATACTCTGCTGCTTCATTGGATTTGGTGTTCAATAAAGACTGTTGTTAAAGTGAACCTGCTTGTTTGTGCTGCAATTGGGTCCAGTCAATACCCGTTACACTGTCGGAGCTACAACATGAAGAGTTTGAGTGAACCATTTCTCCTGATCGAACCTCTTCTCTGAGGAACATCATCTGATCTTCCAAAAACAAACTCTAATCTCAGGTTCACTCAATCAAAGCTCATGCAGCTCACCCACCAATGGTAGCAGCTCTCTTCTTTTTCTTCTTCTTCTGTGGTGCCGGATCCAGCGGCTCGGGGGTCAAAGGTTCCCTGCTGTCAGATTGACTCTTATTGGTCATCTCCTCCATCTCCATGTCCAGAGCCACTGAAGGAGAGCAGAAGTAAACAGAGAAGGAGAGAAGATCATCTGCTGTCATCACCAAACCAAACCTTTGACTCTGCTGGAAAACCAGAACACAGAACTCAGAAATCATTCTCTAAAACCTGATCTGGGCGTCTGTTGGGGGTCACTGGTTGGGCTTCATTTTGGGGGTCTTGACCTTGACATCCGGTTTTATCCATGCAGGTCATTTCTGGCTTCAACAGAAGTCCAGACCAAAACTCTGGAAGATGTTCGTGTCAAAGTTAGATGCTAACCTTGTTGGTCCTCCTGCCAACACCTTTCTGTTTCTGAAGACCTGGATTAATGCGAGCTCCAGCACCACCACACCTCAGGTTTCTCATTGGCCTGAAGGTAGGAAGGTGGGAAGACCGGGACCACAAGTCTCAGGGGTCTTGGGATCTGCTGGAATCACAGGAAGCTCTAGTTTTCAGCTGATGACCCGAGACCCTGATGACTCAACAGCTCCCTGAAATACAACACTGGGACCGGGCGACAATCAAACAACGATGGACTCTGAAGTTTTTGTATCTCCAGAACCAGAACTCTGCAGATCAGCACAGATGAAGTTATGTGCCAACCTAGAGTCCAGTTCAGGGTCCCAACCACCTGAACTATGATTGGTCTTGGGTTTAAAGACTGGACATGAAGAGATGGTCTACAAAGATAGGGAAGTCTTGACCTGGATATCAGGAGATCCACTGACTGAACCAAAACCCAGAAAACATCCTCTCCCCTGGTTTACAGTCAGACCAGAGTCTGGATGTTGGACTCGTACCTTCTCCTTGCTCCTCTCCCACGCTGACCTCCTTCTTCAGCTTCTTCTTCTTGCTCTTGACGGTTGGCATGTTGGCGCGTTCCTGTGAGAGGATGATGGACAGGTGAAAAAGTCGATCACAGATCTCTAACAGACGGTAGATCTGAGTTTATGAGGATTTCTACTCAGGTCAGGGATCACAGTTTGACATGGATCTCACAGACGGAGGGCCGGATGTCGATGCTGATGTGAGATAATTGGATCAGTCTGAGGTTTGACGACAGGGAGGAGGACAGAGACTCAGAAACACAAACAGATGATAATGTGAGGACTGGTCTTCATGTTGGAATCACAGACGTGTCCTGGTCAGGGTTAGTATGAAGAAACCAAGTGTGGTTTCTTCATACTTGGTTTGATTCATCTGAACCTGTTCCTGACCTGACATACAGGGGGCTCTCTGCTCAATTTAGTTTCATTATGTTTGGGAGAATTTAAGGTCCAGTTCTTTTCCTTCAAACACCCTGACCCCCTTTTATATAAAACCATATCTCATCGTCGTGTCTCATCCATAGACTGTTTTTACTCTGGACAACTTGGTTACACCTTCCGCCAGTTTACCGATTTGAAGCCAAAAAGTTCTCGGTAATTCCGCGTTTTTTTTCTCCACTTCCTGAAACCAACATTGCGCAGTAGCGTTGTACGCATTCGGCACCACCCGCCCTTACAGGTGGGGAAAACAAAGAAAACAAAATTTAACTGAGTCTTCAAACGTTGAATCAGTCTTAAACCGATTTAAATCAATCTGAGGCCAGAATTCTCATTTCAGGGACTTCACTTCTGGAAGGACCACCGAGTCTACGCTCACTGTGCAGGTTCTGATCCACAATTCGGGTTTTTTGTCAAATCCGATCTTTTTGTGCGGTCGTTCACATTATGACAACGAATGCTAATGTGAACGGAATGCGTCGAATGGTGACGTTTGTCTCATATTGATGACGTAAAGGTCGGATAAACGCGACCTGAGCGTCCACACTGCAGTCACATCAGATACATATCTGATTTATATCCACATACAGAAGAGGCCTGGGTCGGATCAGAACCAATCAGAACTGACCTGTTCACACTTAGATGAAAACATCAGATATGAGTCACAGATGGTAAAAACATCAGAACCTGCAGTCTGAACGTCGACTAAGAGACGACAATTTAAGATTAAATGGGCACTTTATTGACAAATGCTAGGTGATAAAATAAATTCAATAAATGATGATCAAATAATGAAAATAGAAGAACACTGAATGGATAAAATGTGAGATTGATTTAAATCTGATTAAGACTGATTCAATATTTGATTACTCATTTAAAGCTTGTTTTCTTTCTTTCTCCCACAGGTAAAGGTGGGTGGCGCCCCCTTCAACGAGTGCATAAATGTCATAATTTAATCTGATTATTTCAGGACATTTATTATAAATTCAAAATTCTACATGACAGTGTCTCTTCAGGACAATCCCATAAATGACTTTCTATCATTAAAGCTGTGCAGGTTATTTTTAATGTTCCAAACATGTTGATTTCAAACAGAAGATCCCCACAGGTGTGTGTTATCGCTCACCTGTGCAGCTGATCAGGTCTTTGGCTGTGAGGAAACACTGCAGACAATCCACACCTGATCCTCCGTCTCAGGTCTTAGGGAGTCTCTGTGGACGGGCCTCAGTATTTAATCACAGCCCTCTCCTTTAGTCCATCCTCAGCAGGTTTAGGAACGGATTCAGGACTCCGGTCTGTCTGTGAGTCTGTCTGTGAGTCTGTCTGTCTGAATAAACCTGGAAATAAAAACTTTACGACCCCACAGAGACGAAGAAGAGGCTCAGCTGCAGCTCGGAGACCCGGCGCAGGTTTACTGCGACAGGTGGCACATGTCCTGAGCCAGAAGGGCCTACAGGAGCTCTGTGATTGGTTGATCGGCTGTGATGTCACCTGCTGGCAGAGCTGCAAAGTAGCTATGGATGCTAATGATCCTTCACCCTAATTCTACTACCAATCTTTTCTGCAACAGATCCAATCACTCTAAACTCCGCAGATCATCCTGACGCAAAATTAAGCCGAGCGGAGGTTAGAGGTTAGAGGTCAGAGGTCAGGTGGACTGATATGTTTAATGTTTGTGGGTTCACATTTGTAAAGGTGTCTGAATATTTTTCACACATGTCCAAACAACCTAATTCAGTTTAGAGTCTCAGTTTTTAGACACGATCATTCCTGCACATATTCCTAATATCGATCGTTATGCTGATGACTCTGTGTTGTTTGCATTTGAACCCTAAACTGAGCAGAATCACAATCTGTATTTTGGTTTAATTGACATCATTTGGACTGATCTCTCTAAAATGTTACCATCTCCAGTTCCCTCTTACAGCTTATCCTTTATTTCCCGTCTTTTACGAGCCGTGATTTTACTCTTATTTTAGAAATTTCAAACCTTTATCTGATACCTGCAGTTTTCTTATGCGTGCTCTTTCTTCTTGTATTTGAGAACAGCAGATTTATTAAACTAGAGTAAATAAAGAGAAGCTGATGGACGTGTGTCTGTGTTCTCAGTGGTAAAATCTAACGGTGCTGTAAACCTGCAGAAACGGAGCAGCTGTGTTGTCTGTGTCTGGAGATAAAGGTCAAAGTTAAAACCTTCACACCACAGAAACCAGGTCAACACAATGAATCCTATTACACACACACACACACACACACATATATGTACACAAAATACACACATGTGCACACACTTACCCTATAGTTTGAAAAACACAAAAAATGCTGCGATAAAAATGCATAAACTTTTATATTTCTCTCCCATTAATCCACGTGTGTTTTTCACTTTAATAAATGTGTTTGTTGCTTTTGTTTTTGCTGAGTTACTCTATAGAGATAAAAATCTGAGCTTTTATTTTGAAAGGATTCTTCTCACACAGGATCACAGACAGTATCATAGATATCTCTGTATTCGTGGTGTTTCTCTGCAGCGGCTCTGCTCAGGTCTGTATAGATGTCCATAAAGCTGAGTGTTGCATTAAGAGGAGAACTCTAATCCTCCTGTTAAATCTGCTGAGCTGCATCTGTGCTGGATTAACCTGCTGAGGAGAAGAGGAGGGGGGGGTGGTTTACAGAAACCCTCAGAAAATAATAAGAAGAAGACAAACACACTGAACTGATTTTTTCATCTTTAATCGGCACATGCAGACAGTTTCACTCTGGATCAGACTGGACCTGATGATCAGTGAGGCGGTTTGGACCTTTTTCTTTCAGGTCTCATTTCACCTTCATCCCTTCTTCTTCATGAACTGAGACGTCTGAATGAGTCCCGCTCTAACAGTTTTTAACTCATTTCAATCTATTTTAAAACTCTTTGAGTTCCTTTTAAGGATTTCTTGACACTTCAAGAGAAACTCTTAAATAGAGAACAGACTTAAAGGATCCATGTGTGCAAAGATGCCAAGATGTCAGTTTCAAAATCAGACACAGAAAAGTCATGAAAAAGAACATAAAGGGATTGGAGACATATGTTCTGTTTATTTAGTTTTCCCCTGATTTTATTTAAGTGCGTTTTTCCCTCGTGTTCCTGTTCCTCTGTAGTCCAGTCTTGTAAGATTTCAGTTTGACCCTGTTTCCCTCCTTTTATGGGTTCAGCTTCCAGTGTTTATTTCCTGTTTTATTTTGTAGGAGTTAACTCCTTGTTTATTTCCTGTTTTATTTTGTAGGAGTTGATTCCTAGTCACTCATCAGTCTCACCTGTGTCTCGTCTACCTCACCTGGTGTGCGTGTGTGTGTGTGTTTATACTTTCCTACCTATCCAGAGGGGAACTTGGCGTCGTAACACTTCCACCAGGAGGGGACCTCAGAGCCAACAGGGTCATTTTTTAGGTCCTCTCTTGTTCATGGTTTAAATCATGTTAAAATCATGTGTAACTCACTCTGGGGGAGTTTTTTTAATTTTAGCCGAGTGTGGACCTGAAGGTGTGTGAGTGTTTAAGTCCATGCGAAGCTGTCCCCCTGTTGGCTGGGGCGGGAATTACAACGACTTTTAAGCACATGTTGTTTGTGACCCCAGTTAGTCTCCTTGTGTTTTTTTCCTCAGAGTTTTTATTTGGATTTTTATATATTTGAAGAAAGTTTTTGTTGTTGTTTTTTTTCATTTAGTTCTTTTTAATTAAATCCTTTTGGGTCTTTTTCTTTGTTTAACTGTGCGGCGTGAAAAATTCTTTAAAACACTACAGGATCAATTTTTAACGTAACAGTGAAAGCATCGCACAGACCCAAATAATCCCCATAATGCACCTGTAAAACAGTGAGGTCATCTTATATCCTGAGTTCAGTGTTTAATAAAGTCAACATTGTAGTCAGTAACATGTTTGTTCACCATCTCAGCTCCAAAAATCAACGTTTTTTCAGTGAAATCCACTCTCTCTGTTTCTGTTTTTCTGTCAGCTCAACTTGACCTCTCATCATATCACCTCACTTCATTATATTCCCTCGTCTCCTTCTCTCCTTTCCTTTCCTCTACTCCTTGCGGCTCCAGCTGACGGGGATCCACCGCGGCTCCTCCTGCGCCTCCTGGATGATGGAGCAGAGCTGCATGCAGGCGTCCTGCAGGTCGTCGTTCACCAACACGCTGTCGAAGAACTGTTTGTACTTTAACTCGATCAGCCGGGACGAGTCCTCCAGGTCCACAAAGTCCTCCTCCTGCAGGACAGAAAACAGGAGAGGAGGTGACTGTGATTTTCAGTTTCCAGGGTTAATGCACTAAAGGATGCTCTTCTTCTTCCTCTTCTCACGTCTCCTTCACTGTTACAGAGTGTTTGAGTGTATTTACTGTCACAAAGATGATTTTAAGGTTAATGTCTGCAGAGAAGATGAAAAATGTCCAAAACTAAACGAATCAGCGTGGCGCTCTTACCGTGAACCCTCTGTTGACGGCGTAGTTGGTGATGATTTGTGCGTCTTTGCGGGTTTGTCTCAGTCGGTCCGGGCTGGGGGGTTTGATGAAAATCACGTAAGGCTTTAGTTTCTTGGTCCTCAGCGCCTGAATGCTCTGAAAATAAAAAAAATCTGGAGTTGTTTAAATGTTCATTTCTATATTTGAAGGTCTTTGCACGGACTCAGAAGTCGACCCGCTCGTGTTTCTTATTTCAGAAGTAATAAAAGTAGAAAAATGACCCTCTTTGGTTTTGATGGACATAATAAAGAAAAGAGGACATGAAGAAGACGGTGAAACTCACATGAGGTTCAACGTCGATGATGCTCATCCTCCCTCTCCTCAACACGTCGTCGATGGCATCGCTGCTCGTCCCGTAAAAGTGACCCCTGTACTCGCCGTACTCCACAAACCTGAAGAGATAAACCAGAACAGGACGGGAGAGGAAAGTGAGTCTGTGTCTTAATAATCAGGAGGATATCTGCATTTCTGTTTTCTCTCTGACGTTTAGATTAAAGTTAAGAAATAAATAAAAATTAATTAGTTACACAGAGTTTAAAAGAAACTTAAAAAGGTTTAATCTACCTGTTGTTACAGACCATGTACTCAAACAGCTCCTTAGTGACAAAGTGGTACTCTCTTCCACTCTGCTCCCCTGCTCTGATTGGACGAGTGGTGTCTGCAGATGAGAGGTGATGACCAATCAGAACAGGTTCATATTAATCAAACACTTCCTCTCTTGGCGTTTCAATGTTTTTTTACCGCAGTGAGTCGCTACTCACCCGATCCGTTCTGGGCTAGTGCAAATTTACTTCACCTTAAAAACTTTATTTAAACTACCGATCGATTTAGAAACAAGCTGGTGATGTTACAGGCTAGCTAGCAGGAGGATCCAGAGTTTCAGCTGAGGGATTCGCCAGAGTTCCTGTCCAGCATGGTGAGACCTTTCAGGGCCACAGAGAGCGCCACCATCCGGTCAAAATTTCAGCGTTTTTATACAGCGGACAATTTCAACAATGAAATATTCACATTCATTCAAGCCTTTTGATGGAGTAAGAACCTTTAATTGCGAAACTGGGCGCCATTCTCTTGATTTTACAGCGCTCTGCTTGAGTCGGGGGAAGAACTCCGCTCAGGAGAAAAGAAAAGTGTGGCTGTTATAAACTGAAGCGTCCTTTCTGACTGAAGCTGTCGAACAAATGTCGAAGCTGTGACAAAGACGGCTAGCAGAGGAAGTGACGTACGTTTTGTACATGAGCGGTACAAATCGGGTTTCCGGGACAGATCAGGTTGTGACATGTGTAACCAAAACAGACCACCTCTACAAGTTTGTTTTTTATCATTTATCTGACCAATGAGAGGCCTCCATGGATGTGCAGTATATAAAGCCAAACTTCCAAAAACTGCAGTACCCAAAGTGTCCACTAGGGTTTGACCCCTAAAGTGACTCAGTCCCATTTACATCCTGCTCCACAAGAACAGTGTGAGAACTTTTACAGGAGGTCTTACGGGGTACGGGTCCCTGAAACCGTGAAGGGTTGTGTCGGAGAAGTCTCCTCCTCAGCTCTGAAACTCCGACTCCTGAAGCTCCTGGAGGAGAAGAGGAGGAGGACACCAAACACAGGAACCGTCAGAGAACATGGAGGAAACTGTCCCGGTTTGGATCAGGACCTCAAGACCACTCACCTATGAGGATGATGAGGCGGTGGTTCTCCTGCGGGGGGCGCTGGTACAGAGCCACCTCCTCATACGGCGTGGACAGAGCGTTGCTGTTTGGCGAGCAGGAGGTGCAAGACTGTCGTCTCCTCCTGAATGAGGTCCTCCTCCACAGACGGAAACTCCTCCTGAAACCAGCTGATGAAGACGAGGAAAAAAACAGATTAAAGTCACAATTATATTAATAATGATAAAATGACGAATCTGTGATTCTGACCCACCGAACCTGAGCTCAACCCGACCAATCAGAACAACCGACCCAAACACCAACCCACCGTTAACACAAACTCTCCATCCATCCACCAACTAACAAACCAACCCACAATAAGAACCTCTGACCTAAACTTCGTCCTTACCGAGGTAGACCCCATCACTGATCTCAGATTCACTCTCATCTGCAGGAACAAACAGGAAGACAGTTTGTTAACAAAATAAAGTGTCATTTAATTTGTGATTCAGAGCTGTGGTTCTCAACTGGTGGGTCCTGACCCAAAATTGGGGACCAGCTTGTCAAAGAAGAAAATATTTAATGCGCATCTGTTGTTTGACAAGTCTTTTATTTTGAAAAATAGCTTATTTTGAAAAAGCACTTGTTATGTTGTGGTCCTCCTCAGTTTCTTATTAATGTGGCCTGAATGCAGAAAAATTACATGTCTTTTTTGTTGTTAGTTCTATTTTGTGCATTCTGATATTTGATATTTTCTGTATGTGTTACTTCAGTAGTTTGTCGTCCTCAGTTCATGTTCTCTGAAATGTATTTTACTTAATAAAACGGTGTATTTATGTCAAAGATTTTAGTCTTTGAAGGTTTTTTTTGTATAAAAAATAAATTTACTTGGTTTGAATTTTATAAAAGTGGGTCGCGACTGAAGGACCATGGGAAAATGTGGGTCCACTGATTTAGAGAACAGTTATTGCAGAGAACCAGTCAGAACGAATCCTCCATCAAAGTAAAATTAAATATAATATCAAATGTGTTTTTAATAATTTTTAAACATGATATAAATTCATGTTTTTTTCTGTTGTTAGAAATAAATGAATGAGTGAGTTTGATAAATGAAGGTTTGAGGACGACCAAATCAGACAAAACAAAGAGGGGGCGTGTGTTCGAGTGTTGTCCACCAGGGGGCAGCAAAGCTCTGCTGTTAATGCAGAGGTCAGTTTGTCTGGACTTTGTGAAGTTAAATAATAAAGAGGTAAATGTAGAAAATTAAAACTTTAAAACTCTCTTTTCTCATTCATGTCAGAAACTTCATCTGTTTAAAGTTTTCATGTGTTCACTCTCTCAGACGTGTTTTACCTGCTAACAGGAGTTTGTCGTCTGGAAGTGATTGATCGTCCTCTGAAACAGACAGAAAGGGTCACTTTAGTTTATTTTAGTTTATTTAAACACGTCCAAACTTCGCTAGAACTTCACTGACACTGACTTTAACTATCAGACAGTAAAACAACAAACTTACACTCAGAGCGGTTTCTATTTCTATGTACTGACTAAATGAAGAAAAAAACCTCAGTGCTACTTTAACATTCAAAGACACGGGGACATCAAACACAGAGGAGACTCTGGGATTGAGTCCAGATTATAATCTAACAAAACTACAGAGGAAATGAAATTATCACCATAATAATAATAATAATACCGTTATCAGGCATCACTGAGAGAGAGAGAGAGAGAGAGAGAGAGAGAGAGAGAGCAGGGTGAAGAGTGAAAAAGAGGAAAACATGAAGTTTTTATGGTACAGTCTATAGGAAGATAACACTGCCCTCTGCATGCAGAGAGCTGTAACTACACTTTAGGACAAACGCGCGTGTGTGTGTGTGTGTGTAATGTAATAGACTGAATGATTATTAACTCTTTATCCAAACACCGAACAGACTTTAGATTTTAGAGCCGGGCGTATCGTTCACATATGAGAACAGAGTTAGAGTTCAAATAAAAAGAGTTAAAAGACTGATTTATTTTATCACTTTAACTGCAGCGATCAATAACCTGCATGATCGACAGTCATCAATAATCAGATCAGAGGAGGAAATAAACACTGACTGACTGACTGACGGAGGACATGTGTGGGTGAGTGTGTGTCAGAGGGACTCACAGGGTCTGATACAGGTGTGGACCTGTAGAGGCTGAGACCACCACTGCTCCCTCTGTTTACTGTGGAGAGAGAGAGAGAGAGAGAGAGAGAGAGAGAGAGAGAGAGAGGTGAATGAATGAATGAGTGAATGAATGTAAAGGCTGACACCACCACTGCTCCCTCTGTTTACTGTGGAGAGAGAGAGAGAGAGAGAGGTGAATGAATGAATGAATGAATGAATGAAGGCTGACACCACCACTGCTCCCTCTGTTTACTGAGGAGAGAGAGAGAGAGAGTTGAATGAATGAATGAATGAGTGAATGAATGAATGAAGGCTGACACCACCACTGCTCCCTCTGTTTACTGAGGAGAGAGAGAGAGAGGTGAATGAATGAATGAATGAATGAATGAATGAATGAAGGCTGACACCACCACTGCTCCCTCTGTTTACTGTGGAGAGAGAGAGAGAGAGAGAGAGAGAGAGAGAGAGAGAGAGAGAGACAGGTGAATGAATGAGTGAATGAATGAATGAAGGCTGACACCACCACTGCTCCCTCTGTTTACTGAGGAGAGAGAGAGAGAGGTGAATGAATGAATGAATGAATGAATGAATGAATGAATGAAGGCTGAGACCACCACTGCTCCCTCTGTTTACTGTAGAGAGAGAGAGAGAGAGAGAGAGAGAGAGACAGGTGAATGAATGAATGAATGAAGGCTGACACCATCACTGCTCCCTCTGTTTACTGAGGAGAGAGAGAGAGAGAGAGGTGAATGAATGAATGAATGAATGAATGAAGGCTGACACCACCACTGCTTCCTCTGTTTACTGTGGAGAGAGAGAGAGAGAGAGAGAGAGAGAGAGAGAGAGACAGGTGAATGAATGAATGAATGAGTGAATGAATGAATGAAGGCTGACACCACCACTGCTCCCTCTGTTTACTGTAGAGAGAGAGAGAGAGAGAGAGGTGAATGAATGAATGAATGAATGAATGAATGTAGAGGCTGAGACCACCACTGCTCCCTCTGTTTACTGTAGAGAGAGAGAGAGAGAGAGAGGTGAATGAATGAATGAATGAATGTGTGAATGAATGAATGAATGAATGAACGAATAAACAAGTGAATGAATGAATGAACAAACCAACCGACCAACTAATGAATAGACGAACAAATGAATGAATGAACAAACGAAAAAATGATTGAATGAAAATATGAACGACTGAACGAACGTATGAGTGAGTTACTGAATGAATGAATAAACAAATGAATGAATAAATGAATGAATGAACAAACGAATATATGAACTAATGAATGAATTAATAAGTGAATGAATGAATGAATGAAGGGATTAATGAGTCAAAGAAAAGTTTGAACAGATGAATTCACCTCTAAATTAAGTTTGTCATTTTTGTTGAATCCTGAAAATGTTCTGCACTGATTTTTCAGGTTTTTTTAACCCAAACTTAAAGGTCTGTTGAACAGCTGCTAAAGAAAAAGCGTAATGATCCTTTAAACCTCTAAAGTACGTATCGTGTTTCTAATTCACCCTTTCATATCAGTCACCTTTTCAGCATGCTGGCAGAGGGAATCAAACCGGCGCAGGAAACAGAGCAGGGCATCTTCCTGGCCTGCCACCACCGAGCGTCCGACTGATCGACCACCTCCAGCAGGTCGCCCCTGCTTAACGCCATACCTGCATTAGGACAGGGGATGGAGGTGTCCTGCAGGGGGCAGTAGTCCACCATCGCCCTCATGTAGACCTGACACACAGATATAGAAGAAGAAGAGAAGTCAATCTCATTTATGACTTCTTCGTGTCTCCGTCTGTCAGGAGGAGTTTTCTCACCGACTTCTGAGAGCTGCTGCTCTGAGCGCAGTTTGGGATGACTTTGAACAGGATGGTCCCGTGAGAGTTAATCTGCAGAGACAACGACCAGAAAATGACTGAATCATGGTCGTCAGGGTCAGAAGTACGGGGGGCAGGACGATCGAAATAAATCTGACTGAATAACAGAGATCATACGAGAGTAAATCTGCAGAGACGAGAAAAACCAGAGCGTCAAAATCTGATCAAATCTAAAGTTCCTCAGAGGAGATTCGACCTACTGAATAAAAAAATAAAGGATTTCTGTCTGCTAAAATATCACCTTAAAGCATCAATATTAGAGAGAACAGTTCATCAGAGGTCAGAGCAAAGGTCTGTCTGTGTGGATTCTAGCACCCCCTGTGGAGGAAGTTTACAGTCCTGTCTAACGCTCTGGTCGTCTGACAGCGACCTGCTCTCTCTGAGTCGCTCATGTCTAATAGAAACTGATTTTTATTGGTTCATGTGACCCACCAGGATCTGAATGACCTGCTCCGGTTCCAGACCCACCACAGGGTTTCCGTTGACCTCCACTAACATGTCCCCAGGATGGAGGAGTCCTGCGACACAAACACACCTGTATTAACTCCGTCTTTTTATTCGACGTACAAACATTGAGAGTGAAGGGGGCGGAGTTTGATCTCACCGCTGCGGTCTGCTAACCCTCCGTGGATCACTCTGGCGATGTAGATCTCTCCCGTCTCCTCGTCCCTCCTGATGGTCGCTCCCTGCAGCAGACGGACATGAACTCTGAGTTTAGGAGTTTGTTTCTCTGAGTTTTTGTCAGAAATACTTTTAAAATGAGTCTGAATGAAAAAGAAGAAGGAAACAGAAACTGGGAGAATAACTGATGAAGGATGAGACGAACGACACGGATGACTGAAACCTTCAAAAGTAACCTGAAGGTAACGCATAGACCACGCCCCCTGTCCAGATCATGCCGTATGCAGACGACACCCTAACGTACGTGTCTCTGTCCTACTTCAGGACCTGGTGAACCTTTAATTCATTCATCAGTTTTCTTAACAAACAAAGATGAGAGTCTGTCCTAAAACGAGGAGCTGAGAAGAATCAAAGATGGTGGAGGATGAAGATGAAGATGAAGATGATGATGGTCTCTGAGTCAGGGGGAGCTGGATGAAGAGAGGATGTGGGTGTAGAAACAGACCTTCTCTGTACCTTCTTGTTCTTGTAGATATTATATTTTCTTCTTGATGAGATGAACCAGCTGACGTCCCTCAGAAGATGTTCTTGTGTTCACTGAAGGACCACGGTCCTGAAGATCTAAGTGTTGGTGATGGTCCACATCTGATCCTGGAGAACTTTGGAGAACGTTCATGTTTGGTCCACGTTCATCTCCTGTCTTCAGAGCAGACGAGGACAGAGCGGTGAGATGGTCCAGTCTACTTCTTCTTCTTCTTCTTCTTCTTCTTTGTGGTCAGGCACCCTGTGCTGTTGTGGACTTGTCGGACCTCCACTGGACCTCTGGGTACAGCTCCATTGTTGAGTCGGACCTGACCGTTACTCCTACTCACCGTCACTCTGTGGGCGGGGCCAAAGGTGAGCGCTGTTCGCCTGGAGCCTCCGTTTGTTGGTTTGGGACTTCTGGATGTTCCAAAGTCCTCCAAACTGCTGGATGTGGATGAAGAGGAGGAAGAGGAGGAGGAGGAGGAGGAGGAGGAAGAAGAGGAGGAGGAGAGATGTCGTGGGTAAGGTGTTGGAGGTTTTCGAAACACTCTTGGAGACAGTGAGGAGACCCTGAGTGGTGGAGTGGGAGGAGTGGACTTCTTGGACCTCGGTGATGGGGACGGCTCAGGGTTTTTGGTGGCCACGATGAGACCCTGAAGCTTGTCCACCACCTCGGTGAGAAGGTTCAGGGCCTGGGTGTTCTCCTCAGTGGTGTCTGTGATCCTCTCCGTCGCCATCACCATCTTCTGACCAAGATGGAGAACGTCCTGAGCGCCGTGTTCAGCACTGCTTTGAACGGTGGACCTGACTTCTTCAGCGCAGCACTGTTCGGTGAGATCAGGAGGCTGAGGACGGAGATGTTTGGATTTTAGACGCTTGGGTTTCTGTTGGTTTTGGCGTTCATCTGGACCCGAGGCAGCACCGTAGGGAACCAATACGGACGGTTCTTCTTGGCGTTTCTTAGACGATCTACTTTGACCTCCATGACGTCCAGCTGGGATCTGGAGGGTGCGTGTGGGGCGATGAGCTGCAGGGCTTGAAGGTGCTGTGTGAGCTCTGAGAAGGTTGGTCCCAGGACAAGAGGAGAGTCTGCCCGGAGTGGGGACGTTCCTCGAGTGCCCCCCCACAGCCCCCTTCTTATAGAGGACCGGGGAGTTCGGTAGGCTGAGACTGTAGGCCGGGACCGGAGGAGGAGGGTAGGAGTAGTCATCGCTGCTTCCCCCAGCTGAGGAACGCTCTTCTCTGAGGAGTTTGGGTTTCTCTGAGACGAGAGCTTTACGGAGGAGATAAAGAAAGAGAGTCAGTTTGAGACGTCACTGAAGAAGGAAGACGAGAGAAGGACGGAAAGATGGAGTGATGTGTGGAGGTGAAGAGCTGAGAGACGATGAGATGATGGATGATGAGCTGATGGACCAACAGGTTTGAGTTTTTCCACCAAGATGAAGAAAACTGGGATGTAAGACAGACGGATGACTGGTGACTTCATGGACCAGACGACTTCATGTCTTTCATTCCTTCCTTACCGTTACAGGGGGCGGGACCAAAGACGGAAGGAGCTGATTGGTTGAGCCTTTTCTTCTGGAGCTCTGCGGTTTGTGGACACAGACAGCAGCTTCCTGTGGACTCGTAGCGTGGGAGAAAAGGACCCGACTGTCCTCCTCTGTGGAGGGGCAAAGGCCTGACTTCACTCTCGGTCGCTCTAAACTCCTCCCCTGACCACGCCCTCCTCGCAGGAACAAGACGGTCCAGTGTAAAGCGGCGAAGCGTGCTCCAGCTACTACGGATCACTCCCATCCCTTCACCTAAACTTCCTCTGCGCTCTCCTCGGTTCTTGGCGGACAAAGACAGAGAGGATCTGTTTACAGTCCTGAAGTAGACGGGTTTGTTTTCATGATCAGCTGTTTGACCTTACGATAAATGACAGGAAGTTAGAGTCACTGTAGAAGTCTTCTTCATGACTTTACATTTAAGCAAAACAAACAGTCAGTCCGTTTCCATGACACTCGAGAAAACCGAATTATCGCCTTATTCCGATTAAGACCGGACAACTGAAGGTCATGTAAACACCTTAGTCCGACTGTAATCCGAGTTTGAGAACTTCGATAGAGACACCAGATAATGTGATTGGAATTTGATTTTCTCTACCATGTAACCAGCGTAGTCGGAGTATGATCAGAGAATGTGTGTGCGCGTCACGCCCCCGTAACCCCGGAACAAAAACACCAGAGAAGAAGAGTAGTGTTCGTCTCATCTGCAGTAAAGTAGCCACAACGCTCTGGACTTGGTTTACGATGAGGAGGGTTAAACTTGGACCCAAACGCACCTGTCCAAAAATCAAATCTGTCACTGATAGAAAAAATGAACTTTAGGATCAATCGTTAATAATCTCAGTCTCAGGTACGATTATTATTACTCAGAGAAACTTCAGCGAACAGAAGAACCAGAGATAAACGTTACCAGCGGTTGGTTGTTCTTCACCAGACAGACGATCCTCATGGCCTCCTCATCCTCGGGCATCTCATCAGGTAGAGGAGGTAAAACTGGGCCGTAGTCGGACTGAGCTACACTGTCATGGGATGATAGGAGGGCCTGAGGGACAGGTGACAGGTGTGAGAGCGTTAACTATGACTGAGGTCAGACTTCAGCTGGTCCTGAAGGATCCACAAAGAGCACACAGACCTGGATGTGAGGAGAGCTCAGGAGTGTGTAGAGTTCTCTGGCTTCAGCAGACGGACGGTGGACCTTCTGTATCGCGGCCATAATCTGATGGACACACAGAGACAAAGATGAAATGTGTTTAATTCTGTCATCTTTAAGTGTTCCTATTAAAACAGACTAACTCCCTAATCTCCACCTTCATCCTGATCGTCTCCTAAAAGGTTGTATCCTCCGATCGTAGCTGATCGTAACCATTCAAGTTAACATGTCAATTTACACGGCAGTTTCTGCCACGAAATTCGCCTCACAAAGGAAGGAATTGGCGCACGGCGAAAATTGCCACCGTTCTGGGTGAAAATTGGGGGTTTTGTGATTCACAGTTGCTACTTGAAATAAATAGTTCAATTAATGCCGCCGTTCCGGATCAGAGCCATTTCGGATGCGGTGAAAATTGTGGGTTAGACAGACTAACCTCATGGGAGAGCCCTGAGGCGTAAGGCAGAAAGGGTCTGGGTGTCAACCTCTGGAACTGCAACAGGCACTCATATATCTGGAGGGAGAAACAGGAAGTGATGTCACTGTTAAAGGTGCATGTGTCTGTTTGTTTGTTTGTTGGTGGGTTTTTTCCCCCCGTACCTTCAGCACAGCATGGAGCCAGGGGGCGCTCAGCAGCTCGTGGAGGATGTGGGCGCCGCCGATGTTTCTGTCCATGGCCTGACTGACGTCCTCCACCACGCTGGACAGAACCTCACTGACACCTGGACACACGAGGACAAGACCGGTCAGGACTCAGAGGGAGAAGATGATGTAGATGACAGATGAGTACATTGGTAGGACAAGTTGGGTGGACTCCCTACTCCTTAAAACTGAGGATGCAGCATCTATGATTTCAAGTTCTTTGTTAAAAGGACAACTGGACGTACTTGAGATGTTTCGCCGTCCAGTTGTCCTTGTCCCCCTTAAGTACAGAGATTTCTCTCGACCTTCTCTGACTGATCTGATGTTCTGCAGATCTGGAACAGTCTCTCTCAGATTGATGCTAAACTCAAACAGAGAAAATCGTGTTTTTTCTATGATTCCTACATCTCTACCCGACCATGACTGATCATGACTAAGACTAAGAGATGTGGAGTTTCCTCAGTGGGTCAGAAACAGATTAAATACGGTGTCAATGATGTTTAAAATCACCGCAGATGCTTTAGTTTCTCCTCCTGAGCAGAAGGTAAAAACAGACCGAGCGGATTAGGAGCCCTGACCCCGTTCACAGACTCTAATACCGTCTGAATTAGGATCCAGATTAAACTCAAATTAAGACCGTGTCTGGATGTTAGACCCGAGTTCAGAGGTTAGGTAAGAGGAACGATGAAAACATGAAATACTGGATGGACACATGAGTGCTTCTTCTTCTTACCGTCCTCCATAGCTTGTCTCATGGTGATGGACAGAAGAATAAAGGTGCAGTCCACTGAAAAAAACACACAACAAATAATCAGAAGAAATGTGACAGGACACGCCTCATCAATCATCTGTCCTGCTTTTATTGTGAAATATTCTGACTTGTCTCTATGTTGCCTCGTAAAAGGGTGCTTTTATTTTGAAGTAGAACAAAAAAGTGCTTTTATTTTGAAATAGAACAAGAGTGCTTTTATTTTGAAGTAGAACAAAATAGTGCTTTTATTTTGAAATAGAACAAAAGAGTGCTTTTATTTTGAAGTAGAACAAAGTAGTGCTTTTATTTTGAAGTAGAACAAAAGAGTGCTTTTATTTTGAAGTAGAACAAAATAGTGCTTTTATTTTGAAGTAGAACAGGTTCTAATGATTGAGGATCAAAACGAACGTCTGAAGAGTCTGAATGTTGAATTGATCGGTAAACTGAAGAGTCTCGAGCTTTAACAGCATTTTTTTATTCTCCATAAATGTTTAAAAGAGTCGGATCATTTTTCAGAGAGATGCTACAGTGAACTAAACACACGTCTGACACCTCTTCTTCGTTTATCGACCAACAAACAGACGTCTGTTACGAGCTCACAGTGTAATTCATGGGTGGATGTTCGGTGTATAAATGGATTTGAGTGGGTCACAGCTCTACATGGCCTCATCATCCCACTGAACTATAAACACAGATTAGACATCTAGTTTGTTTTAAGACCTGATTTCAACCGTCTAGATTCTGTATATTTTAAGCAAAATTAAGACAATGCACTTTAACCTGTTATTTGATAGATTATTGACAGAAGAAATCGCAAGAAATCGCAAGAACCTGCAGATTCACGTTTAATCGCACGATAACGAGTTGTCTCTCTAAAGACAGACACATAGACGTATAAGCAGTAGATTGTGTCCTTCCAGAGGAGGAAATCTACTTCTAGACTTCTAGCCGGATGTTTTATTTTGTGTCTGTGCCCGACTTCCTTTCCAGCACGGGTTAATCTGTGCTGAATTTATCCGCCATGCTCCGGCGTCCAGAAAAAATAGAACTCTTGTGATCAGCTGAGGAGTCCGGCGATCCGCAGAGGAACGGAAAGAAGTCGGTGTAAATTGACACGTTAACTTGAATGGTTACGATCAGCTACGATCGGAGGATACGACCTTTTAGGAGACGATCAGGATGAAGGTGGAAACTGATCTCCAAGTATTCAACCAAAATAGTAATGATAGCTGTTGAGCAGTATACAGCGTAGTTTAGACATAGCCCAGATTTAGACTTGGTCTAAATTTAGACGTCTAAGAAACTCTCATTTTCAGACCTGTGGTTGCCTGATTTTAGACCAGTCGTCGAGGCTACGTTTAGACGTCTATTAGACCAAAACATGCTCAGTGGGGTGTCTGTCTGTCAGTCTGTGTTCATGAGTCTGTAGTTCTGTGTCAGCAGAGAGTTAAAGAGCTCAGGATATTTTGGTTCTTCCTCCTCTCATGGCAGCAGCAGCAGCAGGTTAGTGAATGTGGGCTGATTTCAGGTTACGTCTTTAGCTCCTTATCTGTCCTCAGCTCCTGTCTCTGATCTCACTTTCCAAGAGGAGCTTTCACTTACACACACACACACACACACACACACACACACACACACACACACACACACACACACACACACACACACACACACACCTGAGAGTCATTAAAATTAGACCCACACATTACCACGCCTCACAGACACTTGGAGATGCTGCAGGAGTTTGCCGTCAAACTTCAGTTCTGAGGTTTGTCCAGGTGAACTGTTAGAGCAGCACAGGTGAGGTCAAAGGTCAAACCAATCAGGACATTTTCAGGGTGTAAAACGATCAATTCAATCAATGGTCCTGAAATGACCGTCTGTCTGAAGAAGGCCGACCAAATGTTTTCATGCATGAGTTCATAAACGGTTTGTTTAAACTGGTTTTCTACTTCCTTCATGTGAAGCTGAGGAAACAGTTTATCAATAAAAACCTTAAACCTAAAGTTTTACTCCACTGTGGGAGTTTTGAGGTTTTCCTAAAACAGACAAAGTTTCTGTGGACAGTATCTGACGTCGAGTCATCTGAGAAGAAGAGTTTCTGTTAAATTAGAGGTGAGGGTGGACAATGATTCGGTTTGATCAGCTCTGATTATTAATCAACTTATTTTTTAATTCTGTTTTTGATTTCTGATGATTTCTTTGATTTCTGTCCTCTTTTTCGGAGGCCGTCCGTCCTTTAGTCCAGAGGAGTTTATAAAATCCTTCAGACGTCAAACGCGGTTTCTTACGGAAGTTTAGAGTTTGTGTTGCGTGGACTTACTGAGTTAAAAAACACTCGACCCCACCTGAAAAACTCTCAAAATTTACTACATGCGACCCCGTGACAACACCTCTGCATAGTCGTGTCTTCTTTTTGGGGATTCAGAATATGGTCACCCTACAAACGATGTCATTGGCTCAGACTGGAAGGAAACAGGGCGGCCATCTTTGTAAAACCTGAATTAAAGACGAGAACACGAGAAGAAGAAGAAGAAGAAGGAGGAGGAGCTGCTGGTGAGCTCGCTGTAGTCAGAGCTCGTCCTCTGTGGGTAACTAATTTATATTTTTAACTTCTTTAACTGGTTTCATTCAGCTCTGTCACTAAGGATCAACCAGGACTTCAAAATAAAAGCATAGTTTGATAAAGTGTTGAAAGAAAGACAGAAAATTTTCACAATAAAAGCCAGACAAACACAGTGGGGTGCCGCAGCTCAAGGAAGAACATTTATGATCATTTCTTTTTCATTTCCTTGAAGTAATAATCATCATATTAATCATTTTACAGACGCGGTAGTTCTTCTGTCTTAGCGTCTCGGTCTGATTGTATTTCCATGAAGAAATGATCATAAATGTTCTTCCTTGAGCTGCGGCAACCCGCTGTAGTCTGTAATGGACTGGCCTGAGGTCCTGTGTATTGGTATCCGGTGGTCTCTTCATGAAGAAAGTTTATAAAGTTCTGTCCTGCTCGACTCTCACTGAGTTCTTCTTAAATATGGAGCTAAAATCATTAATAATATAAAACTCTGATTCAGTCTCTGTTGGTCCTCTGACTTCTTGTGAACCATTAAATTATTCTTTAGTTTATTCATGACCACTAACCACATTACATCATCTTACCTGTGTTAACACGTAACGCTCAAACGTCAACGTGTTAACACGGTCAACTCTAACGCCATTAACCTGTCACCCTGTCAGGAAGGAGGAGGCCAGTCCGTCAAACAGGAACACAAACACAGAACTGAACATGTCAGACTAACTCACCGCCTCCTCTTCTCTGTCCTCCTCTTCTCCGTCCTCCTCTTCTCCGTCCTCCTCTTCTCCGTCCTCTCCGTCCTCCTCTTCCTCTGGTCCAGTTTCAGACCCTGAGTCGGTTCAGTGAATCAGCAGGGTTTAGCGTGTCAGTGGCGTCCAGCGGTGACTGACATGGATGTGATTTTACTACCAGACCAAAACAGACTCTAATCCTCTCTATCTGACCTAATCCACCAATCACCAACCTCCACCCACCACCTCCACCTCCTCCTGCCTCATTCTTCTCTCATTCTTTCTTTCTTCAGTAAAACTCCTTCTTCTCCTCCTGTCAATCACTCCTCCTGCTCCTCTGCTCCTCACTCTCTCACTCTGTCATTTCCTCACCCATTCATCCTTTCCTCGCTCTCTCTCTCTCGCTCTCTTTAAGTACCTCAACAGATCACAAAGCTTCTTAACTCTTTGCTGCTTTTAGTAACTCACACATGCACACACGCACACACACACACACACACACACACACAGCAGGAAACACAGTGTTAAGAGCGTCACACACAAAGACACAATAACAGGCGAGGCTTTAAATCCTGCTGCTGCAACATCTGGGTCTTCAAGAGGACAGCCATCAGCAGCTGTGTGTGTGTGTGTGTGTGTGTGTGTGTGTGTGTGTGTGTGTGTGTGTGTGTGTGTGTGTGTGTGTGTGTGTGTGTGTGTGTGTGTGTAACACAGGGTAATAGTCACAGGGTCACCTCCTCCTCCTCCTCCTCAGAGATTAATACTGATCCTTCAGAAAGTGACAGAAAGAGGACGCACAGACAGACGCACAGACAGACAGATGTAAGGAAACATGTCCGCCATCAGAGGGACCATAACCTAGATTTACATGTATGCAGAATACAGGACACACATCTAGGAGGTCACCGTCTACGTCTGTGTCTAATGCAGCCTGCTAACAAGGGTGACCAGGAGGTTCTCCTGTCAGTGTTGTAGTAGAGTCTGGGTCGGGTCCCCTTTATCGGTCCTGTTACTGATCAAAATAAAAAATGTGACTCTAGACTCTTCTGGATCTGGACTGACCATGTAAAACCTAAAAGGTGATTTAATGATCAAAACCAGACTCTGATGGATCTTGACTGTGAGTCTGGAGCAGGCGGGAACCTCTTAGTTTGGAGAAATAGAGAAAGTGCAAAAATTCTTCAAACTGCAGTTCCAAGAGTGTCCACTAGAGGCTGTCGAGTGGACGGAGGTTAGTTACACACGAAAACTTAATTAAACTAGTCAGAAAAGTAAACAGCTGGTAATAAAACCAGGCTGGATGGATCCTTCTGGTGTTGTCTTTGAGAAAAAAAAATAGATCTTGAGTTAACGTTTCGTCACCCTATTAAAATAACGGACTAAATCATTTTTGACGAAAATGAGTTTTAGATAATTTAGAGATGATTTTGGCCAAAAACTCATTTTTGTCAAAAAATGACTCAGGCCATTATTTTACAAGACAGAGTATTAGGGCCACACTAAAATATATATATGTATATACATATATATATATATATATATATATATATATATATATATATATATATATATACATATATATGTACATATATATATTTTAGTGTAATATTAAATATTTAAATATTAAAACTGGACACTAAACTGTGCTTTAAAAATAAGACAATTAAATATGTTGAATGAGTAAAATAATCTTTAATTAACTTCTACATGTTAATCTCAGCCTGTAAAAGAGGAAGATCTAAATGAAAGGCTTTTATTTTGAAAGATTAAAATCCGTATTTTCACATGTTCATGAGTTTAAACTCTCCTCTCTGGTTTTCTGGTCACTAAACTCAAAGATGAAAATATCTCATCATCTAAAGAGAGTAGAGGTGCTCTCAGAGGACATGAGGACAGAGAAAGTTAAGGTGGTTTCATGGTTTCATCAGTTTGTTTGTGATCAGCAGAGAAACTTTCCTGACGGAGCGTCTCCTGAGTGAGCTGACGGAGGACCGCTGGGTCATCATTAGGAGTGGGCTGACCTGCTGCAGTCTGGCCTCTCCCCTCAGAGACTCCTGTTTACTTCAGTTAATCACAGGAGACACTCTGGACTCTTCTTACAGTCAGATTACATGAGCAGGATTACACATTATTACTGCTGTTATCCAAATACATTCATTAATGCTAATTAGAATATACTTGTTTTCTCTCTTCTCCCTCTGAGGCTCTTCTAATGTGATCATAATAACAACACACACACACACACACACACACACACACACACACACACACACACACACACACACAGACAGACACACTCCCTGAAGTTATGGTGAACTTTGTTAAATTTTAAAGTAGACATGTTGTTTATTGAAAACTGTTTCAGTCAAACGTAAAGTTCATTATTTCTGTAATTGTTATTTTTAATGATCCAAAATTCCACCAGAAACTTCATCATGGCAGAAAAATATACAGGAGTAATAATGATAATAATAATAAAACATTTTATTTATAGGCACCTTTCTGGACACTCAAGGACACTTGAGTCGTTCAGTGAATAACCACTGTTGGGATGGTTTTTTAATGACCCTTGACCTTTGACCCTGAATAGATCCAGGTGTTTTACATACTGACACATATTAACCCAGTCTGAAGCAGGTCTGATTTAGGTTAATGTAAGAGGATGATAACAGACTGTATGTCTTTACTCTGTACTGTTTGTGTCGTTCATGGATGATTCGTTCAAAAGAACTGCTGAGAAGCACTGACTGATTCAACTCTTTTGAACGATTCATTTCACTCTGATTGGTTCCTCTGATTAATGATCTGACTCAGTGTGAATAGAGAGTAAATGTGGAGGTCAGGAGTCGAACCAGTGACCGAATGAGTTACAGCAGATTTAAATATTAAAACTGGACACTAAACTGTGCTTTAAAAGTAAGACGATTAAATATGTTGAATGAGTAAAATAATCTTTAATTAACTTCTACATGTTAATCTCAGCCTGTAAAAAAGGAAGATCTAAATGAAAGGCTTTTATTTTGAAAGATTAAAATCCGTATTTTCACATGTTCATGAGTTTAAACTCTCCTCTCTGGTTTTCTGGTCACTAAACTCAAAGATGAAAATATCTCATCATCTAAAGAGAGTAAAAATCATCACACACAGACACAAGTTTATTTTTATAAGTTTAATATTGAAGTTTCTTTTATAACTCATGAACCTGCAGGTATAACGTTACAACAACAAACAGACATATGTGATCATATATAACAATAAAAAAGAAATATAAAATCTATAAATCCGCCTCTTCTGAATGTTTAATTCATTATATTCAACAGTCTAACCTCATAACAGCTGATTATCATGTTTCTCATGATCAGGGTCGAGTTATCATATTTGGTTCATTTCCTGTCTCCTGTGTGTTTTATTTTAAAGTCACCGTCTCTGTTTCAGATGTCTTCCTGTCTCTCCTCACACCTGTCTCCCATCATCACCTTCATCACCTCTCGTATTAAACCTCTCGTGTCTCTCACTCTCAGTTTGTTTTACTTTTGCACTTCTCTTCGTTATTCATCCTGTCAGTTTTTGACCCTAATGTTTCGGCCTGTTATTCTGAACCTGGACTCTTAATTAACCCGTCTGTTACCTGCTGGATCCTCGGGTCTGTACTTCACTTCCTGACACATATAAATAAATCTGTATTAAAGCCAAAGACACAGTAAGAACACACATTAAAGTAACTTAAAGTCTGTAAAACATCCACAGATTATCATTGATTACTGATTCGTTCTGACCTAACAGAAGAGCCTCCTGAGGTGTTTGTATATTTCCGTCATTTTGAGCCCGTATATGATCGGGTTGATGAGCGGATGATACAGAACCACCTGTAACGTCATCATTAAGTGAGCCGTTTTGGGAATATTTGACTCCAGTCTGACGATACAAACATCGAACGTGAAGAAACAGGAGAAGTTGATTAAAACCATCAGATGTGGTAAACAGGTCTGTGCGGCTTTGACTCGGACCTCTCTGCAGCTCTGATAGGAGATGAGGAGGATCCTGCCGTAGGTGAAGAGGATGAAGAGCACGGGTAGGAGGCCGAGGTTAAACAGAAGCACCATGCCGTAAACGGACAGCGCTTCAGTGCGAACGCAGAACAGACGGTACAGAGAATTGTTGCAGAAAATCCCTCTCAGAGTTAAATTACAGAGCTCCATGTTAAAGTTCACAGCGACCGCTCCTGTCACCTCACAGACGGGAACAAACCAGGCCAGAACCAGGCAGACGTTCACTGTCGTCTTCTTCATGATGGCTGCGTACTGCAGAGGTTTACATATCGACACGTACCTGTCGTAGGCCATGGCCGACAACAGTAAGAACTCCGAGTAGGCCACGATGTAGTACGAAACAGCTTGGAAGAGACAGGCGGCGTAAGAGACGGTTTGTTTCTCGGAGAAAGTGTCGATTAAAAGTTTGGGGTAGATGATGATGCTGAATAAAACCGAGTTAATGAGCAGAGCGGCGATGAAGGTGTACATGGGTTCATGTAGGTTTGGATGTTTGACGATCAGGAAAATAATGGAGGAGTTACAGCAGAGGATTAACGTGAAGACAGCGTAAAGAACCACACAGTAAACATATCTGTACTTATCCATGTCCACATACCCACCCAGAGTGATATAACTGACATTCAACGCCTCGTCCATGGAGAGGGTCGACGTCAACACCACTCAGTCTAAAGGTATCTGGACCACTTCAGATTCAGGACCTCTCAGTCCGGTCTGGAGCTGACAGGTGGAGCCCCCTCATAGTCCAGCTCTGTCATTAGGAGGCAGGCAGCACAGTTTTTATCAGACTCTCCCCCTCCCCAAAGATCTCATTAGACCGTCCACTAACAAGTAAACAGCAAACTCTGGAGTCCGGGTCCTGATAATTATCATTCCTCTTAATACTTAAAACTTTCTTTTTATTAAACAGTAAAAACAGTTTCTGGTCTGAACGGTTCTGTGTTGGATTGTCCGAGTAAAACAGACATAATCTGAGCGGGTTTTTAATCTGAGCTGGTCAGGTTTCTAAATGTGGTCTTATAAGTTACAGTATATTAAGAAATTATTAAATATTGTTATATTTATTGAGGCATAGGTTAAATTTGTTATAATTCACACCAACTGAGACTTTCTGTGAGGTGGTGAAGAAGCAGGATTTGACCAGAGAGAACAACCTGTGGAGGTGTTTGTGTGTTTCTGTCATTTTGAGTCCGTACATGATCGGGTTAAAGAGAGGATGATATAAAACCACCTGTAAAGTCATGATTCAGTGTGCCGTTTTAGGACTATCTGATTCCAGACGAACTATAATGATATCATAAGAACACAACAAGGTGAAATCAACTAAAACTAACAGGTGGGGTAGGCAGGTCTGAGCAGCTTTAACCGGACCGCCCGGTGACCTCTGGAGGAAATAATAAATATCTTTGCATATGTGAAAACGATATATAGTACAGGGAGGAGTAAGATATTCAACAAAACAATCACACCGTACACAGCGGGCAGTCCGGAGCTCACACAGATCGTAGTCGAGCCGGCTAACTGACATAATGGTCGGACACCGCAGAGGTTTACAGATAGACACGTGTCTGACGTAGGCCATGGCGGCCAAGAGCTGCTGTCTGCTGTGACACAGTTGTTTGATACTTGGGGCTCTATTTTCATGCCTCGCCGGTGGTGCGGTGTAGGTGTGGCATAAGTCAGGTCCATCGCGCTGACAAGGCGTGTCCGAGCAAATTTTGGTATTTTGGTGAGCGGCTCAGCCCGGCGTAAGTATCCCCCCTCCCTAACTCAGCTCCTCCCAGTGGCATCAGTCATAGAGAGAGAGGAGAGAAGGCGTGGAGTGGATTTAACATAGTCGAGACCTGTTTTCACCAATCACATCAGCTCCTCTCCTCACCTTTAAACCCGCTGCCGGCGAGGCGTTTTACAAGTTTCATGAAGTAGTCAGAGAGATCAAGAAACGTCTGAAGACAGCAACGCCACACGATGGCGACAGAAGGCAGCCCCTCAACAAGTGTCGCTGTAAGTGCTGCACCACTGTGTGGGGTCTGCTACCGTCCGCTGCGCCGCCAGCGGGCACGAAAATAGAGCCCCTGGGTCTAATTCAGCTCATGATTGGCTCAGGCCCGGAGAAACTCCCCTTTTTATATTGGCTGTTCGTATAGTCGACCAAAACATGACAGAATGACGACTATTGAAAAGGATATTGATGTTTTATTTTGATATTAAGGGAAATTAATTTTTGATGTATATCGTTATCGTTTTATCGCCCAGTCCTACTCCTGGACAACCAAAGTGTTTAACTTAGTTATTTATATTTTGGCGGCTGTGCTCCCGTGTCCCCGGAGAGGAAATAAAGAAAACATGAACTTCAGTCAGAGATGAAACGACACGTTTGACTTTAATGACCTGATCACTGTGATGAAGTTAGTTTGGACTGAGAGTCTGATCAGATCCTTGGGGGCGGAGCGATCTAATAAAAGAGCGACCAAACTCCGAGCGTTCGCCTTTACTACCTCTGAGGACGGACACGAGTTCAGGAGTTCAGGAGGTCTCTCTGCGTTCAGACACCTGTCTGCAGTGATGTTCTAACAGAAATGTTAGAGTTGTGTGTTTTCATCAGTGTGTCGTGTTTGTTGGGTGTAAGCTGACTCTCATGGATGATCATCTGAATGTGACGTACATCACTTTAAACGGGTATGTGGATGTTCAGAGGTTCAGGTATCTTTACTTCTTCATGATGATGGCGGTTTATTTTCTCATGATCTCTTTTAATCTGACTGTGGTTTATCTGATCTGTTCACACAAACGTCTTCATGAACCCATGTACGTTTTCATCGCAGCTCTCCTCCTGAACTCGGTCGTCCTCAGCACTTCTGTCTATCCGAAGTTTCTCATCGACTTTTTATCAGACAAACAAAAGATCTACTATCCAGCCTGTCTGTTTCAGTTTTTCATTTTTTACTCGGTGGGCGGCTCAGAGTTCCTCCTCCTGTCAGCCATGGCCTTTGACAGGTACGTGTCCATCTGCAGACCTCTGCAGTATCCGACCATCATGAGGAAACACACCGTCTGTCTGCTGCTCTTCTTCGCTTGGCTTCTTCCTGCTTTTCACATCGCCATCCCAACGATACTGAGCGCTGAAGCCAAACTCTGCAGGTTCTCCCTGGAGGCCATCTTCTGTAATAACAGCATCTACAGACTCCAGTGCGTGAGCTCTCAGGTAATCTCAGTTTATGGCGTGGTTTCTCTGGTCGACCTCGCTCTCCTCCCTTTCCTCTTCATCGTTTTCACCTACACTAAAATCCTGGTGGTGGTTTCTCGGAGCTGCAGGGCGGTCAGGAAGAAAGCAGCAGAGACCTGTCTGCCCCACCTGCTGGTGTTGATCAGTTACTCCTGTCTGTGTGCGTACGACATCAGTATCGCCCGGGTGGAGTCCAACTTCCCCAGAACTGCCCGCTTCGTCATGATGTTACAGACTGTTTTTTACAACCCTCTGTTCAACCCGCTGATCTACGGGCTGAAGATGAAGGAGATCTCCAAACGTCTGAGGGAGCTGTTCTCTCCTGTGTGTAGATACTGACCACATGAACGTTCATGTGTTCATACGACTTCTTCAGAAGTATTGAACTGTGATGTTATGAATGTCTGATCAGCTGGGTGACAGGATGAAACCATCAGGTGTGATTTTACTGAATCAAACATGTTTTTACAGCTGAAGGAAAGTTTCTTCAGAATTATTATAAAAATAAAATGTTTGTTTTTTTCTCTCTTGTTTCAGTCTCCAGGTTCACTCCGTCTTTATTTGTCTCAGATGAAACAGCAAAGACACGTCAAATATCAGTACATGTCCACTCTCAGATAAAAGATACACACCTTAGAGTTTACTGAAGAGACACAAAGAAGTGTCCGTTTTAGTCGGTTTATTTTAATCTGCAGTTTAGGGAGGGTAGGGTAACTGTTGAATATTTTAGGAACTAACATCCGTGACCTAATAGAGCCGTAAACTTTTCCACTTCACTTTTTCTGGACTCTGTCTCTCTGCGGGTCATGGTGTCTGTTATAACCAGTGTTCAATAAACGATCGTTCATGAACTCGTTCATATTTCGGGGAAAACTTGAACGCTTCGTTCTTTGTTTGCGTCTGAACATGTTGGTGTTAAACGTGTTCATTCTGGCGTCTAAACTCCGTTCACAGGTGTGTCAGATGTCCAGAGTCTTTCAGGTGAAACTCCGGCTAAAACACGCCGTAAACAGGCCTTCAAATTTAGGGGACAGCCGCCCAATCAGGCAACAGCAAGCAGCCTGTCTGTCACTCCAATAAATACGTCAGTCGCACCTGCTGCCTTTAGTCTTTGCGTGTGGAGTTATTGATTTTATAATTGATCAAATTCGAAGTTTTTGATAATCACTGTGTCCTTCCAGAGGAGGAAATCTACTACTAGACTTCTAGAATCAGCATCTCCTCATCCATGGTGTCATCGGGGTGAAATGACGTCTAAAAACCTTTCACTTGTTCGTCTCCGCCCGTTTGCATGGTGTGAAATACGATCCTCCTGAAACACGTGTTGTTTTATTTTGAAAAGAAGCCGGATGTTTTATTTTGAAAAGAAGTCGGTGTAAATTGACACGTTAACTTGAATGGTTACGATCAGCTACGATCGGAGGATACGACCTTTTAGGAGACGATCAGGATGAAGGTGGAGATTGGGGGTCAGGATTGGAGATGCTTTTAGGACTCTTCTTTTCATTTAGAATAACAGGATCAGAGCGGGTCGGACACGAAGGCATGCTGCAGTAAACTCAGACGCCTCTGAGTGTAAAAGTTCAGATTGTTGAGTGAAGGAAGTTCAGCGCTGACAGTTTCAGCCTCCAGAGTTTTGTCCCTCAGTTGTTCACGTGGTTTTGAAGGTGGACCCTGGAGGGTGGAGAGATCTCCTCTATAAAGGATCCGTCCTCCCTGAAGCCTGACAGCCTCTTCAGTCCAGACATGTGGAGATCAGATGTAGGTTCCTGTTCCTGTTAGTTTGTGGAGATGATGGACTCGGTCTGTTTCTGTCAGTGTTGGTCTAATTGAGGAGCTTCTTCATGGACGCTCACTTTAATCAAACGGTCATCACCCTCGGAGGTCATGTGGACGTGAACAGATATAGATACCTTTATTTCTTCATCATGCTGACAGTGTTTATCCTCATCCTCTGCTTTAACATCACCATCGTCTTCCTCATCTGTAAACACAAGAGCCTCCATGAACCCATGTACGTTTTTATCGCTGCTTTACTGCTGAACTCGGCTCTTTTCAGCGCCGCCGTCTACCCCAAGTTTTTAATGGACTACATGTCTGAGAAGCAGATCATCTCGTACCCGGCCTGTCTCTTCCAGTTCTACCTTCTGTACTCCTTAAGCGGGTCGGAGTTCTTACTGTTGGCGGCCATGGCCTACGACAGATACGTGTCCATCTGTGAACCTCTGCGGTACCCGACCATCATGAGGAGAACCACCGTCAGTGTTTTCTTGGCTCTAGCGTGGCTCGTACCGGCCTGTCAGACAGCCGTGTCGGTGATCCTGAGCGCCGAGATGAAACTCTGTAATTTCACTTTAGAGGGTGTTTTCTGTAATAATCTGATTTACGCTCTCCACTGTGAGAGATCCACAGCTCTGTCTGCGTTCGGCCTTTTCGCTCTGGTGGATTCTGGACTCCTCCCGATGCTCTTCATCCTCTTCACCTACACCAGGATCCTCCTCATCTCGTATCGCAGTTGTAAAGAAGTCCGTAAAAAAGCCGCACAGACCTGTTTGCCCCATCTGTTGGTGTTAATCAGCTTCTCCTGTTTCTGTGCGTTCGATATCCTCACAACTCGAGTTGGAGCGGATTTTTCCAAGACTGTACGTTTAATAATCACCTTACAGGCGGTTTTATACCATCCGCTCTTTAACCCGATCATCTACGGACTGAAAATGAGAGAGATCTCCAAACAGCTGAGGAGACTCTTGTGTCAGGCTCAGGTTTGCTCGTGTATCAGGTGATTTTAATCGTATGAATGATGTACCCACTGTAAGGTGGTTTAAAGGGTCTCTGATATAAAAATCTGATGCTTTCTGTGTTAATGTTGACTCACTTAAGATGCTCATGTTGTTGAGTCAGCCTTTCATTATGGTTCTCTGAGTTTATTATATCATTAACAGATATTTGGTGCAGTTGAATGAAACCATCTCCACAAGTTTAGACTCCAGAAAAAGTCTAAAATATGCTTTAATAAAGTAATATAAAGTGATCTTATAAATGACATTTGCAGCTTTATTCATCGGCCTCTTCACCCTGAACTCGTTACTCTGAATAAGATAATATAAACTAACGATCTGATGTCTAAAGACAGTCAGTATGAAGGTCAGCTGTCCTCGTCTCTGCAGGAGGAAGAACAGCCTGTCTGAGTTACTGATCACATGATGAGCTTCAGCGACGACGTGAACATTTTTCACTTTAATGCAATAAATACACTTTATTTTCCACATGCAGACAATGGCTGCCCTCTCTCAGCATGTGTTTGTTTTACATGTGAGATGGTCATCGTCAGATAATAATAATAATAATAATAATAATAATAATAATAATAATAATAACAATAATAATAATAATAACAATAATAATAATAATAATAATAATAATAATAATAATAATAATAATAATAATAATAATAATAATAATAATAATAATAATAATAATAATAATAATAATAATAATAACAATAATAACAATAACAATAATAATACTAATAATAATAATACTAATAATAATAATAACAATAATAATAATAATAACAATAATAATAACAATAATAATAATAATAATAATAATAATAATAATAATAATAATAACAATAATAATAATAATAATAATAATAATAATAATAATAATAATAATAATAACAATAACAATAATAATGATAATAACTTTATTTATTTGGCACTTTCAAAAACAAGAGTTTACAAAGCGCTTTAACATGCAGGAAAACAAAGAAGATAAAAACAACAACGAGAGAACACTTTGGGGAAATGACGCATTACTGACAATAGAGAAATAAAATAAAATAAAATAAAGATTGGTGGAAGACGTAAAAGCTTTTATAAATGTCACATGAGCCGAGAGGACGTTAAAATAAAGATATAAGAGCCCATGATACCCAAGAACCAACACAGAAACCTGAGACCAAAAGAACGATTATAAAACATTTATAAACACTTTATAAATTATGTTTTTTGTAAACGATAAACAGATATTTCATTAATGTTTAATCTTCATTTATAAACAGCATATAGACCAATTATAAATGGCTGATAGTTTATTAATGTAAGTTAATAGTTACATTACCATCAACAAGAAATGAAATTATGATCAATAATTTTCATTAATTATTATTAATAGACTATTCATTAAAGGTTCATATAGAGTTTAAATGTTGGTTGTAAAACATCTAGATTAAAATGTGTGTCAGCAGCTCTTTGTAAATGTTAATATCTGGTTTATAAACCATCTATAAACATGAATTAGATGATTATTGTAAAGTTAGGGTTAGGTGTTTAATACATTGTAAATTTTACAATTTATTAATGGTCTATATGCTGTTTATAAATGATGATTAAACATTAATACACTAACTGCTCACCATTTATAAGTTATGATTATTGTAAAGTGTTACCAAACATAAAAAAGAAGAGTAAAAGGTTTTAAAGAGACAAAATCACATAAAAATTAGACTTAAGACGTGATTTAAAAGCAGCGACTGTTTCTGCGTGACGTTAAACCAGCGGTCGGTCACTCTCAGACTAACTGGAGCGAAGAAACGGGAAAACACACGTGACTTTGACTCTGCAGGGCGGCGACGTACAGACGATTAACATCAACAGATTTACTCAGTCTCCATCAGACTGAGGTTACTCTGCCGTGTCAGTCACATGATCAGTCTCCTGATCAGTCACATGATCAGTCTCCTGATCAGTCACATGATCAGTCACAGAGAAACGTGACGAAAAAGTTCAAACACCATCACAACACTGGACGCTAACAAGAGATCATGTTTGTAAAATCACTGAAACTGAAACTCTGAAACTGGTTTTAGATTTTATTCCATGTCAGTTTATAAACTCAGATAAGTAACGACTAAAGCACAACATTATAACGAGATAAAACTGAAAAATCACAAATACAACAGCTGAACACACAAAGAGCCCTGATATAAAAACAGGAAACAGGAGGAAACACGTTCAAAGTGATTGTTTTAGTAAAATACTTTGTGTTTCATCAGTTTGTATGAAGAGCGTTTTATCAATAAAGTTTAATTTGATCAGAGTCGGTGTCCGTCTGAGTCAGTGATCACCGGGTTATTCTGTAAGTCAAACTGGGAAGAATAAATAAAATTATTGATGTCGACTGTTATATAAAGTTTGTTATGATGAAAGAGTGACCACTCAGCGTGCAGCACGACCGAGAACAACAATAACTGAAGTGGGATTAAATTATCAAACATCTGACATAAACAGTTAATCCCTGATAAAGCATCCCTCAGTGATGTACATTTATTTAAGCCTGATTTTAAGTTTTATTAAAGTAAAAAAGGTTTTTAACTTTCTTTATCAAAGTGTCTGTCACAAAGAAACTGTAAACCTTTATGAAAACATTTGACACAAATACAAATGATGATTATGACACAGTTACAGTTCAGAGAAACTCACACATGATTGTCCAGAATTTATTTATTTGAAGCTGAATCACAGTCGGTCACACCGGTTCATATTTTCAAGACCATTAAAAAAAACACTCAAATGACTTCATCATGACACAGAGCGGTCATATATATATATATATATATATATATATATATATATATATATATATATATATATATATATATGTACAAACACATTGGGTACATTTGTTGTGTTTTAAAATTAGTCCCCTAAAAATCCACATACGTCAGTGACCTCTGTACAAAACCTGGTCCTGGTCCCTGGTGTAAGTTTGCAAATACAGCACCTGATTGGACTGTAGACGTGTGTGTGTGTGTGTGTTTGTTAAAGGATAAAACTGCTGCCTCAGTCTTGAGTCGTTCAGACGGGGACCTGATGTTCTCGTTCTCAGATCCACAGACTGTTTTCTGATCATTTATGGTCTGATCTAGTTTTTAATAATCAGTGAAACTGTCCGACCGGTCGGTTGTAGTTCACAGAGGTGTGGTTTCTCTTTGTCCCCCTGTTTCTTTATATCAACACCAATGAGAAATCTTTGTTTTCTACATTTAATCACACCGTTATATTTACATCCATGTGTGTTCTGTGAGCATGTCTTTCTGCATTACTGGATATTTGTGAGTTATGCTGAATTTTACCAGCTGAAATTCTGTGAAATGTGTCACCAGTGCAGCCTGACCGCCTGTTTGTGAGCTGGTTCAGTCTCTGAGAGTTGAACGTTGAGTAGAGAAGGTCTCACCTCTGTTTGACTCCCACTCCTCTCCTGTCAGACATGAAGAACAGCAGCAGCAGCAGCAGTAACATGAAGTCTCTGTATTTCCAGTTCACTCTGTTCACAGATCAGGGCTCCCTCAGATACCTCTTCTTCAGTCTGTGTCTGCTGCTCTACATGACCATCGTCTCTGCTAACCTGGCCATCATCCTGGCAGTCTGCCTGGAGAAGTCTCTCCATCATCAGCCCATGTATATCTTCATCTGCTGTCTGTCCTGTAACTCTCTGTACGGCTCGGTGGGCTTCTTCCCCAGGTTCCTCATGGACGTCATCTCAGACACTCACCTCATCCCTCAGACAGCTTGTTTCATCCAGATCTATATCATTTACTCGTACCTGGGAAACGAGCTGACCCTCCTCACCGTCATGGCGTACGACAGACTCGTAGCGATCTGTCAGCCTCTGCACTATCACAGGAAGATGACGGGGAGGAAGGTGGCGTGTCTGATCTTCGTCTCCTGGTTGTATCCTGCCTTCAACATGTCCGTCTGCGTTTACAAGGTCAGCAGGATACCTCTATGTGGAAACAAACTCAACCGGGTGTTTTGTACGAACTGGCCCGTGGTCCAGCTCTCCTGTGAGGACACCACTGTGATGAACATCCTTGGTGGTGTCTCCTCTGTGGTGTCCGTCTCCATCCCCCTGACCTTCGTCCTCTTCACATACCTGCGTATCCTCCTGGTCTGCAGGAGGAGCTCGTCTGAGTTCAGAGGGAAGGCCTTACAGACCTGCGTGCCTCACATCGTCACCTTCGTCAATTACTGCGTCACCGTCTTCTGCGAGATGTCCCTGACCCGCTATAAGGTGACGGAGAAGAACACGCTCTTTGTTGTGGTCTTATCTCTGGAGTGTTTGATCGTCCCTCCCATCAACAACCCCCTGGTCTACGGTCTGAGTCTGCCCCAGATCAGAGGAGTGATCTTTAGAGGGGTCAGGGTTTTCAGGAAGGTCAGTGCTGGGAAACAGAAGATCCACCGAGAGCAAGAGCACCTCAAATAAATCCTGATACCTCTGTGCTGCCTCCGATTAGATGGTCTATATTACTATTATTATTATTATTATTATTATTACTATTATCATTATAGTAGATCAAGATTCATCCAGGGGTCTGTTATTGGTACACAAACCACACTTTGTCTCTTATCTTATTCACTCTGTTCATGTGAAAAAGTCCTGATATGACTGACATCTGCTTTTCTTTTTACCTTCTAAATCGTCTTTAATACTTTTTACCTCCTGACCTGTTTTTTTATGTAAATGTATTTTAATTTATTTTCTTTTTATGATGTATGTCAGTGTTTTAAATGTCTGTGCTGCTGAAACCTGATTTGCTCATTTTTGGGACATAATAAAGTTGAAGTGATCCGTCTGTGTTTAGTGAACATCCTCATATATCTTTATAAAGGTGGTTATTTAACTGTGGGAGTGTCTTTATAAAGCGTCTGCTCATTATTAACCTGTTTAAACTGAGACAGCATGTATTTCTACCCAAATACGTCACCTCGTAACATCCTGTAGTTTTTCAATCATTTCTGAAATCATGGTGAATCAAATCTTCGTACCCGTCTGCCTCTGATACGATATTTAACCTTCCTCCTGTGTCTTAAATCAGCTGTAAATTAAAAACAATTCTCTATCATCCACTTTGGTTCTCATCTCTAGGTTACCTTGTTCGGCTTCATTATCCATGAAAATATTGATTATAATAGTTTTTGTTGTGGTCCTCTGCCTCACACAGACGTCTATACTGACCTGATCTCACATGTCTCGACATGTCCAATGTTGTTTTTTGTGCAGGAAAAACATGAAAAAATGAGAATTTCCTAAATCTCACATGATAGGAAGAGGATCTGACTGTCAGTGCACTTATGATTTTAGTTTCTGCTCTGATTATTAGATATTGATCTAACCAAGTCAACAGTGACTCTAACCAGTGCCATAATTTTAATAAGAGCGTTTTATAATTTAGCCAATTTATTATTTCTTATTTTGTTGAAATCGAGGTTCCTGACAAAGTCAAAAAGTCTGAATGCGAAAAAAGTGAATTTAAAATGGTTCTTTTAAAAAACAAACAAAAACATCAAAAACTGGTCAAACACCTCAAGGTGAGCCGCCGTGAGCAAAGGATGAAAAACACGCTGCACAAGAACTGACAGATGCTCTGAGAAATTAACTGGGTTAAGAAATCCAACTATATTTGACAAGAAATACACACTAATGAATACACACCAACATATACACACTAATAAATACACACCAACAAATACACACCAATGAATACACACTAACAAATACACACCAGCAGTAACAGACTGCGTTGCAGTTCTTTAGTCTGACAGTCAAATAAAAACAGATAAATGTCAAATATCTGATAATCAGCCGAGGTCAATAACTGGATGACCCCGACTGTTCCGGGTCAGACCTGGTCCTTTACTGGACCCAAAGGTCACACTGAAACAGAATTCTCTGACCCTCTGAAGCGGTCTGGAGGACCCTCCCACAGAGTCCTGCAGGGATTCAGTCTCCATGTAAGAGACTCGGAGAAGACCCGCAGGTCCGTCAGTCTCAGAGGAGCTGCTCTCAGATCTCCATGTTCACACACAGACACAGAGACGGTTTGATGACTTTAGTGACGAGGACTCAGAGAAGTATTTATTTAGTGTTTTTACTCTCTTGGATGTTCTGAGTCATGTCGGATTATGATCCTTTAAAACAGAAACTCGCTCTCTCTCATGTTTTTTATCACGTCGAACAGGATCAGACGATCAGACGGTTATTTTAGAAACACTTTCAGCTCTCTTTGTTTCTTCTCTCTGTCCTTCTTCTTCTTCAACATCGATGAAGAACAGCAGCAGCAGCAGCAGCAGCAGTGTGAAGTCTCTGAGAGTTGAACGTTGAGTAGAGAAGGTCTCCCCTCTGTTTGACTCCCACTCCTCTCCTGTCAGACATGAAGAACAGCAGCAGCAGTTCTGTGAAGTCTCTGTATTTCCAGTTCACTCTGTTCACAGATCAGGGCTCCCTCAGATACCTCTTCTTCAGTCTGTGTCTGCTGCTCTACATGACCATCGTCTCTGCCAACCTGGCCATCATCCTGGCAGTCTGCCTGGAGAAGTCTCTCCATCATCAGCCCATGTATATCTTCATCTGCTGTCTGTCCTGTAACTCTCTGTACGGCTCGGTGGGCTTCTTCCCCAGGTTTCTCATGGACGTCATCTCAGACACTCACCTCATCCCTCAGACAGCTTGTTTCATCCAGATCTATATCGTTTACTCGTACCTGGGAAACGAGCTGACCCTCCTCACCGTCATGGCGTACGACAGACTCGTAGCGATCTGTCAGCCTCTGCACTATCACAGGAAGATGACGGGGAGGAAGGTGAAGCTCCTGATCGTCCTGTCCCTGTCCTACCCTGCGGTTATCGTCTCTCCTTTCGTTTGTTTCCTGACCCTCGTGAACTTTTGTGGAAACAAGATTCAGAGGATTTTCTGCACCTCCTGGCCCGTGATTCAGCTCTCATGTGGCGACACTTCTGATAAAAACATCGGCGGTCAGGTTTCCGCTATAGTGACCATCTTCTTCCCTGTGGCTTTCGTCCTCTTCACATACCTGCGAATCCTTCTGGTCTGCAGGAGAAGTTCTGTTAAATTCAGAGGAAAGGCCTTACAGACCTGTCTGCCCCACATGTTGACTTTTATTAACTTTTCTATCTCCGTTTTCTGTGACCATATACTGTCCAGACACTTGATCGGTGACTTAAGTCAGATCGTAGTTGTGGTTTTATCCCTGGAGTTCATGATCGTTCCCCCCATCCACAACCCTCTGGTTTACGGTCTGAGTTTACCTCAGATCAGAGGAGTGATCTTTAGACGTTTGAAGGTTCGTAAAATCAAAAATACTCCTTAAAAACACGGTCACTAAAAATATCAGTGATGTTCATACTTTATTTCATTCATTAAATATTTAAAACCTTCAATACAAACAAGTAAAAACCTCAAACATATGAATGAAAAGGAGCAGAAAGAAGAAAAACGCTTCTAGAGTCTAAAACCTCTTTATATTCTTTAAACACAGAATCATAAACTGGAGCTGCAGGACAACATGACTTTTGATTATTTCTTATTTGTCAGAAACAAACAGACACTGACTAAGATGAACATATTTCTCTGTTTTTACTCGACAAACTGACTTTGACTCTTTTTTTAAAGATCAAATTTTATCTTCTTTAGTTTCTTTGTTCAGATTTTTCCACAGACTGATTCCTCTCACTGTAACTCAGCGCTCCTTCACTTCAGTTCTGAATCTTTGGTTTTCAAAGATTTCAAATCCTTTTAAATTATAATAAACTTTCTATTTTTGTTGACTGTTAGAATTTTGTTATGAGCTTTATACATAATCTGCAACATCCTGAAATCTACAAACTCACTGAATTTCAACAACTGCAGTTCAACAAATAACGTGTTTGAAGTCTCTCTGTATTGACTTCCACTAATAATTCGTGTTGTTCTGTTTTTGTAAAATGAAAATTGTCTGGATGGAAGTTTTACCTGCACTTCCCCTCACTTCAACACAGTCGGTCAGATATGGATCAATAATCAAATTAAACTAGAGGTACAAATCTTTATCATTATCATCTCAGTAGTCCTTTACTTTGTTTAACAGAGCAGTTGTTTTTGCAGAAGAGTTTCTCACAGTTTATCCTGATATATCTGTGAATAATATCAAGTCAGTGTTCGTCTCTGTGCTGTGAGGCTTCAGTCCGTTCACAGAAAGACGACAAACACAGTTTGAAACTAAATCCTTCCTCAGTGCTGATCCATGAGAGTGTGATTACATGTTTGACCACCAGGTGGCAGCAGAGGTATAAAATTAACTTTGGCTGTATCATGTTATCAAATGGAGGAGCTGACAGCGAGTACTGACTCATAAACTAAAGATAAATGATAATTCTGCAGACATTTAAAGACATCCTCTCCTCATGACCTTAACTGGAATAAACTGATCCAACCCTCTCAGCTGTTTAACACGGGTTCATCGTCTCCATGCTGAAATATCAAAGTTATTTCCAAACAGTGGGATATCCCTCTAAACACAATCAAATCAGAGTTTATCACTAAAACATCAAAGGTCTTATTTTTCATCCTTTCACACCTACAGAAGTGAAAAGATGTCTGTTTTATTCTCAGCTGAGTTTTCTTTATTGTTCAAACCTGTTATCTGAAGTAAATCTGTGACAATCAGTGAAATGTTTTGTGTTTTATTCTTTTTATATTTATTTATTTATCAGTGACTAATTTTAAACTGTTTTAGTGACAGTCTTTAACCTCTGGTGCTGTCACAGGCCTTCAGTCTGAATAACAGGCCGAGGTCAGAGGTCATCCCCAAACGTTCATACCTGCTTTAATGAAAACAAGAAGATCATGTAGAAACACTTCACCTCCACATTCTCAAGGCTGGTGGATTATCATGACCAAATTAGCTCTGACCTTCACCTGGGAAATAAGTAGGGGAGACCGGGGCTTGTTGTCACATTGTAATTATCTTTACCACCAGAGGGCGCAACCAAAAAGTGGAATACTAGTTTTCTTCCTTTACATGGTCAGGGGTCGTGTCCTGTCTGAGAAGAGAAGAGAACATTGTGAGCTGAGATGAGCGCCAACAGAACCCAAAGTAAAAAAATTAACTTTATTTATTTTAAAAGCTGTAAAATCCACTGAGACATCTTTACCCATGTAATGAGACAACTTACCTGATGGTGGGGCAACATGTCACATGATCACACTCTCTATTTGATTGGTTATAACTCTGCACTGACACAAGATATGAAAATGACATGAATACGAAAAATATACCTGAGACTTTGGTCTTTAGTCTGGTTCACATTTTATTTATATATGATGGATTAATAACAAGAAATATATGAGAGTGTAAAAAATGTGACAACAAGCCCCGGTCTCCCCTATTTGTGCAAGAACATCCCAATACATACAGTATGAAGCTCATCCTGGACCCCACAAAGATAGATTTACAAGAACACAAACACACTCTAGTCCCTACAAAGATAAATTTACAAAAATACAAACACACTCTGGTCCCTACAAAGATAGATTTACTAGAACACAATCACACACAAAGATAGATTTACAAAAACATTAACACACTCTGGTCCCTACAAAGATAGATTAACACACAAACACACACTGGTCCCTACAAAGATAGATTTACAAAAACATTGACACACTCTGGTCCCTACAAAGATAGATTCACAAAAACACAAACACACTCCGGTCCCTACAAAGCAGCAGAAATGGGTTCACATTCATCTGAGCTCTAAGTGCTTCATAATCTGCATAGCTGTTCCTTTCACAACGTCCATTACAACACCCCCCCCCCATACAAAGTAAATACACACACACGCTCTCTTTCTTCTGCAGATCCCTGCCTCACCCTGTGTGTGTGTGTGTGTTACACCATCGTCTGTCTCGTCCAAACACTCTTACACACACTTACACACACACACAAACATGTAACCTCCCCCCTCCTGTGGATCTCCTGTGGGATTTCTGCCACACATTCTTGAGCGTACACTTCATTGTAACGCTGATTCAGAGCAGCTCATGGCCAAATAAGACGAAAAACCCTCGGCCTACTCTCTGGACCTACATCTGAGAGGTTCCTGCACACACACACACACACACACACACACACACACACACACACACACACACACACACACACACACACAGTTCCAGTTTCAGTCAGTGTTGAACAACATGACAGTCTGATTCCTGAAATCTCCTTTTTTCTCATTTTGCTCAGAGAAGGTCGAGGGTCTCTGAGGAGGACGGCCGTGTTCAGACGGTCGGAGAGGGTGACGGTGCAGCTACAAGAACTCCACCTTCACTGAGGAGGAGGACACTGAGGAGGCAGAAGGTCCTGCTGGTCCCAGACTCTGACTGCAGACACTCTCTTCATCTGCTGTCAGGTTTTGTGTTCACCCTCCTGAGTCGTGTTAATAAAATGTTCCATCAGAACATCAGAGCGAGTCCACAGGAGAGTCCAAACACATCCGTTTATGCAGAGAGGAGACGTTCCTACATGTCTCTTCAGTCTGTGTCATCAAACGTGGTTAAACTTGATTTCAGAGACGCTCCGTGCTGATTGGCTGTAATATTAATGATTCTCTTAAATTCATATTTTCACCAATAACCAACCGTGACCAGTGTGTGAACACGTTGTAAATTTGCATCATATTTGATTATTTTAAGATAATATTTAGTTTTATTTTCATGTGATCAAACATAAATCATATGAACACAAACACATAAATTCAGGACAAAGCAGAAAAAAAGTTTAAAAGTGAATAAGAGCTTCATGAATAAATAACCAAAACTCCCTAAAAGTTTTTCTCTGGGTTCAGGAGTTTGTTGTTTTGATAATAATTAGACTTTGACTAATGTAATGATTCTTTCTCTCTAAATAAGGTCCAAACATCAGAGATCAGTCCTCTTCTGTCACAGGTATAGGTGCTGATGTTGAGGTTTTTTAATGAGTGGGCCTCAGGGGAGTGTAACTGTGACTAACTGTGGGATCAGACACACTCAGTCCTGCAGACTCTTCTCTATAACAGCAGAAACACACAGAGGTATCCTGACTACTTCAGCAGCTCCTGTTCTCTCGAACCTTCATCCTGATCTGATCCTCTAAGTTCAGGAGTTAAATAATGAGACACGGGAGAAATAAACACGCAGATATCATCTCCATGTTGGCCGTGACGCCTGCTTGTCTTGCTCGAGTGCGGTTCCTTCTGATGCGGCTGGATCAACTTCCTGTTGTGCGTCAGGAATCCGTGCGTCAAGGTAAACCAAGAGGGGCCGAGAACACAGGAAGTAAGCTTGTCTTTCAAAATAAAGTCCCTCTGTATCACGTTCCAGTGCACTAATATTACTCTGTACTGAACATACAACATAACAAATCTGAGACTGTCATCCTAATATAATGCAAATGTGAGGGTGTACTGAGTCTTAACTTTAGGCTGAAATTGTCCTTAAAATATAAGTGTGATTAATAAGATATTAAAAGAATAAAATACCCCACTGACACTGACCATCTTCTTGGGATCTCGGTTATGTTGTTTACAGCTGGATATGGAGGCCCTGAACAGACATGCAGTTACTTGACTTTGTTTCCTGATGAGATACTCAGGAATTCTTCTTTTGTATTTGAGGGTAACAAGCTGGTTTTCTTATAATAACAGGATCAGCCGTGTTAGGACTTAATCTGTGTTTGTTATGTGACCCTGAGAGTATAAATTCTGATCAATGACCTTGGCTCAACATCTGCAGAAGACAGCTTAAAGGGATATTCCTGCGTAAAATTGATTTAGGGTCAAACACACCATAACACCGAGTTAGACCCTCCCCTCCAGAGATGAATGTTGTCTCTATAGCCACAAATAATGCTCAGAACAGCACCTGAAATGATCATAAATGTTCTTCCTTGAGCTGCGGCACCCCGCTGTAGTCTGTAATGGACTGGCCTGAGGTCTGACTACAAACAAGCGTCTGCTGGAAGAGAGTAGGTGAGTTGTGTTTAGTCTCTTTGCTAAAGAAATGAGTCAAATTTAAAAAGATGTTTGGTGTCTAGTACTGTGACCCTATATGTCCTGTTGATGAAGTTAGGTGCTGTTCTGAGCATTATTTGTGGCTATAGAGTGGCGTTTTGGTTGAGGGCGTGTCTCTCTGTATTTCTATCCTGCGGTCGTTACTAAAGTTGGTATAACTAGAGAAGCAAGCGGTCGACAACATTCATCTCTGGAGGGGGGGTCTAACTGGTGTTAAGGTGGGTTTGACCAATAATTAATTTTACGCCGGTATATCCCTGTAAATAAATACATTTATCATCCTGGGAAGATAAAATAACCTCTATGGATTTATATCCACCAAAAACACTCAATTTCAAATTAAAAGTGGGAAAGATGTTTGATTATTTGAATTTCAGTGAGTTTATAAATTTACAGTTAATAATCTTCAGGATGATGAACTTCTTTAGTTTCACAGGCTCTGTATCTCAGGTCGTCTTCGAGAAGAACCAAACCTGGGCTTTTATTTTGAAAGAATCGAACCGGATGTTGTGTAGCCCACGTTGAATCTGATTTCAGTTCAGCCCGATATGACACACTTCCATGTCCGCCACACTCACTCACTCACCCACGGCCTCTCCCCGGACTCTCTCCCGTGTTTCTGCTGCTTCTTTCGGCTAAAACAAGTGAAGGACCCGCCGACCAGAACCTGAGCGGACCCGGACTCTGCTCTGCGGCTCTCTCGGTACCGAGCCGCGGCTCTTCATGTCGGCTTGTTCTCTCCGTGTTTTCTGGCAGAGATCGGAGCTTGTTCATCATCGGTCCGGGGCGGATATCTCTCTAACCTCGGACTAACTCATCCATCCTCTTCCTCGGTTCTTCGTCGCTTCACCCCGCCGAGGAGTCCAGCAGCCATGGCCGGAGGAGGACGCTTGGTCGTCGGTTCGCTCGCCCTGCTGTGTTCGCTCTTCTGCCGCTGCGGTTCCTTTAATCTGGATGTGGACAAACCGTCCGTGTTCTCCGGACCCGAGGGGAGCTACTTCGGCTTCTCGGTGGACTTCTTCCAGACCCCAACCAACCAAAAGTAAGAATGAGTACAACATTTCAACCTCTTATTTTCAGGTTAAAATCATTAAAACCTTCAGATTAAACTCCATCTTAAGTTCAGACGGTGATGTTTCACTGATGTTAAAGTTATACTTGTTTTTATAAAAGGTCTGTAACTGAATAAAAATGAGGACAAAGAGGGAGGTCAACAGCAGAACTGAAACCCAAACTAAACACTAACACTTTCATATTAAAGCTCCTGTCAGGGACTTTTTCAGTCTGATGATTTTGGCGCCCCCTGTGGACAAAGTGATACCTCATCAAATCATAATAACAACAACAATAATAATAATAATAATAATAATAGGGCCTAGCCAGTATGAATTTTTTGGGGCTGATGCCAATACTGATTATGAGGGGAAAAAAATCAGATTAATCTGCCAATTTATTAAAAATTTTATGAAGTTATAAAAATATATCCTGTAGATATCTGCTGTAGGTTCTTGCTCTTCACGCCGTCAGGAAGACCGACTGATCAAACTCGGACCAGAAAAGCGTTGAAGTGAAACGGAACCTTATTCTCCGCATTTCATTTCTTGAGAGAGAGTTCTGGCCGATTACCGATTATCTAAAACGGGCTAAAATTGGCCGATTTAATCTGCTCACCGATAAATCAGTCGGGCCCTAAATAAAAATTATACATTTTATTTATAAGCACCTCTCTGGGCACTCAAGGACACTTTACAGAGTAAAAACAGTTTGGAAATATCAGCATCAGTTCTGTGTGTTTTCCGTTTTTTTTTATAATAATCTATAATATAATCTATGGTGGTGTTTGTTGCTTCTTCAGTTTCCACGGTTCGTCTGTCGTACCTGAACCTGTATTATATTATATTTAAGAGAGGGTGTAGAGTTTGTCATATTTGGCTGTAACAGTTCACAGTCGGCCTGTTGTTAAAGGGTTTAACCTCCAAACAGATTTAATCAGCTAAACTTGCGACACTGAAGTCTTAACTCTGATGTAACTCGAGCCGCGGTCAAATAAAGTTTGTTTTTCACACGCTCAGAGATGAGGATGATGATGATGATGATGGAGGGTTGTTGTGAAACAGCTTCTGAAGAAAACTAGTCCTCCGTCGTTTCCACTTTTAGACAGAACTGGTCATGATTCAGACGTCAGTATCTCTGTCCATGTTTCCTGCTGAAGGTCTGTGATAAGAAAAACAGGCGGTACGTCATCCTCTTCTCCTCCGTGTTTGTAACTTTGTTTTGTTCAGAACTCGGAGACACTTTGTTCCCGTTTACTTGAAGTTAAACATAAAGACGTAGTTTGCTGTCATTAAGAAGAATCACAGAAATACTTAGTTTTATTCTCTCTTTAAAAACCTTTGAGTTATTCTACTTTAAACAGTTTGGGCTGATCGTTTAATCTTTAACTGCAGTAATTAAGGTGAAGTGCAAACACAGAAACACGTTAAACAGACTATGGTTTAATTAGGACTGAGCAATTTGGCAAAAGAAATGATCACGATATATTTCGTCCGATCTCGATTATTATCATGATTTTTTTAAACTGTCAGTTTTGAAGCATCTGAACTAAAAACTAAAGAAACTAGAGATTAGTTCAAGATTTTATTTAACATACAAAGTAACAAAGGCGCACCATCAATGAACGCGTCTATTTTCATACATAAGGCACTCTGGATCATAAAACGCATTAAACCAAACAAAGCGCTCCGACAAACCATCAGGCTGTGCAGCTTTGTAGTTTACTGAAGTCGTCATGAAACGTTTTGACAGATTTTTGAGAAAATCTGTTCGAAGTCAGTAAGAACAACCAGAATTCAGACATGAGGAGCACTGAGGAGTTCTGAGAAAATATTTTAACAGTTAATAAGTTAAATAAGATAAACTTATCCGATGATCAATAACTTTTCTTCTCAACAATAACGTCTTCGGAGGATGACTCAAAGTCACGGCTGACGTCTATTTTCCTGCCCTCAGCTCCAAATTCAGCTCCACATTCGGTCATTCTGTTTACTTTTTCGACAAATTACAGAAGTGAGCAGGAAAAGCTCGACTCTGATTGGCTGTTGGCACACATATGTTTGATTGAGTAAATATCTCTCGGTCGTCCTCAGACGAGCTTCCATCGAAGTCTCCATACAGAGCTTTCAGCTCCTGCATCCTTCTTCAGGACGTCCACATACGTTAGCGCTGAACGTCCTGGCGAACGATGACGACAGACTTCACAGTGGCGTGGAATAGGTTCAGCTTTATGTGTCTGTAGAGATTCGAGCGTCATAATCTGGACATACAGGTCAGGCAGATGGTCCATGTGGGAGTTATCAATAATATAAATATTACCCATAAATAGGCTGTATAATCTAAAAGATCTGCTCACAGCTGATCACCATGATCAAACAGAAGTTTATCACCATCATCGATCACGATCATCTACTCGCTCAGTCCTAGGTTGACCATCTCTCAGCAGCTCCTCTCCATCATCTTCAGATTCACATGATTTTAATGTTTTAATCAGATTTCAGAAAACAGCTGATCCTCCTCCTTCTTCTCTCAGGGTTTCAGACTGACTCTAATGTGGCTCTCTGTGGATTCATGTTTCCTTTCCTCCCTTGTCTCCTTTCCTCAGGTCAGATGTTCTGGTCGGAGCTCCTCGGGCGAACACCTCGGCCCCCGGCGGCGTGGTGGAGAGGGGCGCGGTCTACAGCTGTCCCTGGGCTGGTTCCTCCTCCTGTCAGCAGCTGGTCTTTGACAGCTCAGGTACGATGATGATGATGTTTGATGATCTTCTCAGGAGCTTCATCTCCTCAGACTCACACTGTGGTGGTGTTTGTTTCTGAGAGGGGACAGGGTTCTTGTAGGACTCACAGGAGGGTTCAGGGTCAGCAGCAGCTCTGGAGGACGTTTGTACCCGGTTGCCCCTAATAGGTTAATAAACAAGTCCAGACTGCTGTGGGACTCTGTCAGCTGGTCAGAGTCTGTGCAGGTCTGTAGACCACAGAGGTGACACATGTTCATGTCCACCGTCCATGGAGAAGGTCCATCAGGGTTATGTGGATGTGAAGTTTGATCATGAATGAGAGTGTGACTGAGTTAGAGGGATCAGACTGAGAGTTCCTCATGTTGACCTCCTGATAGGAGACCTGAGCAGCTTCACAGACTATTAGAGGATTAGAGAATAAAGGTTCAGCTCCTGGCTCTGTGTCCTCCTCCTCCTCCTCCTCCTCCTCCTCCTCCTGTGCAGACACATTCAGGAATGTTGGGGAGCTGGATCTGTGTGGGCTTGTCTGCTCTCCTGGTTCCTGCTGCAGCTCTCAGAGTTTTGAAGAAGAGGAGTTTTCTCTCCAGACTCAGAGTGTTAAAATAACTAAAGTCACGGAGACGCAGCTCTGCTCTCAGAGTGGGCGGGGCTTCCTCAGACCAGCAGTGGTGGTTAATGTTAAAGTCAGGATGAACCTTCATATCTGAGAGTGATCTTCAGGAGAAGGACGTGGAGACAGTCAGAGGAGGCTCTGACTGACAGCTGCTCACTTATCTTCATGTGGAGGAGGAAACAGTCGGGGAGCGTTCAGCCTGTTTCCTGTGAGACAAACTCAAACTCTGACCGACTGTTGGAGGAAAAATATGTGGAGTGTGGAGGTCGGAGGTCAGAGAGCTTCAGGGCGTTTTAGCAGAGCCGGTCCGAGCCTCAGTGGGGCCCTCAGCAAAGTTTGATACTGGGGCCCATTATATTGATTATTGATCATTGACACACCTTCACAAATCTCTTTGATTAACATTCCCTGACATGCAAACAGACCTGCGCACAGTTCTGCTCAGCTGTGGATCAGATCATAGACCGTCTGTCTCCTCTCTCTGAGAACAGCGCCCTCTGGTGACGGGCTGCAGTATAGGTCATAAACCCCGCCTCCTTATGGAGCTGTGGACAAACTTTATAAATGAATGACACAGAATATAAATGTTTCTCCCCCCTGGTTGTGATGTTGACATGTAGTTACTGTCAGACTGGTTTGTGCTCAAGTCCTCTTTTTTCTGTACAGCTCCATTTTTCACGTATCGCCCAGCTCTATCGCTCTGATAGTCCTCCTGTCAGTCGCTCCTCTTCAGGGCGGAGCCTCGGCTGTTTCCTGTCCTGAAGGTCAAAAAGACAGTGGTCTCTCTCAGGATCAGGTCTGATGGTCAGACCTGATCCTGTAGAGATCCAGACTGACCTAAAGCGCTAAATGATCATCTTCTGCTGCTGAACATCTTGACTCCTCTGTGTGATGATGAACCATGGTTTGGTGTTTACTGGGTTTACTGGGTTTACTGGGTTTACTGCTTCATGTCTGATAGTCTGACGCTCAAACAGGATCTAGGAGACGATGGTTTCAAAATCAGGTCTGATCCTCGGCTGAGTCAGCGTCCTGCCCACTCAGTTTCCAGCTCACCTGAGACCACAGTCCTCCTCCTCCTCTTCCTCCTCCTCCTCCTCAGACGGGCTCAGAGCTTTCCTCAGGAGATCCTGATCTGGATCAATCGTTTCTGAGGAGGAGGTGAAGGTCCACTGAGATGATTCAGGAGGAGGATCAGTGAAGAAGGCGTGTAGATCTGAGCTCCTCTTTTAATCCAGGGGGCGCTCTAACCTCCTGCAGTTTGACTCTGTAAGTGTTTCCGTCACAGACTGAAGAGTCTTTAATAAAAACCTGCTGCTCTCAGACCTCCTACAGCAGGACCCAGAGAGAGGACCCAGAGAGAGGACTGAGACCCTCAGGGAGTCCAGATGAGGAGATCCAGAAGAACTGAACCAGTTTCCATGAGGACTGAAGGAACGAGAGAACATCTCAGTTTAAAGCAGGAGAAAATAAGTCGAGTGAAAAAGTCCAAAACAAAGTTTAAAGTGGAGGATTCAGGGTTTAACAGAAACCGGGTCACTGCAGTTATCCTGAACCTTCACAGACTCAAACCTCAGGTCTCATCTCCTCTCAGATCTTCACGAGTTTTTCTCAGAGATGAAAAAGTTTTCAGACGAGAAAAAAAATCCTCTTAAAAAAACACAAATAAAAAAAAAAACAGAGAAAAACACCAACAGCAGATAAACAAACGAACAGCAGGAGTGTGTGAAGGGAGGTTGTTTGTGTGAGTTTGTGTGTGTGTAGCTGTGAGTTGTGTAGGGCCTGTTTAGTAGTCTGTGGCAGACCTCAGCCATGAAAGCAGGAAGTAAACACACCACAGTCTAACAGAGAGATACCCTGCCCCCTACACACACACACACACACACACACACACACACACACACACACACACACACACACACACACAGAGGTGTCGATGAAGCAGAGTTTCTCTAAACTCTCTCAGACTCTCAGCGTTAGTCTGGATCCATCTGCAGGTTTTCAGAGACTTAAAGGGATAATCCGCCGTAAAATGAAGTTACACCGTAACCCCGAGTTAGACCCCGCCCCCTCCAGAGATGAATGTTGTCGACCGCTTGCTTCTCTAGTTATACCAACTTTAGTAACGACCGCAGGATAGAAATACAGAGAGACACGCCCTCAACAAAAACGCCACTCTATAGCCACAAATAATGCTCAGAACAGCACCTAACTTCATAGTGAGACCTCGGGCCAGTCCATTACAGACTACAGCGGGGTGCCGCAGCTCAAGGAAGAACATTTATGATCATTTCTTCATGGAAATACAATCAGACCGAGACGCTAAGACAGAAGAACTACCGCGTCTGTAAAATGATTAATATGGTGATTATTACTTCAAGGAAATGATAAAGAAATGATCATAAAAAGTAAAAAATATGAATTTTTTTTTAATAAAAGTAAATAAATATGAAAAAAGTTAATAAAAATAAGTAACTTTAATTTTGAATAAAAGTAAATAAAATAAATTAAAGCAAATTAACACGAACAAAGAGTGAATAAATGTAAATAAAAGTAAGTTAATCTGAATAAATTTGAATAAATCTAAAACCTCTGACGGTTAAACTCTCAGTTATTATGGACCCAAAATAAGAGGATCAATACTGCTCTCTCATGCTGCGTCTGTCTGTGAGCGGCCTACTTATGTCACTGTGTGTGTGTGTGAGTGTGTGTGTGTGTGTGTGTGTGTGTGTGTGTGTGTGTGTGTGTGTGTGTGTGTGTGTGTGTGTGTATTTGTGTGCACACAATAGAGCTCTTTGTTGTTGTGACCTGCGTGATTTCTGGCCAAATCTTTACTGGACCACAGAGCAGAATGACCTGGAATATTTCTGTGTGTGTGTGTGTCTGTGTCTGTGTGTGTGTGTGTGTGTGTGTGTGTGTCCCTATAATAGCCGGACTCTCTCAGATGTGTGTTTGTCTGATACCAACAGTGTTTTTCTGTGTTTGTGACTCAGTCTGACCCTGGTCCTTCAGTCTGACTTATTCAGAGCGGATACCAAGAACTGATCATCATCATAATAATAACAACAATGATAATAATAATAATAACAATAATAATAATAATAATAACAATAATAACAATAAAAATAATAACAATTATTATTATTATTATTATTATCATAAGTGTTTTATTTTTCAGATGTTGCACTCAAACCCAAGTCCAAATTTTGACACAAACAGAAATGTGACTTTATTTTGAAATTCTAACCTGAAAAGTCCCAAAAAAAAGAAATTTCTGACATCAGTTTTAAGTCAGAATTATGAGGAGAAAATAGAATCTAAAAGAAGTTAAATTAAAAAAACTGAACTGAGAAAAAGGAGATTTTATAATAACTGTAAAAATGAGATTTCTGTTAAGAGAAAGGTCATCACACAGGTAACACTCATCACACACACACACACACACACACAGGAGGACAGCGTCTGTCTTCAGCCGGAGTTTCCCTCCATGGCGGGAAAATCCCCAATATTTCCTCCCTGTCCTCCTCGCCGTCTGAGTCCAATCAGGCTGAAGTCTTAGTTCCTCTCTGATCATCACAGACACACACACACACACACACACACACACACAGACACACACACAGACAGACGTTGGTGTTGGACTTTTCTGTCTCTGAGTGACCTTCAGTTATTCTGGATTTTCATCAGCTGTTTCTCTGTCTGTTAGTCTGTCTGTAAACTCTGACAGACTGAAGTCAGTCCTTCTGTCCTCAGAGTCGTTTTTCCTCCTCCTGCTGTTTTCATGTTTCTCTCTGTAAACTCTCTCTGCTCACTGAAGATGAAGTTTATTGATCGACTCGTTTTAACTCTGAAATCTCTGACCTTAATTCGTTCCTCGTGGAAGTCATAACTGCTGATTTAATCAGAGATCTTTGATGAAACACAGTCAGGGACTCTTCCTCTGTCGTCTCCATCAGACTCATGGAGACCTTTTCCTCATAATTTCACTTTTTATTTCATATTTCTGACACTGAAAATTTCACTGAGCAGAGCGTCCTTATCTTTCTGATCGTCTCTGTCGTTACTCTGGGCTAATTACTGTTGTCTTGACCAATCAGAATCAAGAATTTAAACAGCTGGGCAGTTAGTTAGCATGAAAACAAATTATCAATAATAATAATAATAATAATGATAATAAATCAAAGTGATAATGTGAAATGATGATGAATGTAAAAACATCTGAGCGCTCACAGAAGTCCGAACTCTGACTCCTCACCGTGTGACTCAAAGATTCATCCTCTCCACCGTGTGTGTGTGTGTGTGTGTCTAAACTACAGTCCAGGTTTAGAGTGTCTCATGATGGATAAAGAGTAAATATACATTTTTATATATTTGATTTTGCTTCTTTATTTATCAGTTTTCCTCTTTGTTCAGATTTTCCTTCTTTGTTCTTTTTTGGGGTTTAAGTTTTTTTTTTGTGACTTAAATAAACTCTAGTCGGCTCTTTTTTTCCTTTCAGGTGGTTTTTTGGTCTATAAAATTGTAAAAAGTGAAATAAATCTGATAGAGACAAACAGACTGGAGGACAAACGTTTAGCAGCTTTATTTAGTCAGATTTTCAAATATTAAACTCATCGTTTGTTTCTTCATCCCTGTGATTTTTACTCTCCTTGAGTTTCTCTGTTTGTTGTGGAATTATTTCAGGAGATAAATCAGTTTGATCTGAATCAGATTAAACTGATTATTGTGTTGAAATGAGGGTTAATCTGAGAGAGAAGGAGGAGGAGGTCTCACTCTGTCTGAGCTCTTCGGTCGTCTGAAAGAGTGGAGGGTCTTACCCCACTGAAGATCTTTGTCCAAGTTTCTGAGTGAAAATAAAAACACAGAAGTGAAACTTGGACTCAGAGACGTCTGTGGATTTATCTGGAAAAGACGATTAAATCTTTTATCAGAGCGGAGAGACGAAATCTTTGTTTTCTGTGTTTTTGATTTTATATAAGCTGTAAATCAATAATTAATCAAAGTTTTCCTCTGTGTGTGTGTGTGTGCGTGTGTGCGTGCGTGCGTGCGTGTGTGTGTGTGCAGATGACAGGAAGAACGGTGAAGGAGCTCAGATGGAGTTTAAATCCAAACAGTGGTTCGGAGCTTCGGTTCGATCTGACGGACAGCACATCCTGGTGAGTGAGACTCTGATTAAGTTCCTGATGGTTCTGGTTCTGGTTTAATAAAGTTCCTGATGGTTCTGGTTCTGGTTCTGGTTCTGGTACTCTTCGTGAGTTCATGAATCTGAGACAGACGGGGACTCTGAACCGACACAGAGGACTGTCAAAGATTCACGTCTCCTGTAACCTGGTCTTCGCTTTAATCATTATAAAAACTCCAACATGTTTAATACGGACGTTTCACTTCTTCACCAAATAATTATCACAGCTTCAGAATAAAAGCACAGTGTGGAAACAAGGGTGGTCTCTGCAGATCAAGCTTTTATTTTGAAATTCATTTGCACCATTTTCCTGTTGATTTTTACTGACAGAGAAATGAGTAACCCTCAGTCAGACAGCAGGAACCTTTTCACTGCAGCGTCACTGTTTCAGTACTTTAACTCGTAACACTGTGAATTCATGAAGGTTTGATTTTCTCATGTGCGTGCTCTCTCTCTCTCTCTCTCCAGGCGTGCGCTCCTCTGTATCAGTGGTCGACATTTGGCGTGTCGGAGCGAGAGCCTGTGGGGACGTGTTACCTGATGAAAGAAGGGAAGGTGGTGGAGTACTCGCCCTGCAGATCAGGTACAGGTTTTATTTTCAGTATTTAGTCTGATCCAACAAAGACTCAGACAACCATGACGCTGATATATGAGGAATTTAAGACAACATATGATGATGTAAAACACGTAATGTCCCTTTAACGGGTCTCCCTGTTTCTCTGTCCAGGTGCGAACTCTCCTGAAGGTCAGGGCTTCTGCCAGGCTGGATTCAGCGCCGACTTCCTGAAGGTGAGAAATCTGACGATATTCGGCGCCTAAAACCTGTTTTTGTGTCAAAGTAAAGTCGGAGTTTAACGTGAGGTCTGAGTCTGTTCCAGAGATCCAGATTAAAGGGACAGTTCAGTATTTTAATGTGAGCCTGTATGAAATAAGAATAATGATCTGATGAGTTCATGTGAACTGAAGAGTCTGAGGTTTAGAGTCTGACCCTGCAGGACTGAGGCCGGAAACATGTGTGGGTGTCCAGCCGAGTGTGTGTGTGTGTGTGTGTGTGTGCGTGTGTGTGTTTCTCACTCAGGGTGGAGGTGTTATACATTACCTCACACACACACATGTGTTCTGTTCTTTACATTTGTCTACAAAGAGAGAGAGAGAGAGACATCTATTCTCTGTCTGTCTGTGTTTGTTTTCAGAAGGAGAGCAGGGTGGTGATTGGAGGACCGGGGAGCTTCTACTGGCAGGGTGAGTGTGACACTGTGTGTGTGTGTGTGTGTGTGTGTGTGTGTGTGTGTGTGTGTGTGTGTAATAACAGTTTAGGGTGAAGCTTAAACTGATAATCACCGAGAGGATCATCACAACATAGATCTTCTATTACCGTAATGACCCTAATAGAAGACCAAACAGGAGTGATTGTTGTTCACCCTCAGGAGGAAAATCTCCCAGAATCCCCTGCTGCAGCGTCCTGTCTGAGGTCTGTGGTGATGTGGGTTTTTGGTTCTGCTGGATCAGCATGATTAGAGGGTCATGGTGGGCCCAGCAGGACCGTCCTCGTGGTTTACAGGCTCACAGACAGACTGCTGAGTCAGCAGTCTGTCTGTGAGCCTCAGGAGAAAAATAAAAATAAAGAAATAACTAAAAAATTTGTTCAAAATTAAATGAAAAAAATTAAAATATTGGAAAAAAATAAAAAATAATAAAAAAATGATAAAAAACAATTATAAAAACTTTTTTTTTAAGTTAGGAGGTTCAGTTTTATACATAAATAAAAAAATATATTTAAAAAATGATAAAGAAGTAACTAAAAATATATAAAAAATTAATTAAAAAAATAAAATGATAAAAAATTAAGCATAATTTTAAAAAATTAAACATAATTTTAAAAAATTAAAATAATAAAAGAAAATTGTAAAAATTATAAAAACAATAAATAAAAATAGGTTAGGAGATTCAGTGAGAATATAAATACATAAAATATATTTAAAGATTAAAAAAGATAAAGAAATAACTAAAAAAATATATAAAAAAATTAGAAATTAAGAATAATGAAAAAAGTAAACATAATTAAAAGAAATTAAATTGTAAAAATTTAAAGGAGATTCAGAATTGTGATAATGTTCTGTTCGATGTACAGAGCTGTCAGCCCGCACTTGGCTTGAGCGTGTAAAGACGTTTTACAGCCAATCAGAGGCATAGTAGGCGGGACCTTTCCCTGCCATCCTATGAAAAAAAAAAATCACATGAGGTACATCAGCTGATCTGAAGGCCGGCCCACCAGCTGGACAGTCAGCTGATCATTGGATCATTAAAGGGATAATGATAATAATAATAATAATAATAATAATAATAATAATGATAATGATAATAATAATAAGGGGCGTGGCCTCTTTGAGTGACAGATGAGAGCTGCAGACTGATTGGATTAGTGACCTCTGCTGTGATGTCATATTTCATCATCGTTACCTGAAGGTTAATGAGCAGGTAAGGTCCAGACAGGTGTGTGTGTGTGTGTGTGTGTGTGTGTGTGTGTGTGTGTGTGTGTGTGTGTGTGTGTGTGTGTGTGTGTGTGTGTGTGTTGTCTGGCTGCTCGTCTGACATCAGAGGGTGTAACTCTGACTGTATCCAAAACGCTGAGTCAGTTACACACACACACACACACACCCTCTCTCTCTCTTTGGGGTGTGTTAACCTAATTATTGTTTCCTGTAGTGGAGTCATTGTACACACACAGACACACAGACACACACAGACACACACAGACTTGTGTTCACCTTCTGAACTCCTCTCTTCCTCTCTCTCTGTTTCCCTCTGATGTCCCTTGACCTTCTCTCCCCTCCCTCTCCCTCTCTCTCTCTCTCTCTCTCTCTCTCTCTCTCCCTCTCTCTCTCTCTCGTCCCTCCCTCTCTCTCTCTCTCTCCAGGTCAGCTGATCTCCGATGACGTCTCTGAGATCTTCACTCGCTTCAACGGACAATACTTCACCCCTTATGGAAACACCCTCACTACAAAGTCTGCTGGTGCCCAGTATGATGACAGTTACCTAGGTAACCACACACACTTACTCACACACACACAAACACACACACACACACACACCTTTGACTCATTATCCTGCAGACGGACTCGGAGCATCCACATGTGCTCCTCTCTCTGTTTCCTGCTTTAATGAGTGAATTTTTCTGAGCTGACGACTTTGAACCAGAAACACAGAGACCAGCAGAGACCAGACCAGCAGAGACCAGACCAGCAGAGACCGGACCAGCAGAGAGTAGACTAGCAGAGACCAGCAGAGACCAGAAGAGACTAACAGAGACCAGCAGAGACCAGCAGAGACCAGACCAGCAGAGACCAGCAGAGACTAACAGAGACCAGCAGAGACCAGACCAGCAGAGAGTGGACTAGCAGAGACCAGCAGAGACTAACAGAGACCAGCAGAGACCAGACCAGCAGAGACCAGCAGAGACTAACAGAGACCAGCAGAGACCAGACCAGCAGAGAGTAGACTAGCAGAGACCAGCAGAGACCAGACCAGCAGAGAGTAGACTAGCAGAGACCAGCAGAGACCAGAAGAGACCAGACCAGCAGAGACCAGAAGAGACTAGCAGAGACCAGCAGAGACCAGCAGAGACTATAAGAGACCAGCAGAGACCAGCAGAGAGACGTGACCACACAGCAGACCTGAGTTCCTCCCTCTCAGATCAGCTTCTGAATCTGTAAACTCAAAAACCGATGATCTCAAACCTGAGACCGGCTGCAGGTCTCTGCTCCTCTTTGTGGACCACTTTAGAGGTCCTGCTGGTCTGAACAGAACCGAGCTGCTGAATGAGTGACCCGGTCTCTGATGTCTGATGTGGTTCCTCACGTCCTCGTCTGTGTTTTCCAGGATATTCTGTGACTGTGGGAGACTTCAACAGCGATGGGAAAGAAGGTGAGAAGGTCGTGGATCAGACTCTTCAGTCCCTCAGATCCAGGAGAAGAAGATGATTTATGATGCCGGAGAGTTTCTGATGATGTTTCTGAACATTTTCCTCATTTTTAAAATTTTAATCCTCTAAAAAATCATCAAAAAATGAATCAATCAAACAAACCAAAGTTGAAGCTGCAGCTCAGATCTTCTGCTCTCTCTCCTCTCCTCCTCAGACTACGTGACCGGAGTTCCTCGTGGAGAAAAAGCTCAGGGTTACGTGAGTGTCTCAGTTTCATGAAGGTCAGCTGATGAACCTGATGGACCTGCTGATGTTTCCTCATCCTCTGCTGTTTCAGGTGAACATCTTCAACGGCCACAACATGGAGTCCATGGTGAACTTCACAGGAGCGCAGGTGAGCCAAACCGAGACCCTCCGAGTCTGTGGGACCTCCTCACAGAGTCAGATCAGGCGTGGAGGTCCTGCTGATGAAGTCCGGCTCTGTCAGAGGTCTGGGTTTGTTCCTCTGATCCGTGAACACAGAGCGCTGGAGGATCTGACTTAATGACAGAGCTCCTCCTCGCTCACTTCCTGTCTGTCCTCATTACCGTCCCTCTTTAAACCGCTCCTCTCTCCTCCGCGTCTCTTTGAAGCTCCGTCTCCGTCTCTGTAACTTCACCGTAAACTCGCTCTCAGGGGTCAGACTCCACCTCCATCACGGAGCCGCCGGCGCTCTTTTTTTAACCAGAACTTTAAATAAACAGATATCAGAGGTGAATCCTCCTCAGACCGGAGTTCAAACTCTAATGTTCTCTCACAAACACAAACAGCTGATGTGTCTCCTCTTCTCTCATCAGATGGCGGCGTACTTCGGTCACTCAGTGGCGGCGACTGACATCAACAATGACGGGTGAGTCTTTAACAGCTGATCCTTCAGAGGAACAGAGTCTGTGTCAAACGGACGTCTGATCAGTCTGTGAGGTCCTGATCAGACCGGATCAGACCGGATCAAAGCCTCTTTAGTATCTCTGCAGTAACAGGAGAAGAACCTGAGCTCTGTTTAGAAGTTCTGGAGTGACTCTCTGTTTACAAAGTGGCTCCTGATTGGACGGCGCCGCAGATGTTTCCTAGCGACAGATTTCCACGTGTAAACAGGCAGAGTTGGTTTATCTGGTTCCTGGTTTTCTGAGCGCAGACGTAAAGATGATGAGCACGAGTGTTTGTGTTTGTTCGCTGTAAAAAACCCGTAAATCCTGGTTTAACAGACGCTCTGCGGGGTCGTTAAACCCTGAGCCGCCAAATTAAAAACAGCAGAAGAAGAAGAAGAACAGCTGATGTAAACAGTTGAAAACAAATCGCTCTCACGTGTTTATGAGGCAGAAAGAGGAGAACATGTGTTCAGGGCTGAGAGGGGAGAAAAGAGG